TTGTGCCAAATCAAGCTCCAAAGGCATAGATACACGCTCAAATGTCCATCAATTTCCGATCAAATGGTGACTGGTGAGCACCATCTACTATCAATTTTTTGCGGAATGCAAAAGTTTGATGATACATGATGGAACTGTGGGTCTCATCCGTCATCTGATTTCCACACAAGCGTGCTTATTTCATGCTTATTTCAATCAACACGCTGTTTTAATTAGATACCAAGATAGATAACTCTCGACCGCCATTTTTGTCATCATTTTGATCGGCAATTAATGGAAACTTGAGCGTACATCCAGGCCTCAACAACGCAATCAGCTAAAATTTTAAAATCAAAACTTGCCTCTTCTGCCAGTCAAATAACATTTCATGAACCAGATCTGGCCACGTGCAACGTTTCAAGCATTGGCGGATCCAGAAAATTGGCAACATTGTCTTTTCTCCATTCAAACCTATGGAAATGTATCGATCCCTGGAGGGGCCAGGTGCTCTAACGAGAATCGATTATTTAGCATAGGTTTAAATGGAGGAAATCCGGTGTTGCCAAAATGCTGGATCCGCCTCTAGTTGCAAGACTGTCCTCCAGTTTTATTTTTTAAATTTGAAATCAGCATTTAAATTGTAGTTAGGGGGCCATTACGATGAAACTAGTGAAATATGTGAATATGTGAAAAAGCATACGAGTATAAAATATTATCAATAATAATGAAGGCCCGGAAGAATTAAGAGAAGCTTTAATAACAACGAGTCATAAGAAGGCAATGAAAGATGAGCACGGAATTTCCAACGAACGATGAATTAAAGGAAATCGCAAATTTACTTACACTTTTCATAACAATTCGTATGAATGGCATAAGCAGAACGTTAAATATGATTAAAACTGAAAGGTTTAAATCATGCATCCGGGATTTTAGTGAGGGATATATTTTAAAATGCAGTTTTAATCACGAGTAAATACAATAAATGACCGATTAAAATTTTTGGACGACACTTATTCATTCATCCTCCTACTCTCTAAGCGTTGGCTCCGTTTGGCTTCAACGACGAGGCTAAATGCAATACATCCTACAAATCCGTTATTGCTGCATCATAAACTGTCATAAATCATAAACTGACTGTCATCAGTCATACACTGACATATAAGTGGCTACAGAAATATGCGCATCGCGCATGGTATGTATCACTGTGGGAGCTTGCTGATGACCTCGTTTATGATATTTTAAAATTGCACGATATATATCATTACATACTATCGCATTTACATGATATCAGTTCGTCGATGTCAGCATTGAAGGGGTTTAAACAATTAAGAAAATGGAGGAAAAAAATCTTATAAATGAAATTTTTGCCTGATTCTGGAAACAATACTTTGCAATGAGGCGAATTTTAAGGTAAGGTTGTCTTGAAAAGGCTCAAATGAGAAGCTAAGGTGATTAAACCTCGTGACTGCAGTCACGCCGTTTTTGTGGATAACATCTTTTTGCGAAGGATGCATGCTTACGTCTTATCGTACAACATTGCATAACCTCGTATCTGAAGTTTTGTGAATGATCTAGGATTTTTTTTGGAAAAATAGCTCTACTGAGACAAACATTGAGTCAGGAGTATTAAACCTGCTTTTATCTCGGAAAGTCATTTTACTTTCACACCGTTTTTCCACTTATAAGTCTGTCAATGTACAATTTCAAGGTATCGGCTTGAACATTCCGAGCAGAAAAGCTTCAACTTAATAAAAATAATGTGTAGTTGCTTGAATTCAACATGACTACCGTGGTAATTGAATGGACTGCCGTTTGCTAAAGAACTATATTTCTGGCTCATTTGTTTCTGCGGACTGATCGTTGAAATTGATAGACTAAGCGATAGACAAAGCAACCACCCGCTTCCACCAGTAGGATCCCTCCAAATCCCATTTGTCTTCTTTGTCTATAGCTTTGTCTATTAATTTCAACAATCAGCCCACTGCATGGGGGAACTCATGGCACATATACATTGTTTCAAAAATCGGCCAAAATAGTAGTTCGCAACTGCGAAATGGAGTCCAGATGTACCTGTACTTTTAAAATTGTAATTCATTAAAATAAGTAGGTACCCACTGACAATTTTTTAAAATATCGTAGCTTGACCTCTGAATCAATTAATGATGTAACTATGTTCATTTGAAATTTGTTTTAAACCTCTCAATTGAAATAAGAATTTGCAGCAGAAGTGACAAGCGTGGTAATAACCGGTGTGAGAAAGGCTCTTTATGGGCTCAGACAGGGAACCGTTTTCAGCATTCTTTGACGCCAACGGACGACCGCCGCACGGTGGATCGAGTCAATTGGAGAGGTCGGACATGGAATTATTGACTAAAACTGCAAATTTTGATGTTTATTTTGTCACATTTTACATTTTGAGGGGTGCCACTGGAGGATAATTTTACGAGGATACTCCTGAAACCACTTTTCAAACCTCAAAGTTTTATGTAAACGGGGTTTCAAGCGCTTTAAGTTTCCAAAAGTCCGACCTCTCGTATCGACTCGATCCACTGTGCGCCGTCTACACCGCTAAAAAGCGGTAAACGCCACTGCTTTGACCTTAAGAGAAGGATTGAGCTTCACAAAGATGACCTAAGTGCCAAACCACCTAACTCCGTTTTCCACGGTCCAGACTTCCTATCACGCTATATTTTTATTTGAAAAATTAGTCGGCGTAATTTCTGCAATATTTATCTCCTCTGTTAGCAGAACATTTAAGCTATAAAATGGGCTTATTTCCCCTCCAAAAACGTATAAACGAGTGAAAATGCTGAAACACTGCGATGGAGATACTTGGTTTCGTAATTTGGACATCGATGCGATACCAAAAGAAACCCCCTGGTAACTAAGCGACGCAGCCACCAAATGAATCTTCGCGCCACCAAAATACCACTTTAAGTCAATTTAGAGACTAGGAATGACTTTGGGAAAAAAAGGACTTATCTAGAGATTGCCAATTTCCGGTGAATTATGGAAACTGCCTACTGGCATACCTTCGGACGGCAATCAGAATTGGAATTAGAACGCTCACGAGAATTCAGCAAACAAATCTAAAGCATAATACTTGTATTAATTATGTGCACTGATAAAGATACTAAAAGAAGATGCAACTTACATTTTAAGCACTTAGTGAACAATTCACACATAATTTTACAAACCACGGATATTGGCAGGGATAAAAATATTTAAACTATATAACCTCTCAAAGCTTATGTCATTTTTTCTAGCCCTTCGTTAAAGTCTCCGAGAGCCCCGCGATTAACAGTTTCCCCGTGCATGACTCATAACTGGAAATTGTTCTATGATGGTAACGCCTTTATCATGATGTGGATTCAGTAAACGTCATTCAAGAAACACTTTAGGGGGAAAATGGACCGTTAATCCATATCAGTTTCAGAATTCTGATGAAAACCTTTCTCCTAGGAATGAACGCAAATTGCGACGAGAATTTCATTACCTATTGTTTCCTACGTCCCAGCGTCCATCCGAACTATACATTTATGCATACGATTCGGCACGACAAGAAATGCATTTTCCTTACAGAACCAAGTCGTAATAGACGAGCCCGTGTCTTAATTACGATGTTTCGACAAGAGGGTGATACATTGCGTTAAGAAGAATCGAATCGTTTTTAATTTGGAATAAAGAAACTCAAAATTATTCGATAATAGGAATAGACAGTGGAAATTGTATATTGAATCTTAACTTCAAAGAACCTGAACATCAATAAAATGGGTATGTAAGTATATTGCTGCAATGGAATAATTATTTTCCCCTAAAATTAGCCCCGAGTACTTTTTAGATTATGCATGCACCAAAACTTTCATGAAGTCTTGTGAACACTCAGTTGGAGAAAAAATCCTGCAAATTTAGTGCTTTTTTAGACAATATCGCAGAATATTACGAACATGATGAAATATTAATTTCTTTCCCCGACGTTCAGAAAGCATTCTCACAGCTATACAAGCATTCAACCGACAAATGTTATGTTTATACCCGTTTTATAAGGTATATTTCGCGACCGAGGACCGTTAAAATTACGGGAAGATTTGAAAAAATGAAAAGTAAAGGGTAATCAGCGTAGAATTTAAATTGTAGACTAATTTTTTCTTTGAAGGGGTCATAAAATATACCGTAATCAATAAATAACTCACTTTAAATGAAAGAAACACGAATAAGCGCCGTTAAAATGTTTTATTTTGCGCAGCCCTTGCAGTAAGTTTCATTACCTCAAACTTATGGAAGCAGTCGCGCTGGATGTCTGATGTTCCCAAGTCCCATTAAACTAATTGGATCCGAATTATTTGTGATCAATGTCCCTGTGCCTTTAAAAACAATTATAGCTGGAAAAACTAATGGATATAGTTTCAGACTTAAAACGTATGAACGATTCAGCAATTTTATGGAATTATACAATGCAATTCATACAAGGAACGAATTTGCCCCTTATTTTTCTTCAAATCCGACCGGGATAAAACATGTAAATTAAAATTGAATTAAAAAATGGGGTATTAAAAATATAATAAAAAACTGATCCACGGCAAAAATTCAAATAAAAAGAATACACGTTACATTTTTAATGAGAACACTGCGGGATAGGGTAGCTCAATTTATAATCTTACATTGTCCAAAAATGATTCAGAAATAAAACGAATAACACTCGATTAGATTTTAGACACAAAAAAATTGAAATATATATGAATAAAAATTTATTTCACAGTTTTTTCCCTCCAATCTGTTATCTTTCAGATGTATTTATTTTTTGTCTGGATCCACGCAAAACATTCGCGTTTTGCTCTCCGAAAAATCAATAAAATGAGACAAAAAGGGAAAATCGAAAAGAAAAGAAAACCATCCCGCATGGAAATAATGTTCAAAAAGCACGCATAAATTGTATTGTTTTCACACTTTGCTGCGCGAAAGTATAGAAGTGCCCTTGGGAGTATCAGAATGAAGGACGCTGCGAGAAAGAGAGACTTACCCATGGCACGGCGGAGGTCATGGTCATAGCACAAGAACACTGAGTCCATCAAGGACGTAACGTCGACTAAACCAGTTACTTGAACCAGACCCCTGCCTGTTACCAATGTTACCATCTCCAGATTCGCTCTAGCCAACTTCCACACGCAGTCGCCAACTTAACATCAAATACCTCTTTATCGCTATTAAACAATGTGTAGTACCCTCCACTTCCAAGGACCCTCACAGTGTACTTACGCGCCTGCCTGTTTGACTGTAATATCGGAAGGGGGAGAGCAAGGTTAGAGTCCCTTTATACCCAGAGTTACGACAACTCACAATTGGTTGGGCTGAAAGTGGCCAAAAAAATCCAATTCTGATTGGTTCTCGCTCATGGAGTCACAGACGAGTGCACCAAGATGGCGGTGACTCGAATGTGAACAAAAATAATGAAAATATTACCTAATTGTGGTTTATCAAGAGTAAATTGTTATTTCCATCGGTCCAAAATGAAAATAGACTAAGCAATTATTCACAAACCAATCTCATTTTCTTTTTAATTGATAAATTTTGTTGATGTTGTTGTTTTTGGATGACAGTAATCGCAGGATTCCTTATCCTTATCCCTCAATATCGTTCGTTTGGGTGCACTCGTTTGTGCCTCCATGGCCAGCCAAGGTCGGCTGCCAGTTAGCTGATAATCGAGTCGTCTTAACTCTGGGTATAAAGGGACTCTAACGTGCCTGCCTGTTTGACTGTAATATCGGAAAGAGGCGAGAAAGGTTACCTTAGGGTGCGTCAAAAAAAATGAAAGTCTGAAATGTTCCGCTCCCCAGGCGGCAATCGATGACGTTTGGTAAAAAAGCATGTTTGCCAAAATTTGGGCCAATTTCAATCATTTTAAATGGTGCCAAAGGTCAATTTTGTGATGAAATTATGATATTTTGGTTTAGACCTCGATTTCGTACAAAAAACTCGATTTTACGCTGAAATCGTGCGTTTACGAGAAATATGTCAAAGAACTCGACTTGTAGAGGATGAAATTTTACACTAGGGGGACGTCTTTGTAACCGATAAAAATCAAATTGAACTAGAAAAACTCAACTCGGTATTTATTTTTTTGGTCCTCAGAATTTCCGAGGTCTTACTAAGTAGAGGTTTAAAAGACTCATTTTTCACGAAAATAAGTCGAAAGAGGGTATAAATGAACTGTAGGCAAGTGTTGAGGATGCAAATGTCATCAGAACTTCCTCAATTTCAAAAAAAGTTCCAACTATTTTGCACAATCCTCCAAAAAGTGTACGACTCGAGAAGCAGGATCGTGCTATAATAGTAGGAGGAAAGTGCGGTTTGACCGGGAAAAATTGCGTAACAAACTTTCCCTATGTAATCGTCATCAGTAGGTCCCCCTGAACAACTTCCTAAAAGTTAAAAATGGCCCGACCCCGCGGAATATCCCTCAAAAAAGTTAAAATTGAAAATGGCGGCCGTAATAAGAGGGTCCGGGAAATCGGTATTTTAAAATGCTCATCCTGTCTCATCATGTGAGGTATCGTTTCCTATGTAATTTTGGTCGTAGATTTCATAAATAAATTCCGCAAGGCCCTCCGGCCAAAGGGGGCGCTCCAAATCAAAGATGGCGGCCAAATGTGAAAGGCAGGAGGTTGCATTTTTTTAAATATTCACCGAAGGAACAAGGAAAGTGAAGTGTCTTTATTTTCATGTATTTATGGCCAAGAAACTTAAATTTGATGTTATAAATGTATTTAATAAAGGAAATTAAAGGAAACATACGACCACCGAGAGGAACGTAAGCTCAGAAGAGGCCTTGCGGAATTCATTTATGAAATCTACGACCAAAATTACATAGGAAATGATACCTCACATGATGAGACAGGATGAGCATTTAAAATACCGATTTCCCGGACCCTCTTATTACGGCCGCCATTTTCAATTTTAACTTTTTTGAGGGATATTCCGCGGGGTCGGGCCATTTTTAACTTTTAGGAAGTTGCTCAGGGGGACCTACTGATGACGATTACATAGGGAAAGTTTGTTACGCAATTTTTCCCGGTCAAACCGCACTTTCCTCCTACTATTATAGCACGATCCTGCTTCTCGAGTCGTACACTTTTTGGAGGATTGTGCAAAATAGTTGGAACTTTTTTTGAAATTGAGGAAGTTCTGATGACATTTGCATCCTCAACACTTGCCTACAGTTCATTTATACCCTCTTTCGACTTATTTTCGTGAAAAATGAGTCTTTTAAACCTCTACTTAGTAAGACCTCGGAAATTCTGAGGACCAAAAAAATAAATACCGAGTTGAGTTTTTCTAGTTCAATTTGATTTTTATCGGTTACAAAGACGTCCCCCTAGTGTAAAATTTCATCCTCTACAAGTCGAGTTCTTTGACATATTTCTCGTAAACGCACGATTTCAGCGTAAAATCGAGTTTTTTGTACGAAATCGAGGTCTAAACCAAAATATCATAATTTCATCACAAAATTGACCTTTGGCACCATTTAAAATGATTGAAATTGGCCCAAATTTTGGCAAACATGTTTTTTTACCAAACGTCATCGATTGCCGCCTGGGGAGCGGAACATTTCAGACTTTCATTTTTTTTGACGCACCCTAAGGTTACCTAGCCGCTCAAAAATTGAAAAATCCTGCCCCCGCCCCCCACCCCTCCCGCAAGAATTTTTGCATTGAAAAAAGTACTTACAATATTTTCTGGAAAAATTATAAACAATTTAAGTCAGACTTTACTCTTAGGCCAATTCAACATAATTTAAGAAATGTAAATTCTGAATATTTCCCGGAGGATGGAGTTCCCCTCTTCTACATCCCCACTTATTCAACTGCTATATAAGTTCTTCCTCCGAGCTAAATACGGTTCGATTAGACGTATTTCTGCCGAACAAAACTATGTGCAATATGACGTGAGCTCTGATATTCATACATTCTTATGGGTCTCAGGGGTCATGCCGAATGCACATAGTTCCGTTTGGCAGAAATACGTCCAATTTAAAATACCATCAGTTACAAATTGGCACGCAAAAATAGATTTCAATAGGGAAACGTATCGTTCCTAGGAAAGTGAGACAACTTTGAAATCACTGATGTTGTAGCATACTGCACACTTTGATGTCATAGCAAACTGAGATTTAAATATGCGAGTGTAAGTGACTTCAAATTTTCTGGAACGGAGGGTAATATTTTATTCCTAACTGTATCTAGGGCATTTTGACTCACGTTGGCAACATCAATACTTGCAACAACACTAACACTTTTAAGTAATATTAATTGAAATAAATTCAACTAAATAGTTATTAACCAGTGCACTGGGTAATCAGTTTTTTATTCAACGCAAATGAGAAAAGACCATGAAAGTTATACATTTTTATCCAAGATTCGTCACCCAGGAGACGCCAAAAAGAGAAAATAAAAATGAACTTATGATTTTTTTTAATAACAACGAATAGGATTTAACATTCGTCTTCCTGAATGAAAGGAGTCGAGCCATAAAGTGTGTGTGTATATATATATATATATATATATATATATATATATGTTATAGCGCTCTTTGGCGCTGTGCGACGCCTAATCGCCACAAAGCTCGGTCTTCCCACAGGTCATCAGGGAGTTGACAATCTCTTATCTCATTTAACACCCCCTGTCGCCAACCTCTCACTGGGCGTCCCCTACGTCTCCTCCCAGGAGGAACCCAATCAAGCATCTTTTTTGGCAGCCTCTCTTCCGTCATCTTATTGACATGACCATACCAAACAAGCCATAAAGTCGAGCCATAAAGTACTTTTTTTTTTTTTCTGAGGCACCCTGTAAAGGAATGTATTCGGGTGCCAGAAGCAAATGAGAGAGGTTGTGAAGTTTTAAAGATGGTACAGCATGGAATATAGGCGTCGTCGTTTAGATAATCTTGGTCACTGCATCGAGTATAGTAAGGTATTCGGTGCCCAACGCCCTGATACAACTATTCGTGCACGATGGATGTCCGTGTTGCCTATCAAAGAATTGAAGGCATTCTAGTATCCCGTGCTTCCACATCCACAGCGATGCTCTTGATTTGACATGGTTGACATGGGTAGGGGGAGGGGAGTGTTCTCGGGTGGGGGTTGAAGAAGAAACATGTCAAATTGTGTTTCTACCAGGTAACGATCGTTGAGGTTGCGTTTTTATGCACCTATCTACTTTTCTACTCCTGCGTTTAAATCTCCAAACACATTTATGAGCACTCAGTATTTTTGGTAGGACGGATACCTCGATAAGTCTATTCCTACTCTTTCATACACATAGGAACCATGCACGCGGTAAATTGTCTTTGTGATCAAAATTCATCCCGTATTTGCCTTGATGATTCAGTTTCCTCTAATTTACCATCCAACAACGACAGCCAAAAGTTCAATCTTTTTGAATAGAGATTTTCTTTAACCGCCAACCCTTGTGCCGTGATGTGTAGGTATTGTTGCGTCTTTGCCGTTTTGCTTACTGGCTGCAACTTCGAGTCGATATCAGTGAGTTTCCTAAACGATCAGACACAGGAAGAAATATATGAATTGTTTCAAGGGAAGCCGTAAAATTGCAAATCTATTGGCGATAGCGCTATGCAGAGAATTATATATTACTTGATTGCTCCTGAAGACGTCATCAAAAGAGCTGGTTAACTTACAGTATAATTCTTCATATTTTGTTTTACATTTTTGAGAAGGTTGCTCAGTTTTAGAGTTCAGCTTGGCAGTTTCATTGCGACAATGACAAAGTGTTTGGTATACTTTTATCGATAATTTTTTTTCCAAATTTAGACTTAAAATTCCAAAAGAAGCTATATAATCTACGTTTATATGACTATGTATCGATGGTGAAACTGCAGAATGCGCAACTCGGTTGCACTCTTACGGTCATCTTTCTTTTCCGAGCGGAAAACTAGTAAAAATACTTTATTGAAGACGTCTATAATTTTTCTTTTCTATGTTCTGAAAAAATTTTGAGTCGTGATGCTGGTTTGGTCTTCACTTTAAAAATAAAATAAAAGCGGAGATTATTGAAACACCGCAACCGGAATACGGTTTCTTGCAGTCTCACCGTCGATGTAGTCTTCTTTTGCAAAAATGCGTCCAATGAAAGGCCTTTTTAACTCCCTCCACCAAGAGGAAATCGCATTCTTCATATTATACATGTATATTACTGAATTTCTTTTTCAGTTGTGTCTCCTTTTGTCATTCACATGATGCTTAGGACAAACAAGATTTAGAGCAGGCAATATTAAATGACATCGGCAAATATGTGAGAAGGCAACCAACCACACGCGAGAAAATGTCTTCACACTTAAATCTAACTGTTTAAACCTTCCTCATGGTACTTTATTTTTGAACGCCGACAACTGTACTGCCGCGCTAAGTAAGAACGCCGTATGAGCCTTCAGACGTTGTCAAATCTCCTTTGACGAAACACAAATTTCCCGGGAATTTTCGCAATTTTGTTTCCTTCTAATTTTGCAGGGAGCTTTGTTCATAATATGATCTATAAAGTGTCTGAAAATTTCAAGGGAGAAGGTTCATAACTCTCTTTATTTTTTTGAAAGGAAATTTGGCATTATTTGAATGCTTATGCGGCGGTTTTTCTTGGCACGGCGGTATAAGGTTTTGCAACACCGAATCTAACACTCCCATTCAGATCTCAAAATTTCTTTTGAAAGCATATTCTATTATTTGATTGGATTTCGGTTGCTTTTCTAAATAAATAAATCAAAATTTCCCTTAAGGTACGTTGAAGTTGTTGGTAAACTCACCCATTTTTGGCAAAATCAGTTATAATATCGATAAATTTTCTGGAGACTTTAGCATCAGCTTCGGTCCATGTTCTTTCCGGGAAGTATAGCTGAAGCGGGAAAATATCGAGTAGATCATCTGCGTGTGTTACACCTACGAAGAGGGCATTGAATACATGTAAAATGGAGAAAAATTCATTGCGGTACTAGTATAAAAAAACAAAAAAAAAACAATTGGGGTTGAGACTACAGTAAATTTAAAAAAAAAAAAAGGAAACACAAGTGTTATCGTCCGCGGAATAAGGGATCTAAAAACCAAAAACCAGAAAGTAAGTAGTTAATGCCACTGCTCGCTACATGGACAGCGTCAAGCAGAAAGGAACCAAGTCATATCAGCTATTGCCAAATTTATTTGGGTAATTTAATTTTTTACAAGAGAACGTTTTTGCGGATTTTTTGGAAAATTTGAAGTAATTTGCCTCGTGCTATTCAGAAAATTCACTGGAATTTGCAAATAAATCTGCACAACCGTCATGCATCTGCACAATCTCATGTAAAAAATTTAATTCCCTGGTAAAAATTGGCAGTAGAATCTGTGTTCCAAAATACCATAGGCCCACAGCCGGCTGTAAGATTTCCAATAGCTTCTATAGCCGGCAACACAATTTCTTATAGCCTTTTATAACCGATGGCGATTAGGCAACAGCCTGGCGATAAAGTGTATGCTAAACGTTACTAATTACGGATTCTAGGACTTGGTGAGTTTTTGGATTACCGCTCTCTTTTTGGGCCATAGTATCTTGATTTATTTTGCGAGGAAAGCTCCGTACTTTTGAAGGATGCCTGACATTCCTAATATGTTGGAGCGCCTTCAATTTCGTATGATACTGTGCAATACCTCTGGTGTGAAATAGTTGCTTTAAGCGCCGTGGTACGCTGCGGCGGGGCGCGGCGGGCGGGCAGCCAGCATTGGCGCCTACAAACCTAACAGGGATACTTCACGCATTGCGCAATACGTGAAGTATCCCTGTTAGGTTTGTAGGCGCCAGTGCGCCGCCGCATTGCGCAATGCGTGAAGTATCCCTGTTCGGTTTGTAGGCGCCAGTGCGCCGCCGCTCCGCTTTGTGTTAGGCTCTAATATTTAATCTCGTGGAGTCAGCGTTTTCAACTCATGACTTAGAAACCTTTGCACACTCTGTATGGATTATTCTCATTTTGATTGATGAAAAAAATATGTAGTAAAGGAAAATATAATGTGCGTTTTGTATATATTAAGGTGATTCCGTGCATACTGAAGGATTTACAAAGCACACGAATTTCTACACAATTTCTAATAGCCTTTTATAGCCGATGGCGAAAAAGCAACAGCCAGGCGATAAAGTGTAAAGCCCGGCGATAGGAACTATAGCCCGGCTGTATAATTTTTTATCGCTTCGTGTAGCCCGGTCGTATGATTTTTTCCACTTTCTACAGCCAGCTACATGATTTTCTATCGCCTTCTTCAGTCGGCTATGAGAACTCCTATGGGATTTTGAGACGCAGCTTTGATCGCCAATTTTTACCAGGGTCGCCCAGTTAAATTTGATAATAGCTGATAGGGCTTGATTCCTTTCTACTTAATGCGGTCCAAAGGATGCTCTGTGAAAATTTTCCCCCAACAAACACTCAAAAAAGGCAAAAAAGAATCGACGTAACTAAGAGAAAAAACTATGTTGAGTTCTGAGAGTTTTTTGCGTGTGGGTAACTTTGCTGAGCAACGCAAAAACGCCGTGAACGTCATTTTAAATTATTTGGAAACAGTGCATCATAGCAGAAAAACTTGTGTACTCTGCAACAATGTTTTTACAGAATTCTTTCTTAAATACTATCAAGAATTTGGCATGAAAATTTGAGATAGTAAACATAGGTAAAACAGTTTTTTTTTATAATGTGTTAAGTTCCAAAAAACGCGGGGAAATCTTGATGGATTTACAGCGTTCTTGCTTAGCACGGCAGAATATTGGAGAAAGACAATACGAATATAGTCATTTTGGAGAAAGAGGAAAATAAAGGGAAAATAAAATCCATCCCTCAGTATCGAGATGTAGATTACTTTTGATTATGCCTGCTCCATCTAAAATGTCATTGAAAGAAACAGCGTGTAGATGATCGTACAAATAAAGATACGCATCTCCATGGTGCTTTTTGGCTGCTTCAACGGCTCCATGTAGAAACCATCTATCCGTGAACATCTGGAAGAATGATTATAAATGAAAACAAGTTCGAGAATACACGATAATCATAAATTAATCGTATATCAAATTTCAGAGAAAACCTCGTTGGCGGATTAAATGATACTTGATTGTTTCGATGGAAAAATGCCCAATTTCAATATTTATTTGGTGAGTTTATTTATCTCGGTTTGAGGTGTGAATCCCCAGCTTTTGAGCAATGTATGCTGAGTACGGTCGATAGATTTCAAATTTCCATTATCAAGAGAATTATTCGGAATATATCGAAATATCAATCTCGAGATCAATCACTAGGCAGTATTCATACCAAAATCGTCTATCAAACCCTTAAAATATGGTCACAAGTACTATTTTCAAATAACGATTAATATAATATACTGATAGATGTTTGTTCCATCTCTTGCGATTTTATGTGATTTGTTCTGTTTGTCGTCTAATGTTTGCCGTTTGTTCCTCCTCTGCCCGCACTTAACATGTTTTCCTTCAGGTGTTCGATAGCGTTGACTTTTCGTGTTTCTTATATAGGAAAAGTAAAAAAAGTGACTAAGGTTTTTTTTCTCACCACGTGTCAACTCTCAGGGAATTGATTTTTTTTCTCTAAAATCGCAGTTCTATGGATTAAAAATGTCCTCATTTTTTCTTAATTCTTTTGTTTTTTTCAAACAGCAACTTTCTACGTTTTAATATTAATAGAGATAATATCTAAAATTGAAAAGTCGGGTTTTTGACGTCATCCACCGCGGGGGTGACACCCTTAGTTTCTTCCTCTTTTGTTCAATCAGTGTTGCCGAGGGTACAACTCGAAACTTCAACGACATTAAAACATAAAACAACTCAGGAAACAGACAGATTCGCGCCTCGAGGATCTCCTTATTAGGAAATAACGCACTCGACGCACAGTGGATTGAGTCAATCAAAAAGGTCGGACATGAAATTTTTGACTGAAGCTGCAAATTTTTATGTTTAATTCGTCACATTTTAAACTTTGAGGGGTGGTTCTGAGAGAAAATGTCACGAGAAAACCAATGGAACTACTTTTAGAACTTCAAAGTCTTATATAAACGGAGTTATAATCGTTTAAAGTTTCAAAATTTTGTCCGACCTCTCCTATTGACTCGATCCACTGTGCGACGCGAGGAGGATAGGCGGTCAATCAGTTCACCACACTTTGTTTGTGTTTAATGTCGTTGAAATTTCGCGTTGCACCCTCTGCATCACTGTTTGAACAAAAGAGGAAGAAACCAAGGGTGTCACTACCGCGGAGGATGACGTCAAAAACCTTGAATTATTGCTGAAGTATACAAGTCAACCATTTAAAGATGTGTAATTTAACTCATCCCATGGAAACTGCTATCATAGTTATAGTTAAGAATCATTTAGCTTACGTTGATGACTTCTTCCGCTGAAGCATTCATGTCCACAGGCTTATCGCCAAAGTAAAATTTCTGGATTTGCTTGGCCACGCTTGAAAGTTTGTCCCTCGGGAACCTTGACTTCAGTAGTAAAGCACTCGGTAAAACCCTCTGGGGATTTTCTTTCAGTTCGTTTCCGAGTCCTACCCTGTTTATGACTATAACAAAAATGTAACATAAGCATAAAGCTTAATTTCTGAACTGCTATTTAGTTTTCAAATTAGGAAATTATTTGTTCCACGGGGAAAAATGGAGTATAATCTTAGATTGCAGTAATGAAGATTTTAGATTTCAAAACTCAGCTATTAACTGATATTAAAAAGTTAAAAGAAGCAACCAATAATATTTTTCACAAAGTAGAGTGTTACGGAGGCAACAATCTGCTTGACTAAGTCAAATATAGCAGTCAAAAATACCATTCAACGACCGTTACGTAGTGGGAAATTTTTAATGAGAGAAGCCGATAGTCAGACAGGAGGCAATAAAATGTACAAAGGTTTCTTTGGCTATAACTTCTGTATTAAATCCTAATGGAAAATGCCACTCATCTTCGTACGACAACGGTCAAAGCTATTAAGGCGACAAGCGGACTATATGGACTGCATTTTGCAATTTGGACGTATAAATTCTGGCTCATCTGAAAAAACACTTAAGTGCATAGGGGAGCTAATGACACATACGTTGTTTTTAAACCGGGTAGAATTTATAGTTCCAAATTGCAAAATGTTGTCCTTTTATCAGTCTCCTAGAACCATCCCAGAATCATAGGAGAAGAAAAGAGGAAAAAATACAAAAATAGTGGTTACTAGATTCCTCACTATATATAGGTAATTCTTAGAAAATCTAGTTACCGGTGCTAGATTTTTCTCTCCTTGTTAAACATGCATCTGGTTACATTTACGAGCCGCGAGATAGGTATGTCTAAAATCTGGCACTGCTCACTTAATTTCTCGAATGATATACTTAATCAGGATCCTGATGACCAGTTCAATCGTGTAATCTCGGATATTTCTATGCGTATATTTCGGGTGCCCAGCGATCGACCACAGATCGCCTTCTGACTGCTTCGTGAAAAAAGTCAGTCAGCCAATATGGGCGCCCTTCCAACAAAATCTCGGTGGAGAAAAGGGGGCAGCAAATATTCTTGTGAGTGAAAGCCGTATTTAACGGGGTAGCGAAATTTTCAAAAATCTTGAACGGTGCTCAAAAACGAACAAAGGTCGTCCTTAAAAATGGGGTAAAATGTCAATATCGAACCATCAAAATTAATGGAAAATGTATCGTTCAAAAATGAGCCAAAGAGGTAAGATGCTCCTAGTTAAACACCATCTACCTGATATCTTAGAACACGGTTGCCGTCTCTTAAGTAGACATCAATATCAAAAATTTTCTATCGGTAGGAGCAACTACCGTATGTTCCAAGAATGTGCTGTCACTTACTGGAAGCAAAGAAACCTCCTTCGCCAGAGGTAATTCCTGTCATAAAAGGGATTTTGGACCCCAATTTATCTAATTCTTTTGGAAGAAAAGCATTTTTTGTTTCGGACTCGATGGTTGGTGCAAAATTAAGATCGCCAACAACCCAGTCCTGTAAAAAAGGAAAACCAACAAGGCGTTAGTGAAAAAGTATGAGGTTCATTACTCCTTCAAAATATTCAGAAACTCCTCCGTGGATATACAAAAGATAAGTTTTTTTAAAAAAATCAAAGCACCTATCGGCATGGGATAGCTAATGGCACGAACGTTGCTTCTCAAATCAGCGAGATATTTTACATTTTTACACCTATTCCGTTCCTTATTACGAAATATAGTCCAAATTTCATTTTATTCTTTCATGATTTGTTTTCATTTGACAATTATTTCAGACAAAGTCGGCTCGTAAACGCATCAATTTCAGTAATAATTCCCAATTTTCCATGTTAAATTATATTTTGAGTAATGAAGATATCAAAGAGTACCCGAATGAATTACATTTTACGCTCATATGAGCAGGATATCAATCAATATATTTAAAACTCTAAGGAACCTCTCCTCCTCTCGGAAGTCTCGGAAACAAGTCAACGGATTGAATTTTTTTTTTTTTTTTTTTTAAATTTTTTTGTACAGAAATACAAGCAATGTCACTACTACCTAAACAATTACAAAGGTATCCATTGACGTGGATTAAATTGAATATAAATGGTATAACTAAATAAGAAACGGATGATAAGGTTATGTCCTTATCATATTGGTCTGGGGTATGTAATACCCCAGCCATTTGTTTAATGATAAAGAGTAAAATTGTTCCTAGTGGGCAGGCGCGCGGGGAGGGGCAGAGGGCCGGGGGCCACCCCGCCGTAAGGGCAAACAATCAGAATGGGAGAGAATGGCCTTTGGCATGGTTAGCTCTGATTGGCACTTCAATAGCAGCTCCTCTTACAACTGATTGGTTGACCCGGCAGAGAGACCCCCGGCCCCCCGGCCCGCCCCGCCAACCCACTCGGAGTGTGGTTTAACTACTTATTAGTTTCCCACCTCCATATTATTTTGGGACTGCACTAATGTGCTAATAGTGGAGAGAAGGGTACCTGTATAGCGAGAGTATGGACAGATGTGAAACTCCGAAAATCCATCAGGCCTTCACCGATGCTTCTGCGAATAAAGTTAGGGCCCAGAAATGCAGCCAACCTATGAATTTCAATTATCCAGAACGATTTACTAATACTATTGTTACGAACCGTCGTTTATTAAGCACGTGTTTGACTCAGTTTTTGCATAAATTTACTCAATTTCGCGGAAGAACGCTCATTTCTGTACATTCTTTGCCATCATGGTTAGAATTGGAATCTGCAGACTGGCAGTGAAATTTTGTGCGTTAGAAGTTGGTTAGAAGGGTGGCTGCACTTTTGGGCCCTAAGCCCTCCATGAAGCGATCTGTCCATACTCTCGCTATACAGGTACTCTAGTGGAGAGTAGGGAGGAGATTTGCTCCGCTTGAGCTGTAACAAGACGCTCCAAGGTGTTTAGACGTCTATCAATCGCTTGATAAAACTGAATGGCGTCGTTTCTATTATCATTTGTTTTATTGGGCTGAGAATTACCTTTGAGAGCATTAGCGTAACTTGCCGCATTTTTTGGGAGGTTTATAGCTGGGGTGGTGAGATTTGTGGGCGGTATTGCCTTGTGATTAACAAACTTTGAAAGCCTTTTCTTTTTAATGTCTTTGTAGACCCCACACCCTCTGTAATTACCTAGGTGCTGACCGCCACAAAGGGCGCATGTGGGTACAAGGGGTGTAAGGGTCGACAGAGACTCTTTTTTACGATTGCATTCATCTACGACGTGGAATTCGCCGCAGATGACGCATCTCAGCTGTCTATAACAATAGTGTTTGGTATGCCCATATGCCATGCAATTTTGGCACTGAGCAATGGGCCTGTTGCAAACTTTTGCTAGAGCAAAAATAAGAGTTGTTTCCCATAGATGATGCCTCAAAAATCACGATGAGCGCATCGGCAAAGTCTAAAATGCACTCATAAATTCACAATCTGCGTAAGAAAGTTGCGTTATTTTGAGCTCCCCGCTTCAAAAACGATACTCCGGCACAGGTGAACATTTTGTAAGAGGAGTCGTTCCATCGTCGGCAATACTCATCATGGCCGACGCCAATCCGCCAAAACACGTGTGATGGGACGAGATAACACCTGAACTGGATTAGACCAGATAACAATCGGCGTGTTTACGTTCATATTTTCCACGCCCGAATTGATTGACTTTGAACTCTCCTCGAATTACGCGCGGAACTGCGCGCAAGCGTCGGCCATGATGAATATCGCCGACGATGGAGCGACTCCTCTAACAAAATGTTCACCTGTGCCGTAGTATCGTTTTTGAAGCGGGAAGCTTAAAATAACGCAAATTTCTTACGCAGATTGTGGAGTTATGAGTGCATTTCAGACTTTGCCGATGCGCTCATCGTGATTTTTGAGGCATTATCTATAAGAGACAACTCTTATTTTTGCTCTAGCAAAAGTTTGCAACAGGCCCATTACTTTGCTTTTTTTCATAAATTCAAGTTTTACTATCAGGTTATTAATCGAATTAATTTTCTCGAGTTTTTTGGCGACTACAGGAGACGCCTCAACCTCTAAAGTAAACAGTGGCATTGGAGCCTTGGTGATAAAGTGCCTTATCTGAGTAACGTTAATTACCGACAGGCCTTGAGAGACAAGTGACGACTTAATGTCGTCTACTAGGTAATCAGAGGGAAGTCCTCTTATCATACGTTTAATGGTTTTACATTCCTTAAACTGATAAGTATGAAAGCTAATATTTTGAGACTTGAAGTGGCTAAAGAGAGTATTGTACTCATCACGAGTTTTAACTAAGACCTTAACTTGAGATTTATTTACAATTTGAATTTTGGCGTCCTTAACTAAGGGATCTACTACTACCTTTTTGAAAATAAGAGGTTTCCCTACTCCTGAAACAAAAAGGGGGGGAGGAAGGGGTTTAGCTGCCGGTTTATCCGGTTTTTCTATATCTAATACATTAAAATTGTTACTATTTTTACTAGAGTTAGATTTATTTACATTGGGGGACTTCCCCTGATTTAGCTTGTTAGATTTGGTTTTGGGGTTCGCACTGGAACTTTTTGTAGGCTCATTGTCAGTAGAGCCATTATCGGATGAGCTGGTGCCTCGTTTTCTTTTGTTAATCACAGTTGTCCATTCACTGTTTTTGACAGGGACCAAATTGCTTGAATTATTGGAGTTCGCTGAAGAAGGTCTTGAAGTTTCTTCCATGGGTGTGGCCTTTAAGGTTGATTGAAAGGGCGGGGAGTTTTCGGCATAAAACTTGTCGAGAACTTCACGTTTAAAGACAGCATAACGTTGTGTATCCGTTCCTTCTATGTGGTGATCGTTAGGGAAAACGGATCCTTTTAATGGTATACATGTGTTGTCCAATACATGTGATTGGTTGCAAAGGCAGCACAGTTTACATGATCGCCATGGGACGGCGTGAATACAAGAGGCATCAAGAATTATATTTGTGCATATATCGCATGCGTGAACAGGTTTCCTGTGGATGCAAATAAACCTGTATGCAAAAGCAGCATTTCGCTGTATGTCTTTATGCGTGTAGTAGAACGGCATACTAAAAATTTTATTATTTACACAATTTACAAATTGAAATCTGTTCCTAAGTCCAGAAAAGTGATGAGGTGGGCATACTCACAATGCTGCAGAGCAGCCTCACAACACTTTTGATCACACAGAAGATAAGGGAGCTCTAATCACTGCGCGTCTGTACTGGTCAGAGGTTGATAACGAACTCCAGATTGAATTTGGGTTCTTTTTAAACGAAATTTTTAGATGTGCTAGAACCCCTCCCCAAGTAGCACTTTTCAAAGGAAAAATCGCTATATGTATTGCGATTTTATCGGCGATAAAATCGCCAGGAACATCAACGTCTGAGCGATTATCCTCGATCCTATCGCGATGAAATCGTGCTTTTATCGCCCGACAATTTATCGCGATATTTTCGAAGTAAAAATCGCGATAAATGGCGATTTAATCTCGATTTTATCGACGAAAATTGATCACGATTTTATCGAACTAAAAATTGCGATGTGTAGCGATTTAATCGCCATGTATCGCAATTTTTAACGCGATAATATCTCGATATATTGCCACCGATATAATCGCGATAACCAACCGATAAAATCTCTATCTATCACGATCACTGCTACTTGGGTCAATGATTCGATCTGCGCCACCGACGTTGTAAAATTTATCTTGATTTAAATTGACTTATTTTCGGGAACTACTGGACCAATTTACTTCGGATTTGTTTCCCGGAAACATAAATAAGATAAATTGATTTATGAAATCTTACTTGGAACCTATTGGCCATCTGTACGAGTAATTCAACTGGAACCATTTGCATGCATTTTCGGAGTTCGTGAGAGGGCTCAGGTGGACAGCTGCACAATACAGCCAGTGCTTTTGTCCTGTCCTTAAGCAACTGTGGAGGTATGATTGCCGATGGACAATATCCAGATCCGCTCATTGATATGACTCTATGAATCAGACCTGAATGAGGATTAAGAAAAACGGTAAGGTTTCAAACATGAATCGTAATTGGAATGGGGAAACATAGCTATAATACCGGATGTACACCGAAAAAAAAGAAAAGATGCTGTAGTAACATCCCAGATGTTACGGTTGTTAAAAAAATGTGCGACAACTCTTGGATGTTGCGATTAACACTCGGGCAGTTAACGTAGCATAATAGGGTGTAAAAGTAACATCCTAGGATGTTAGTTAGTTTTAGTTTTAAACCATGTAGATAGATACAAGGAAATACTTGTAGTAGTTACGTTATATTTAAATAAAATTCTGAAAAAAAAAGATAGAAAAGTGGTCGGCTCAGAACTGTAAGGTATGGTACAGATAGCAATTCTCGAGGTAGGATATTACTGGAAATGAGAAATAATCTAGTGAATACTAAGTTAAGAATATTTCTCACAATACTTTTAAATATTGGACTAAACTATCAAATAAAATTCTGGTCAGGAGTTGTGTGAACTACTCAGAGTTAGTCCGAGCTAAAAAATGGCTCCAGAATAATTATTCCCGTATTTTGAAAACTCACTCAGATTAGAGTTAATTTCACTCAGGCGGGAAATAGCAGCGGGAAGACATCGAGGAAAAAATAGATTCAAAAGTCAATGATGGTCGGGACCAAGATGCCTTCTCCCGTGGACAGTAATTAGAAATAAATCGATCAACAATTAACGATCAACGAATCAATCAGTACGTATATGATCAGTCTCTACAGTAGAAAATGGCACTCTACTGTAAGTCACCTACCTTTATTTAGCGGTGACAAAAGATTCAGATGAGCACTCATAGCTCCGGCACTCTCGCCAAACAAGGTTACTAAATCGGGATTTCCGCCGAAGTACTCGATATTTTCGTGGACCCATTTAATCGCGAGAGCTTGATCCTTCAAACCAAGATTGGCAGGGATTACTTCGTCACCAGTGCTCAGGAACCCTTAGGTGATAATACGAAAAGGTTCAAATACTTGGCGAGTAAAGAGTTGTAAAAACACACGCGGCATACACGTCTCTTTTTGCATCATTTTAGAACGTGCATGATAGAGAGAAGGCTCTAAAGTATGCAACTTGCATTTAATTTAACTGAAAAGTGATTCTGTATCCCCTATTATTAGTTCAAAAATAGTAAAAGCAAAAAAGGAAATAGTGGAAACAAGGCTAAAATACAGAAAAATACATGGGACGTTTCGGTGTCGCACGACACCATTATCAACCGCTAAAAAAGTACGAAAATAAAAAAGAAATTAAAATTCAAAGAGACCAGCACGGCGTTACATGGTAATGAAAGACTGCAGTGATAACACGCAGCAGTCGCTGTAGTTATTACTACGGTTAAAGGACATTTCGTCAACGATTTTTTGTCCGCGCACCTGTCTTTTCCAGTAATTTACGTCCACGCGTTTTTTCGGCACGGGAGTTTTGGTCCACGTGCCAGTTGAGACCCAAAGTTAATTGGCCCACATGTAAATACAAACGATCATTGCTCACGACGTTTTTGGATGAAAATGTATAATGTCTTGGAAGAATGAGGGTTTGCTTGTTTTTTGTTTTGTCCGTTTGGTCCAATGGAGAATAATATGTAGTTGAGAGTTTTGGTAAAAATGGGGGAGCGTCAATTCCATGAGACAAAATTCACTGAAACTCTCTACACCTCTTTGGTGTAACAGGACTTAATTATCTTTCAAGAAATTCCAATCTTGTTATACCTGAACCGGATAAACCTCTATATTTGCTTCAGCTAAAGGCTCTTAGATTTTTCCCGTGCACGATAAGTATCTTGATTTATTTTGCGAGGAAAGATCTGTACTTTTAAAGGATGTCTGTCATTCTTAATACGTTCAATTTCGTATAATACTGTGCAACACCTCTGTTGTGAAATAGTTGCTTCAGGCGCCGCCGCACGGCGGCGAGCGGGCGATCAGCGCGGAACGCGCATTGGCGCCTACAAACCTAAGTGGATACTTCAAGCATTGTGCAATGCGCGAAGTATCCACTTGGGTTTGTAGGCGCCAGTGAGCCTCTCGCGCTGGCAGCACGCCGCTCCGCTCTGTTAGGCTTTAATATTTATACTCGCATAGTCAGCGTTTTTTAACTCATGATTTTGAAATGTTAGCACACTCTGTATTCATTATTCTCATTTAATCTGATGGAAAAAATATGTATCAATTTATCAAAGGAGAATAATAATATAATGTGTGTTTTTTAAATATTGGTGGTTCCATGTCAAATTTAATGATTTCCAAAGGACTTTAATTTTTTCTTTTACATTTTGTGCTTTTATTGTGCTGCAGCGAGGTGTACGCGCAACCAAACGCTCAAAAAGTTGACGTATTTGACTCTAAAGGATCGATGTACAAATGGTTTAAAACTAAAGATCACGTGCTTCTTAGTTTTTTCCTCTCTATTATTCATTTTTGCAGTTTCTGTCGGCACAACTATGCGGCTCATTGAGATTAATGTCGCTTGGAAAAGGTTTTACAAATATTTGCCACGTTTTAAAAATATAAATGTTTTCAAAATGAAGTAATAATTTCCTAAAGAAAGAAAAAAATAAAATAAAAAAAGTACCCATACGTATATAAGGTATATTGTCCATCGAATATTTTAAGGATAGAAATAAAACCAAAAATTCACCAATGACAATTTAAAAAGATGATTCAAAAGGAGAAAGTAATAACATTTCATTTAGAAAATGAGCAACCATAACAACACCTCTTTCCCTCTCAATTTCTCATTTCCATATTGTCAATATAATTTTACATACCGACTGAAATATAACGCTTGGATCAAGTCACTGTTGCTTATTTTACGTGTGGGCGTAGACTACTGGACAAAAAAGGTGCGCGGACAAAAAATCGTTGACAATGCAAAATGTCCTGAAACCATCACTGCAGTCTTTCATAACCATGCAACGCCGCGCTGGTCTCTTTTGATTTTAATTTCTTTTTTATTTTCATACTGTTCTAGCGATTGATAATGGTGTCGTGAGACACCGAAATGTCCCGTGTATATATATATATATGTATTTAAGCCTTGTTTCCACTGTTTCCTTGTTTTGCTTTTAATATTTCCGTTTTGGGCTGCCTGTGTACCTTTGTCTCAGTTCTATTATTATTTCATTTCTGCCCTTTCCATTTAACTCTATCTTTTATCTTGTCCTCCTCTCCCTCTTTAACCCTCAACCTCCTTTGCAATCCAGGATGAAACTCATTCTTTTTGTTTTGAAGAATATCAATACAATGTTTTTATAATATGCATGTGTTTAAAGTAATCAAGATTACATATTTACCCTGAAGGCCTGCTGCACTTACGTATTTCTTCTCAATTTTACAGAGCCACCTGTTTTTTTGCTTTCCTTCTTCCCTTCTCCGTTTTCTTAATGTCCCTTTCACTCCTCGCTATTTTACATCATTTTGACCTCTTAATAAATTCTCAAGACGGAACTCCGGAATCTTGCATACAGAGCCATTCTTTCCTTATACAACATTCAAAAGAACTCGTACTTAAAATAAGGAATATCAATTTACTAGAACCACTGCATCATAGAAATATACAATTTTGAACGGGAAGCATCTGGCTGTTAGAACTTACTTGAAACCTATTGCCTCCACGCGCAGGTAAGTTTTGTGGTATTCTCTCATTGTGAAGGCGCTTAAACAACTCGCTGTTTCAGTATACTAGCTCAGCAGTGTAAGCGCGCTGAATCTTTATGTGATAAACTTTACAGGTACATGAATCGATTGCGCGCCATAACAACAATTTTAAAGTTTACCCCTTGTTTTATTTTTACTAGGGAAAGTCAAGTTTTGAATTTCAGAAAACTCATCACCCTATACAAATGGACCCTAATATCACTTTGCTCAATGACCTCTGACCATACGCTTACCAAGAGTTCCCAGTCTGTAGTTGATGGTGACCAATATAACATCTTTATCTAGTAGTAGCTCTGGCCCGTAGACGGAGCCAGCTCCCATCTGAAATGCACCACCGTGAATCCAGACCATTACTGGGAGTCTTGCTGACTTGTCCACCTACGAAATAAGGCAGTCCGTTCGAAGCATGGAAATGATAAAAACCCATGGTTCAATATTTTTGCAATGTTTTGAAATAACTGCGTTTATTTATCGCTGTATTTATCTATCTATTTATTTATGCATTTCTGTATTTATCTATCTATTTATTTATTTCACTTACTTTTCTTCCTTTTTCGCCCGATGCAAATTTGATTGTCACTATTTACACATTTATACTGTATAGGTGTGTAAATAGTGTGTAAATAGTGACAACCGAATTTGCAGCGGGCGAAAAAGGAAGAAAAGTAAGTGACCATTGTTCCCGATAAAGAAAACAAAGAAGTAGTAATTTATTTATTTTTTTATTTATTTACTTATTTATCTATCTATCTATTTTTTATTTTTTTTTTAGGAAATTCAACCTGCGGAGCTGAAAACGTTCGCACAGATCATCCCTCACGCCAGGGCCGGATTTTTGGGATTTGGGATGCCGGTGTGCTGCAGCACCGCGGGCCCCGGACCGGGGGCTCGGTCCCACGGGCCCCTTGCGGGCCCTTTTATACCGTCAGCATCCTGGGCTCCTGAGCGTGGATCCGACCTTGTTTCATACAGCGGAAAGGGAGGGTTATTAACATGATCAAGCATTGACTGCGAATAGTTTTCGTTTCCAGGGTAAAGAATAAGAGGAAGTTTAAAACGTTAGAAGCTAAGATACTCGCACAAGTTATTTTTAGTTTCATCATTGATAAGCGAACTTGGAAATTGGAAGTTATTTTGAATGGAACGCTACAGAAAACAAATAGCATTGTACGTGCAAAGCACGGATGAGAAATACGGAGAGAAAGAGGCAGAAGATGATTAGGAACATTTTACGAGGTTGTGAATATGGAGTGCGTTTTGCAATTTGGAACTATAAATTCTAGCCCGGTTCAAAAACAACGTATGTGCCATTAGTTTCCCTATGCATATACGTGTTTTTCCAGAAGAGCCAGAATTTATAGTTCCAAATTGCAAAATGCAGCCCGATTCTACAATTGGATTCGTTTGGGTATAATTAATCTAAATCAATATTATTTGTATTCGGATTACTATCCTCAATTTAAATTTTTCTCGACTTTCTACAGCCATTGACTTTATGAATTTTGTTATTGACATTTATGAATTAAGCTTTACTTTTATCGACACCTCTAAAACTTGCATACAACAGTTCAACGACAGTACTGAGATATAATTAAGATTCAATGCAATAATATTGCAATATATTTACATATTTATGACAATAAATGGCGATTTTAAACGATGAGCTAAATAATTTCCATGTATTAGGAAGACAGGCACTTTGCAATGCAGTGAGATTTGACAACTTATTTCAACTTCATAACAAAACATTTCAATAATAGAGAACCTCCCATTTGCACCGAGGCTCGAGGAGGATGACACCGATGCAATGAAAAAACGTTTACCATGTGTAATTGCAATTTGTGCCTCTTGAATAAGCTTATTTTTTTCCTCACTCAAAAGCTTACCTTCGGAGAGTACACGTGAAGGACAAGGCAGTCCTCCTGGCCTGGATCATTAGGATCAAATAGATTGGCGAATTCGAATTGTACACACATTGTTGCATTATTTGTGGCATCAAGTGGCTCTTTCCATGGCTCTGCTGGTTGCGGCTCCTGAAAGTGCATTAGCAAAATATTATCAACGGCATGTGGTCATGGTCATATACCCCCAAGCAATACTTCGTAACTAGGAGAGGACGAAGTATTCCGACTGAAAAAATCGAATTTTCAGTTGCATCCAAATAAGATTATTTATGAACCACCTACTTACATCGCGGATGGGAGGTAGAGATTTTTCATCAAATATAACATTATTTATTCATACAATTTGGAAACTAAATGCTAAAATGTAGCAGAACAATTGCCTAACATTTCTCAATCGATGACTTATCGGTCGGAAAATGTATCTTCTATCGGAAATTTGCATATCATTGCTCAAGTCTAATTTACTCGAGAGAAAACCAATCAATTATTTTCGTATATTTTTTTGTCACCAGAGATTTTTAAACGCTTTAATAGAGATAAAAGATTTTTGCTGTGGCCATCGACATCACCATTCTTGAGCTAAGGGCTTTTATAATTTATTATAGGTCATGTTAATCGCTTAAAATTTGATAAAATCTTCGCCTTTAAGATGAGAAAACTTGGTTTAATATTGCAGATCTATAAGTGCTATGCCATCAAAAAAGCACGTGAATATTAATAAATGCAATATTTGCAAAAACCATTCAATGAAATATAAAATTCCTGAATAAAATATATCCTGGCGCATATAATTTTGCAATTTTTGTATACTTTCAAAAAAGCTAAATTAAATAAAGGTCTCTGAAATCAAATCTCAATCATGAACAATCTACGGTCGGCGTTTTAGCGAAACACTGATGAGGTGGTCTAAATTTAAATAACAATGAATTAAACTGTATGAAACTAACCTTGAACCTTAAAGGTCCAACCGGAGGTTTAGCGAAAGGGATCCCTGTGAAGCTGTGAATCACTCTTCCATCCCTCGTCCTCAACGTATCAAATCCAATAATCTTCCCATTTGGAATCGAAACCTCTAGGGCACAAGAATATAACACACCACACGAAAAAATCAGTGCTGATTTCGCCCAAAATGATACCTTCATCTTAAACAGAGCAGCGTCCACTCTCGCGTGAAACCCAAGTGGTACTGGCAATCGGATGTTCCTTATCTAACTAATTCTATCCTACCTGCAGCGCTCTGCGTTATATAGGACTTATTCGATCTCTGACTGGATCTACACTGCGTGCAAGCGGCGAAAAATTTGCGTCAGCCGAGCACTCGCGTCACGAGGTTAATTGAAAGTTATATGCAGGCCGACTCGAGGCCGCTGTAATGAGGCAATTAAAAATACTCGTCCGAGCTCGGCGCTTGCATCGGCGTCATGCATGGTTGCAACATCTAAATTTATTCTCTATTTTCGACTTGGTGAAATCTTCGATTCTCTCACACCGCCATTTTGTATCGAATTTGTATCGAAAAAGTGACCCGCACACCGGGCTCGGGACTCGTCGAGCAGAACATGGCGCCAGCTCTCCCATTTACATTACGACTCTACAAATGTACTCTATGCATGAACGGCAACAGTGCGGGGGCCTTTCCATGTTTCATCCGATTATCAGCTCATTAAACTTTTTGAGCTTTATTGTATATCCATAGTTTTTGTCTAACCGTTCGATCGGATTCTGTTCAATTTTTAACCTGCCAGGTCAGGTGGTTTATTGCGACACCCTTCATGACACTCGAGACTTTCTTTATTCCAGATGTGATCACACACTCATCTCAAGTTCGACTATAAATATAAATATTTACAGAAGTACTCTCCTCCATTACGGCCTCAACTTTTTATCAATTTCATATAGATTAAGTCGCCGCACAGGAAGTACCTTATAGTGAACTTCTTTCTGTGACAAATTTAAAATGCAAAATTGATCGATTTGCGAACATAAAAGTGCATGCTTTGTCACACAAAGTTGTAATTTTCATGATTGCGGCTGTTGTGGCTCCTGCAAGATGAATGCAACTATTCGTACTCAAGGGCTAACCGCATTGCATATACACAAAATTGAAGGCGCTCTACATTATTAGCCTCCTAAAAGTAATGCGCACGGCAGTCCAGAGTTACTTTTACATTCTGAGAATGTAAGAATCCCCTGTAGACCGATTATTGAAATTTATAGACAAAGCTATGGACAAAGACAAAAGGGATATGGAGAGATCTTATTGGTGGAAGCGAGCAGTTGCAATGGACAAAGGAGGTGAATAATTAATAGACTGACTGGATAAAAGCTAAGAGATACCCTACAGTTAGTGCATAATTTTCTTCTTTAGTTTATAGGGACCATCCATTTCCACCAATAGAATCGTTCCATTCTCCCTATGTCTCGCTTGTCTATCGTTATGTCTATCAATTTCAATAATCAGCCCGCTGACAAATTCTCGGCACTCTGAATATTGAAGCAACATGGTATTCTTTCGGAATTCGTCTCAATATTTCCAGGATACCCATCACCGCAGGGCGTTAATACATCTCAACCTTAAGAAACTATTTATAATTCAAGTCAGAGATATGATCTGTGCAAACTATTTTTTAGGGATAATTAGGCACATTTTTAAGTAGTAAGTCAACTTACGTTTCATATTATGTTAATGCAACTGATAGTATTACCTATAGAGAGAATATATTTAAAGAAGAATAAATGGTAAACAACTCATTGTTGTAGCATTTCAAGCAACTAATTAATTGATTTGCAGTTATAGACGCATCTTTCGTCCTTCTTCCTCACAGGTCGGTGAGCTTGGCCACCTCTTTTTTTTCTATTTCTTTTCCTTTTTGCAAGGAGGGATACTTTCTTAGAGATACTTTTTTAATGGAGTTGTACTCCGATGACGCCATTATCTAATATTAATTAGTTAAAGAACCAAGGCGTTGTATTAATTACGGATTATTTTATTTAACTTAATCTTTTCGATCTGGCGATCATCATCAGAGTTTTCATTTCACATTCACATTCAATAAAATTCACTATAACTAATCACAGTAGTCATCATCACAGTTTTCATTTCGTATTGATATTTAATGAAATTCACAAGAATTCAAGAACAGTATGTCTTTCGTGACGTCACAGTGCTTATCTAGTACAGCTCACTTCCAGCGCGCATGTCAATATTCTCCGTTTTTCCCTGTATCCCTCGTTTTGCAACAAGATCGCACTTTTTTCTGTCTGCGGTGTAAACTCTTATTTTCAAAACTTCTTCAAAGAGATAATGCGAAAAAAAATACCGTGTTTTTTTTCATATTTACCTCTTTTAAATGGGTGGCTGTATCACATCTACGATTTGAGTGCTTTGGTATAGATGACAAAAGTATTTTCAGTAGAATGTCTACCTCGAGAATGGCTATTCCTACTTTTTTTATACACATAGGAATCGGAACCACGCACAAACTAAATTGGACGTAATACGTCTAATCGTATTTCTGCCAGACGCAGCTATGTGCACTAGGTATAACGTGAGCCTTATCATGCATATTCTTATGGGTCTCATGGCTCATGCGCTCATGCCTCAATGCACATAGTTCAGTTTGGCAGAAATACGTCTAATCATCCCTGTGATCAAAATTCATCTCGTATATGCCTTGATGATTCAGTTTCTTCCAATTTGCCATCCAACAACGACAGCCAAAAGTTCACTCTTTTTGAATAGAGATTTTCTTTAACCGTCAACCCTTGTGCCGTGATGTGTAGGTATTGGTGCGTCTGTACCGTTTTGCTTACTGGCTGCAACTTCGAGTCGATAACAGTGAGTTTTCTAAACGATCAAACAAAGGAAGAAACATATTAATTGTTTCAAGTGAAGCAGAAGAATTCCAAAACTATTGACGATAGTTCCGGCGCCAAAACTGTGTTGAGAATGATTTATTACTTGATTACATTTGAAGACGCCATCAAAACAGCTGACTAACTTACAGTATATTTCTTCATAGTTTGTTGAGAGGATTGTTCAGTTTTAGGGTTCAGCTTGGCAATTCTATCGCGAATCTAACGAAGTAACAATGTATTTGGTACACTTTTGTGTCTACGTCTACGTTTCCCTGAAACGTAGACTTTTCAATCCGAAAGAAGCTATACAATCGATGGTGAAACTGCAGAAATGCGTATACCTCGGTCTGCGACGTTGCACTCTTACTGTCATATTCTTTTCCGAGCGGAAAACTAGTAAACATCATTCATTGAAGACATCTATGATTTTTCTTTTCTACGTTCTGGAAAATTGTTGAGCCATGATGTTGGTTCGGTCACTTCTTCAAAAATAAAATTGAAGCGGAAATTTTGAAACACCGCAACCGAATTCGGTTTCTTGCAGTTTCACCGTCGATATGGCCTTCATTTTTTTCACCATCTTTTTTATCTTTAAAAAGAGCGACTTTTTACCAAGAAAGAACTTACGGACTTTTTGCCTCCTCCAAGAGGTGCCTAATCACATTCTTTATGATATGTGGCTGGATTATTTATTGTCCAGCTGTGTCTTCTTTCGTTAGCTACATGATGCTTAGAGCAAACAAGCTTTAGTGATGACAATTTAAAATGACATTGGTGAATATGTCCGAGATGGCAACCAATCACACGAGGGAAATGCCTATTATGTACTCGAAATCTAACAGTTTCATCCTTCCTCATTGTACTTTAGGTATTTTTGAACACCTCCTACTATACTACCACGCTAAGGAAGAACCTATGAGCCTTCAGACGTTACCAAATCTCCTTTGACAAATCACAAATTTCTCGGGAAAATTTTCAATTTTTTTTCCTCCTAATTTTGCGGGTAGCTTTGTTCATAATATGATCTATAAAGTGTCTGAAAATTTCAAGGCAAAATATTTGTAACTCTCTTTATTTTTCTGGAGGGAAATTTGGCATCATTCGAAAGCTTATGCGGCGGTTTTTCTTAGCACGGCGGTATTAGGTTTCGTAACACCGAATCTAACTCCCAATCAGATCTCGTTTCCTTTAAAGGCGTATTCCATTCATCGAGTGGATTTCGGTTGCTTTTTTGAATAAATAAATATAAATTTCCTTTAAAATACGCTGAAGTTGTTGATAAACTCACCCATTTTTGGCAAAATCAGTTACGATATCAATAAACTTTCTGGAGACTTTAACATCAGCTTCGGTCCATGTTCTCTCCGGGAAGTATAGCTGAAGCGGGAAAATATCGAGTAGATCATCTATGTGTGCTACACCTATCAAGAGGGCAATGAATACATGTAAAATGGAAAAAAAATCATTGCGGCACAAAAAAAAAAAACAACTGGAGATGNCCCCCCCCCAAAAAAAAAAATGGGAAACACAACTGTGATCGTCCTCGGAATGAGAGATCTAAATACTAAAAACCAGAAAATAAGCAGTTAATGCCACTGCTCAGCTACATGGACCACGTTAAGCAGAAAGGGACCAAGTCACATCAGCTATTGTCAAAATCTGGGCGATTTAATTTCTTTACAAGAGAATGTTTTTGATGCAGATTCTTTGGAAAATTCGAAGTAATTTGCTTCGTGCTATGCAAAAAATTCACCAAAATTTGCACTAAAATCCGCACAACCGTTCTCATGTAAAAAATTGAATTGCCGGATTTTTGACAGAACTGATAGGGCTTGGTTCCTTTCTACTTAACGCGGTCTAAAGGATGCTCTGTGAAAATTTTTCCCCAACATACGCTCAAAAACAGCAAAAAAGAATCGACGTAGCTAAGAGAAAAAACTATGTTGAGTTCTGAGAGTTTTTAGCGTGTGGGTAACTCTGCCGTGCAACGCAAAAACGCCGTAAACGTCATTTTAATTATTTGGAAACAGTGCATCATAGCAGAAAAACTTGTGTACTCTGCAACAATGTTTTTACAGAATTCTTTCTTAAATACTATCAAGAATTTGGCATGAAAATTTGAGATAGTAAACATAGGTAAAACAGTTTTTATTTTATAAAGTGTTCAAGTTCTAAGAAACGCGGGGAAATTTTGATGGATTTACGACATTCTTGCTTAGCACGACAGAATTTTGAAGAAAGCCAATATGAGTATAAACGTCTTGGAAGATGAGGAAGATAAAGGAAAAAGAAAATCAATCTCTCAGTATCAGGAGATAACTTACTTTTGACTTTGCCTGCTCCACCTAAAATGTCATTGAAAGAAACAGCGTGTAGATGATCATACAAATAAAGATACGCATCTCCGTGGTGCTTTTTGGCTGCTTCAACGGCTCCATGTAGAAACCATCTATCCGTGAACATCTGGAAGAATGATTATAAAGGGAAACAAGTTCGAGAATGCACGATAATCATAAATTAATCGTAAATCATAAATTTCAGACGAAACCCCGTCGGCGGATTAAATTATACTCGGTAATAGTTTCGATGTAGGAAATACCTAATTTTTTGGAGAGTTTTATTTATCTCGGTTTGATGTGTGAATCTCCAGCTTTGGAGCGATGTATGCTGAGTACGGTCGATCGATTTCCAATTTATTCCACCACCAAGGAATTATTTAGAACATATCGAAATATCAATCTCTAGATCAATCACCAAGGCGTGTTCATCCCAAAATCGACTTTCGAACCCTTAAAATATGGTCAAAAGTACTATTTCAAGTAACGTTTGATGTAATTTACCAATATGAGTTTGTTCCATCTCTTGCGATTTTATGTGAATTGTCGTGGTTGTCGTCTAATGTTTCTTGTTTTTTTTTCCTCTGCCCGCTTAACATTTTCTTCTTCAGATGTTCGATAGGGTTAAGACGGGATGTTGGAGTTTTTTAGCCAATGAGCGTAAAAATTTCAGCTTAAAGCTGAAATATCATTAGAGAGGGAAAAAGCTCACACACGAGCACAATTTTCCCTCAAAGACACAAAATGTGCTCGTGTGTGAGCTGTTTCCCTCTCTAATGAGATTTCAGCTTTAAGCTGAACTTTTAACGCACTCGGTTTGCGATAGGGTTGACTCATCGTGTTTTTTATCTAATAACTTAGGTTTTTTAGGTAGGTCAGGAATGAGAGGGTACGGGAGATCATGGATGCCAAACAGACCATCGTGCATGACATTATGACAAAACAACTCATTTGGTATGGTCATGTCCAGAGAATGGCAGGAGACAGGTTGCCGAAGAAGGTCCTTGACTGGGTTCCTCCTGGGAGAAGATGCAGAGGGCGCCCAATGAAAGGTTGGAGGGAAGGGATTGAAGCTGAAATGTTAAGGTGCTCAATCCCCCAAGATTTGTGGTTTGAAAGAGAGCAGTGGAGGTTAGGAGTCGTAGAGCGCGAGGAAGTGCTGTAAAGCGACCTTCATATATATACTTAGGTTTTTTCTCAGCACTTATCAACTCTCAGCAAATTGATTTTTCTTTCTTTCTAAAAATGAGTAGAAAATGTCATCATTTTTTCTTAGTTTTTTGTTTTTCTTCATTTCATCAGTCAGTTGTGCTGGTCACAGAATCTTCTTTTGATGCTACTTCTTGTAGATTAGCTAATAATATTAAAATCGTCCAAACAGCTACTTCTTACGTTCGATATCAATAAAGATTGTATCTCGATTTGAAAAGTCGGGTTTTTGACGTCATCCACCGCGGATTGATAAACCCTTCAACGACACACGAAACTTCAACCACACACGAAACTTCAACGACATTACGACCATACCTAAACAAAGTCAGGAAGCTGTTCAACGAATTCGCGCTCCGAGGATCTTCTAATGGACCACTATACAAGGTACGAATTAAAGGATTCTAATTTATGTTTCTTGACGAGAATTTCACGTAAAACACGATTTGCGCAACGAAAATTACTTAAACCAACTCCTAACGAAGGTATTCACGTTTTTATTTCACATTGGTTACGAGGAATTTGAACTGCCCGCTCACAAGAAACTCAAAGCTCTACGTGAGTCAAATCACGCACTACAACGGTTTCAGCAATCTTCTCAGTCGAGCAATGTTCATTTCCCACCATGTGTTGTTCAAACTATATGCCATTTGCCATAGCTGAGTCAAAGCATCAAGATTGAGGTTGCCAGATTTTTATATCGCAGAGACTGTCATGATAACGTTTCGCGCGCGATGTGAATCACGTAGGGCATTGAGTTTTCATGAGCGGGTGGTTTGAATTCACGCATCAAGAATCATTAAAAATCTTCGTAACTAGTTGATATCGGTAAATTTCGTTGTGCGCATCGTGTTTTACGTGAAATTTTGGTTATGAAACATGTATCAGAATGCTGAAATTTGTACCTTGTCTAGTGGTCCATTAGGAGATGACGCACTCGACGCGAAGAAGTTAAGCGGTCAATTAGTTTACACCGGTTTGTTTATGTTGAATGTCGTTGAAGTTTCGCGTTGCGCCCTCTGCATCACTGATCGAACAAGAAAGGAAGTAACCAAGGGTGGCACTAACACGGTGGATGACGTCAAAAACCCGACTTTTGAAAGCGCGATATCTTTATTAATATTGAACGTAGTAAGTTGCTGTTTGGACAGACCTTAATATTCTTAGTTAATCTATAACAACCAACCATTGAAACACGATTCTGATGTAACCAGCACGACTGACCTGTATCCGCTGAAAAGCTGGTAAGTGGTGGAGTTTACGGCTTGTTTCCCAAGCTTCGTTTTGCCGGTGTAATTTTTCGAGCGAAAACTCTCATTTGACGTGGCCAATTTGTCTTACATTAATTTAATTTTTTCTTGCCATCAACAAATGGCCAAAATTAAACAACTTCGAGTCAGATAAACCATTCACCTCTATAATGCAGATTGATTTTGACAATCTCGATCAGGTACATTCCATTCATTAACTAGAAATTTTACGAGGAAAACTGTAGTCTGATCTACTTCCTCAATAAAGTTTGCTACTGAAGTATATACGAGTCAACCATTTAAAGTTATAAAACTTAACTCATCCCTGGGAAAATGCAAACATAGTTATTGATATATAAGAATAATTTATCTCACGTTGATGACTTCTTCCATTGAAGCATTCATGTCCAAAGGCTTATCGCCAAAGTAAAATTTCTGGATTTGCTTGGCCACGCTTGGAAGTTTGTCCCTCGGGAATCTTGACTTCAGTAGTAAAGCTCTCGGTAAAATATTTTGTGGATTTTCCTTCAGTTGATTTTCAAGTCCTGCCCTGTATACGACTATAACATAAATAAATCATAAGCATAAAGCTTAACTTTTTAACTTATATGTAAATTTTCAAATTAGGAAATTATTCGTTCCGCGGGGGAAAACTGAGTAGAATCTTGAATTGCTGTAATGAAGATTTGAGATTTCAAAACTCAGCTATTAACTGATATTAAAAAGTTAAAAGAAGCAACCAATGATATTTTTCACATTATTATGCATTACTGAGGCAACAATCTGTATGACTAAGTCAAAAGAACATATCAGTCTGAATACCATTCAACAACAGTAACTTAGCCGGAAATTTTTAATGAGAGAGGCTGATAGTCAAACATTTTACATAAAGGCAAAACATAGTTTACCTTTGACTATAACTTCTGCGTTGAATCCTAATGGAAAATGTCTTATCTTCCTACGACAACGGTCAAGCTATTGAGGAGACAAACGGACTATATATCAGTTTCCTGGAATTATCCCAAAATTATAGGAAAAGAAAAGAGGAAAAACATGAAAATAGCGGTTACCTACCAGATTCCTCATTGTGTAGATAATCCTTAGAAAATCTAGTTACCAGTGGTAGATTTTTCTTTCCTTGTTGAACATGCATCTGGTTACATTTACGAGCCGCGTGATAGGTATGTCTAAAATCTGGCACTGCTCAGTTAATTTCTTGAATAATATACTTAATCAGGATCCTGATGACCCTTTTCAATCGTTTAACCTCGGATATTTCTATATGTGTTGTGTGTATTTCGGGTGCTCAGCGGTCGACCACAGACTACCCTCCGACTGCATGGCATATCAATGATCGATACATCGCAATTCACGCCACGCCACTGATAACTACCGTATGTTCCAAGAATGTACTGTTACTCACATGAAGCAGCGATACCTCCTTCGCCGGAGGTTATTCCTGTCATGAGAGGGATTTTGAACCCCAACTTATCTAATTCTTTAGGAAGAAAAGCATTTTTTGTTTCGGACTCGATGGTTGGTACAAAAATAAGATCGCTAACTGCCCAGTCCTGTAAAAACGAAGAAACACCGAGGCGTCAGTGGAAAAGTGCAAGAATATTACTCCTTCAAAAAAATCCAGAAACTCCGTTGTATACAGAGAATATTTTTGAGCGTGCCAGTGTGGCTCGCTTTTTGAAATCACTCGGATTTACCATAATACAGTACACCGATCAACCAATGCTATTCAACGGCAGGGTCGGATTTAGGGGGTGGCCACATGGGCTGCGGCCCATGGCGGCAAATTTAGGGGGGCGGCAAACTTTGACTTTTTTTTTTTATTTAGGTATAAACAATCGGATTCAGAAAAAAATTGCAAACGAGAAAAGGCGACAAAATCTCTCATTTCCTGAGAGTATAGTAATTTCTAACTTTGTCGTCTTTCGGCGATACAAGAAGCAGCACCTTTAATTAGTCGAGTCAAAAGAGAAACCAAGCACCCAATTTGGCCTGGAAATGCTCGGCGCAGAGTGAAATGATGACGAGGACTTGAGATTGAAAGGAAAAGCCCTCGGCGCGGCGGTCGGCGCGTTACACATATTAGCGTCTACAAGACTGCATGAATACCTCACGCATTGCGTCAAACACAGTGCGGTCAGCAGCGGTCGGCGGAAAACGCATGGCGCCTACAAGAGTGCATGAATACTTCACGTATTGCGCCAAAGACAGTGCGGTCAGCGCGGCGCGGTAGCGGAAGTTAATATTATTAAACCACATTTATGTTTCGCACATTTTTTTTTGCAAAAAATGTGTCCAACACGAGTAAACGTGTCTTATGCATCCCGCCCCCTCCGGCACGTTCACATGATGGTTTTTATTAAGGTTTCAGAACGAATGAGAAGGGGGTGACAAAATAAAGGCGGCCCATGGGCGGCAAGTAGGTGAATCCGGCCCTAGGTAATTGGGTATGTGTCCAAAATTTAAGTTATTCTTTTCCAACATATTCATGTTGGATTTTTCTTATTGTTTTTTTTTCCTGTTTGGAAGAACGGATTTGTTTCCCGGAGATATAAATGAGGCAAATTGATTTATGAGATCTTACTTGGAACCTTCTGGCCATCTCTACGAGTAATTCAACTGGAACCGTTTGCATGCATTTTCGAAGTTCGTGTGAGGGCTCAGGTGGACAGCTGCACAATACAGCCAGTGCTTTGGTTCTGTCCTTAGCTAACTGCGGAGGTATAGTTGCCCATGGACAATATGCAGATCCGCTCATTGCTATGACTCTATGAATCAGACCTGAATGAGGATTAAGAAAAATAGTCAGATTTCGAACATGAATCGTAATTAGAATGGAGAAACATCTTTACTAGAAGCTCCAAGACCTCCTAAATTTGCATATTTGGTAGCGCTTCGTTCCAGTTTTCTACCGCGCCGATTTCCATGACTTTTGCGGCCATCGACGGGAAATTGCCTCCGGATGAGCCCGCTCTATTCAGATTTCGAAAATATGACCAACGTTTTCTTATATTGCATGGTAAAGTTGCGAATTCCCCCATTTAAACCATGTAAATTTTTACTCTTCGTCATAGTTCGTTTGAGCGTTCTACAGGGCCGATTTCCATGATTTTTTCGGTTATCGACAGGAAATAGGTACTAGATGAGCCCGCTTGAATCAGATTTTGGAAATAGGACCCAGTTTTTTTTATATGAGGATAGACCAAAACGCTGAGGAAGGGGGGCAAAATTTGAAATTGAAATTGAAATGAAAAATGGCGGGAATTTCAAATTTAGCGGAAAATTGGAAAGAAAAGCGGTCGACTCATCAGAGCGGCAAGGTTCAAGGTAAGGCACAGATAGCAATTCTAGAGGTAAGATATAGATGAAAATGAGAAATGATTGAGTAAATACTGAGTTGAGTTAAGAATATTTCTCAAAATACTTTTAAATATTGGAATAAGATATTGCGGAAAAAATAGATTCAAATTTCAATGATGGTCATAGGACCACCAAGACCCGCTTCCTCCATGAGATAGCAACTTACAAATCAATCAATCAACAATCGACGAATCAATCTATGCGGATAATCAACCTCTAACGGTAAAAATAGCATACTATATGTCACATACCTTTGTTTAGCGGTGACAAAAGATTCAGATGAGCACTTCCAGCTCCGGCACTCTCGCCAAATAAGGTTACTAAATCAGGATTTCCGCCGAAGTACTCGATATTATCGTGGACCCATTTAATCGCGAGAGCTTGATCCTTCAACCCAAGATTGGCAGGGATAACTTCGTCACCAGTGCTCAGGAACCCTTAGGTGAGAATATGAAAAAGTTCAAATGCTTGGCGAGTAAATAGATGTAAATACACATGCACGAGTCATTCGCCTCACTTTTGCATCATTTCAGAACGTGCACTGAAAAAAAAATCCCGCTGTATTTACTAAGAAAAGGGTAAAATTACCAAGAATTCAGGGATCTATTTGATCACAGTTTTTTCTTGGTAAAATTACCATTTGTGGAATTGGTAATTTTACTGGACCTTGATAAAAACGCCAATATTTTTTATCGACTGTGGTAGAATTACCGAGATGAAATGGCAAAGTTACCGGGAATGGATTACCAATAAAAGTGGTATTCTTACCTGGAAAAAACAGTAAAAATATCGGTTTTTAGGTAAGCTTACAAGTCTGTCTTGGTAAAATTACCAATAATTGGTAAAAAAAGTGAGATGGTAAAGGTACCAACAGACCTTGGTAAAAACGCCGAGAATTTGTTTTCAGTTTGCACGATGCAGAGAGGGCTCTAAAGTATGCAACATTTAATTTAACTAAAAAGTGATTCTGGATCCCATATTTTTATCTTTTGTATGCTCTTTCCATTTAAGTCTATCTTTTATCTTATCCTCTTCTCCCTCTTTAACTCCCAGCCCCCTTTGCAATTCAGGATGAAACTCATTCTATTTGTTTTGAAGAATATCACTACAATATTTTTAGAATATACATGTGTTTAAAGTAATCAAGATTTCATATTTACCCTGAGGAACTGTTGCATTTCCATATTTTTTCTCAATTTTTCAGAGCCACCTCTTTTTCTTCTCTCTCATTCTTTCACTTTCTGTTTTATTTATTCCCCTAACACCCTTCACTATTTCAGATCATTTTGACTTTTTAATAAAAACTCAAGACGGAACTCTGAAATATTGTTCAATGGAAATTGCGATACAGAGCCATTCTTTCCTTATACAACATCCAAAAGATCTCATACTTGGAATACGAAATATCAATCTACCACTGCATCATAGAAATATACAATTTTGAATGGAAAGCATCTGGATGTTAGAAATTAATTGAAACCTGTTTCTTCCACACGTAGGTAATTTCCGTGGTATTATTCCATTGTTAAGTCACTTTAACATCTCGCTGTTTAAGCGTTTACATGCTAGCTCAGCAATGTAGCGAGCTGAATTTCTGTGTGATAATCTATACAGGCACATGAAACGATTGGCGCACCGTAACAACAGAGTTTAAGTTTACTCCTTGTTTTATTTTTACTAGGGAAAGTCAAGAAATTTTGAATTTCAGAAAACTTATCACCCGATATAAATTATCCTTAATATCAATAGTGCCTCGAACCATTCGCTTACCAAGAGCTCCCAATCTGTAGTTGATAGTGACCAGTACAACGTCTTTATCTAGTAGTAGATCTGGCCCGTAGATGAAGGCAGCTCCGTACTGAAATGCACCACCGTGAATCCAGACCATTACTGGGAGTCTTGCTGACTTGTCCACCTACGAAATAAGGCGGGATAGATAAATGATATTGCAATATTTTAATATACTTTGGACAATAAATGCCAATTTAGATGATAGGTAGAATAAGCTCCTCGTATTAGGAAGACAGGCAATTTGCAATGCAATGAGATTTGACAACTTATTTTAACTTCATTGCAAAAAATGTCAATAATTCGAGCACTCTCTTATCCACCCATTAACACTGCGGCAACATGCAGATCGCTCCGACGCAGTGGCAATAATTTTACTATGTAATTGCAATGTCGTCACCTTCTGAGTTCGTATTTTTCATGAAAAATAAAATTTTGAAATTTCAGCTGAAATTTCAGTTGAAATTTCATGAAATTTCAAGCTTTTTTTGAAAAATTGATTTTTGATACTATAATCGGTAAACCTGTACCCTTTACACTAGTGAAAAGTGCTTCCTAGGCAAATTAATCACAGAACCATACTAATAAATACTTATAAGTTTCATCTAAATGCGAAAAAACGAAAGAACAACTAAGAATAAAGGAGAGGGTGAACTCCCAGACTCGCCAGACTCGAGACTGAAGCATAGAATGAAGAGACTATTTAATCTATGAGTGAGGAATCCATGAATGAATGACTACTGTGTTCCATTGTGACACCTATCTCTTTTCTCTAGAAAAACAAATAGTTGATTAAGGAAAGCTTACTCGTCCTATTTTATTCTATCAAAGCAAAGCACCTGATTGGCTCATTTAAATTTTGCCGCTCTCAAGAAGAATTAGAATTTGCATGAGTCGATCAGGGTTTGATTTGCTTTGTTTAAGTAAGTGTAAAAACTTAGACTGAGAGATTTTATTCACATTTTAATGAATGAGAAAGGTGAGAGGACTTTTTCAAAAATTGAAAATAAATTATTACAAATGAAACTGTTTTTTTGCTGCAATATTCAAGTCAGATTTATTTTTTTCATCAAATGCCATGTGCTTCCCGATTTTTGGCTGAGTTTTTTTGTCGTAAATCAAAAATGCTACTCTGCATTTTTATCCGTGTCTGTGATTGCAAATGTTTTTCATTAATGTTATGTGAATAATATATTTTTCATCTTAGGTAACATACGGAAGTTCTTTAGGCTGTTCTGAATTCTTTGTATTTTATCTTTGTATTTTCCCATGAAGGAAACAATACAATAACGCACAATTAAATTATGAAAAAATATCACAGTATTCACAGATCACAGCACAGCGACAAAACAAACAGCACGGTTTTGTTAATTTTTGAGGTTATGTTTGGAACCGGTAGTGCATGGTGACGTGAGGGGAGCAGAAGTGGCGCAAGGATTATGGCGGAGCAACCTAACTAACACCAAAATACACTTCACACGACTTAATATTCATCCAAATTTCCCCAGAGAGGTTCAACTTACACTAATTCATGTGCTAAGTCTTATTTGTGTATTTTTGGTATCAAATATTCAATTTTTCAAAAAAATTGAAAAATAAAAGGCCTTTTGAAATTTCAGTGAAATTTCAGTGAAAAATACGCTTGAAATTTCAAGGGCGAACTCAGGTCACCTTCCAGGCAAAGTATCACAAGCGCCATGCGACGTTTAAAAATTTCCGCCGCCATTTTATTTTTTTACAGAGAAATTTTTCAACGAAGCTGTCCGAAAATTTCACTGAATTTTCTTTGTGCTGCCGATAAAATTTAGTGAAATTTCCAAACAGATTCAACCAACAATTTCTCAGTAAAGAAATAAATGGCGGCGGAAATTTTTAAACGTCGCATGGCGCTTGTGATACTTTGCATGGAAGGTGACGATGTGTGCTTCTTGAGGAAGCTTTTTCCCTGGTAAAAATTGGCAGTAGAATCTATGTGTTCCAAAATGCCATATACCCATAGCCGTCTGTAAGATTTCCAATAGCTTCTATAGCCGGCTACACAATTTCTTATAGACGTTTATAGCCGATGGCGACTAAGCAACAGCCAGGCGATAAAGTGTATACTATAAACGTTACTAATTACGGACGCTAGGACTTAGTGTGTTTTTGGAATACTGCTCTCTTTTTGGGCCGTAGTATCTTGATTTATTTTGCGAGGAAAGCTCCGTACTTTTGATGGATGCCTGCCATTAACATATTAGAGCGTCTTCAGTTTCGTATAATACTGTGCAATACCTCTGGTGTGAAATAGTTGCTTCAAGCGCCGTGGCAGGTAGGCAGCCAGCGCGAAACACGCATTGGCGCCTTCAAACCTAACAGGGATACTTCACGCATTGCGCAATGCGTGAAGTATCCCTGTTAGGTTTGTAGGCGCCAGTGCGACGCCGCTCCGCTTTGTGTTGGGCTCTAATATTTAATCTCGCGGAGTCAGCGTTTTTCAACTCATGATTTTGAAATGTTTGCACATCCTGTATGGATTATTCTCATTTTAATTTATGAAAAAAAATATGTATCAAAGGAAAATATAGTGTGTGTTTTGTAAATATTAAGGTGGTTCCGTATCAAACTTGATAATTTCCAAAGCACACGAATTTCTACACAATTTCTGATAGCCTTTTATAATCGATGGCGAAAAAGCAACAGCCAGGCGATAAAGTGTAAAGCCCGGCGATAGGAACTATAGCCCGGCTGCATCATTTTTTATCGCTTCGTATAGCCCGGCCGTATGATTTTCTCCGCACTCTACAGCCAGCTATATGATTTTCTGTAGCCTTCTTTAGCCGGCTATAAGAATTCCTATGGTATTTTGAAACGCAGCTCTTATCGCCAATTTTTACCAGGGTTATTCCACACTCAAAAGCTTACCTTTGGAGAGTACACATGAAGAACGAGACAGTCCTCTTGGCCTTGAAGATTAGGATTAGATAGATTGCCAAAATCGAATTGCGCACACATTGTTGCATTATTTGTAGCATCAAGTGGCTCTTTCCATGGCTCAGCTGGTTGCGGCTCCTGAAAGTGCATTGGCAAAATATTATCAACGCTATGTGATCATATACCCCTAAAAATATATCATAACTAAGATGACTTATTTTGACTGAAAAAATCGAATTTTTAGTTGCATCCAAATAAGAATATTTGTAAACCTCCTACTTACATCGCGCATGGGAGGTCACTTTCATCAAATATAACATTATATATTCATCCAATTTGGAAACTAAATGCTAAATTGTAGCAGAACAATTGCCTAACATTTCTGAATCGATGACTTATAGGTCGAAAAATGTATCTTCTATCGGAATTTTGCATATCATTGCTCAAGTCTAATTTACTCAAGAGAAAACCAATCAATTATTTTCGAATATTTTTTTTGTTCATCAGAGATTTTTAAACGCTTTAATAGAGATAAAGGATTTTGGCTATGGCCATCGACACAACCATTCTTGAGCTAAGGGCTTTTATAATTTATTACAGGTCAAGTAGATTGCTTAAAGTTTGATACAATCTTCGCCTTTAAGATGAAACAATTTGCTGAATATTGCAGATCCTAGACCTATGCCAGCAAAACAGCACGTGAATATTAATAAATGTAATACTTGCAAAAATCATTAAATGAAATATAAAATTCCTAAGTAAAAGATATTCTGGTGTAAATAATTTTGCAATTTTTGTATACTTTCAAAAAAGCTAAATACAATAAAAACTTTTGAAATCAAATCTCAATCATGAACAATCCACGGTCGGCATTTTAACGAACCACTGATAAGATCAGGCCCGCCACATCCAATCTCGGACCCTGGTACTAGTTTTAAGGTCTGGGTCCCATGACTGCCACAAACCAACCCCCCCCCCAATACCGCCAGAACTTGCCGTCAGTTGACTTCATGCCCAGAATAGACTCTTAGCATCAGACGACGGAAAAAAATGAAATGCAGTAATTAAAAATATCATTGTACGCTACACATCTTGAAAATAGATAGAAATCTTCAGAAAAGTAAGAGGAATTTTACAGTTCCTAAGCATGTTTTTGAAAACTCGTTCACCTTTTGCTAAATTTTAAGGGCGAATTTTCACTTTTCCTTACGAGAGAAGGGTTACATGAGAATTTTAAGTGATGAGTCACGGGTTGTACGGGCCCCTCCGGGGTCCGGGCCCTGGTACCAGGGACCCAGTATCCCCACCCTTGTGACGGGCCTGGATAAGATGTTCTAAATTTAAATAACAATGAAATAAACTGTATAAAACTGACCTTGAACCGTAAAGGTCCGACCGGAGGTTTAGCGAAAGGGATTCCTGTGAAGCTGTGGATCACTCTGCCATCTCTTGTTCTCAGCGTATCAAACCCAATAACCTTCCCATTTGGAATCAAAACCTCCAGGGCAAAACACTTTAACACACCAAACGAAAAAATCAGTGCTAATTTCGCCCAAAATGATATCTCCATCTTAACAGAGTCGCGTTCACGCTCGAGTGTAACCCAAGAGATACTGGCAATCGGGTTTTCCTTCTCTTGAAATATAATCTATCAAAAAAATATAAATTTCCGTAGAACCACTCGAGGTTACGATAGTGTGAGGAGATAAAGAACAAAGTATGTAGCATTCATAAATTGGTTTTAAGAATGATGAGTTCTGTCTAATTTTTGTGGACGCCAAAGAAAAATCCCAAGAAAATATGCGAATGAGATTTCAAACGAGGCCAAACATCGGAAAACACATACGCTGAGAAAGGTTATCTGTTGCGCATTGTTCGCAAAAAAATGTATAATGTTTATGTTTACAATGTTTTAAATTTATAATGTACAACGGTTGCCTCGGGCTGGTACATAGTAGGAACGAAGGAGGCGGGGCTCTAAGTAGAATCGCAGGATTACCACTTGTGTGGTATTTGAAGTAGAAAAAAAAGAAGAAGAAAAAGAGTGTCGATAGAAAGAGAGGGAGGGAGGTGGGAGGTCTGGGAGGCGCCTCCCCCTCTAAGGGATGATATTCCTCCCCAGTAAATATAGTAGCGTAGCCGCTTAGATCCCCTCGAACGGCAAATGGGCCCTCCGCCCCACCCTGAAAATTTACTCATCCACGCTTAAATCTCTCCAGGAAAGAGTAATATCGAATTGGTAATAATAAAAGAGCCAAAGAGACTCACAATTAGTTGCATTGAAATGTTTCAAATCTCACAAATAATTGTTTTATTCATTGAAAGTGGTACGCTACACATCGAAAAAATCGCCCGGAAAGCCATATTATGTAATTTGGCGAATCATGAATAAGGGTTTCAACCAAACGCCCGCGACCCTCTTCCCCTCCACCGATTTTGGTGTAAAATCTAAACACAAGTTATAAGTAAGTAACCTTTTACAAGCTGATAGTCGGAATGAAGATGTTGCATGTGTGAGGAATTTGCGATTTGACTGTTGATTCTTACGTAAAAGTTTGCGAGAAACAAGATGTGGCCACTAATTTTCTCTGAAATTAAATCCCAAGCTCAAAAAAAGCTCTCAAGTTGAGGCCAAAATGGAGGGGATATTCCACGCTATTCTGAGAGTCCACCTCTACATCAAAACAAACTCTCCATGCGAAGATAGGGAGCAAATACATTAGCAGGGTCGCCGTATTTTAAGTTTTGGAGTTCCCAAATAAAGTGGCAACGCTGCTAATGTATTTGCTCCCTATCTATGCATGGAGAGTTTTTCTTGATGTAGAGATGGACTCTCAGGATAGCGTGGGATATCCCCTCCATTTTGGCCTCAACTTGAGAGCTTTTTTTGAGCTTGAGAGTTAATTTCAGAGAAAACCAGTAGCACCATCGTGTTTCTCGCGAACTTTTACATAAAAATAAACAGTCAAATCGCAAATTCCTCACACATGCAACATCTCCATTCTAGGTATACTTACCTAACGTGTTCTCTATGACATATTATTCACTCGTAGGGTATGCTTTTACATTTTTAACCTGCCAGGTCAGGTGGTTTATTGCGACATTCTTCATGACACTTGAGACTTTCTTTATTCCCGATGTGATCACACACTCATCTCAAGTTCGACTATAAATATAAATATTTACAGAAGTACTCTCCTCCATTACGGCCTCAACTTTTAATCAATTTCATATAGATTAAGTCACCGCACAGGAAGTGCCTTGTTGTGAACTTTTTCCTGCGGAAAATTTAAAATGTAAAATTGATTTGCGAACATAAAAGTTCATTCTATGTCACGCCAAGTTGTAATTTCCATGGTTGCGGCTGTTGTGCCTTCTGCAAGATGAATGCAACTGTCAGGGCCGGATTTACCTACTTGCCGCCCATGGGCCGCCTGTATTTTTCCGCCCCCTTCTCATTCGTTAAGTGAACGTGCCGGTGGGGGAGGGGTGTATGAGACGCATTTACTCGTGTTGAACATACATGTTTTGCGAAAACCCTGTCAACACTAACAAAAGTTCACGGAACTATACGCGAAAGTTAAGTTCCGTAAACCCATTTCTGTTTGGACAGGGCATTCTATTTATAACAAACGAACGAACGAACGAAAATATCATGAAAGAACAAACATAAATGTGGTTTAATAATTTCAACTTCCGCCGCAGTGCTGCGCCGACCGCGCTTTGTTTAGCGCAATGCGTGAAGTGTTCTTGCAGTCTTGAAGGCGCTGTGCATTCGAGCCGACTGCCGCTGACTGCAGTGCGTTTGACGCAATGTGTGAAGTATTCTTGCAGTCTTGTAGGCACTATGCGTTTCACGCCGACCGCCGCGCCGAGGGCTTCTCCTTTTCATCCTCGTCATGATTGCTCTCTAAGCCGTTCCGCTCAAGGTCAAATTGCGTGTTTGGTTTCTCTCTTAACTCGACTAATTAAAGGTGTTGCCTCTTGTATCATCAAAAGACGACAAAATTAGAAATTACTATACTTTCACTTTTACAGGAAATGAAAGATTTTATCGCCTTTTATCTTTTGTAATTTATTTTCTAAAGCCGATTTTTTCTTCTGTTTTTGATACCTACATTCTAAAAGATAGCAACATTTGCCGCTCCCCACATTTTGCCGCCATGGCCGCGGCCCATGTGGCCACCCTCTTAATCCGGCCCTGGCAACTATCCGTACTCAAGAGCTAACCGCATTGCATGTACACAAAATTGAAGGCTCTCGACATTTTATTGGCCTCCTGGCAGTGATGCGCACTATTTAATTTGCTCTATTGACATGGAGAAATTAATGTCATACGAAAAGAGTACCGTGGCCCCTCGCTATTTTCGCTCACTGAGCGCATGTGAAACAATGATGTAAAATTTTATCAGCCTTAATGGTATCACTCTGTACAATATCTAAATATTGAACATAATATAATTTGGCGTCAATGGATTTTTCTGCTCGAGTGAACGTGAGTCAATGCTAATCTCGGCAGGAAAAAAAAAAACATTTTTTGTTTAAAATTACTTTGCGCAAATGTCAGTTTTTTCTATTTGTGATTCAAAGAGTTCATCAGTTCATGCGGCTCATCATCAAAGCCATAGACTTAATTAAAATCGATAAAAAATCATCTCAATTACTAAAAAATCTCAGCTTTATTGAGAATTAAATAACCGAACACAAGATAAAACTATAGGAGGCAAGAGAAGGTTTGGCGTAAATACTTCATTAGTCCAATCAGCGGGCCAATTATTAAAAGTTTAAAGTAGCCCGATAAGACGTCGTAGTGCTATGTATTGCATGGTAATGATAGGGCTATGTCTTGCCTAGTCGTACTGACATAGTTTCAATAATCAGCCCGCAGATAGTCTACCGCATGAAAAAAGTATTATAAGCTTTTGATAACATAAGCAATTTCTGTGAAAGTTGGATATTAAGATTTTTTATCGTAGCAATAGCCTGATTTAGTGTCTACGCCATTCGGTATACTATCGAAGTCTTGGCTCAAACCAAAACAAACCAACATAACCTCACGTGCGAATTATTCATGAGTTAATTGGGTTAATTCATCAAAATTCAGTCATTGACCAGTCATAATTCAATTAAAGTCTGTGTTTGTTTACATTTGAGCCAAGGGTTCGATATTATATCGAATGAGGTAGTCAATAAATTAGTCTATAGGCTCTTACACTTACAAGTTCAGGTATGAAATTCCATTTTTTTTAAAGCCCCGATACGAAGATAATTGGACTGCATTTTGTAATTTGGAACTATAAATTATGGCTCTTCTGGAAAAACACGTATATGCATAGGGAAGCTAATGGCACAAACGTTGTTTTTAAACCGCGGTAGAATTTATATAGTTCCAAATTGCAAAATGCAGTCTAATTACGACCGTTCTTCCTGAACTGGACTGCATTTTGCAATTTGGAACTATAAATTCTGGCCCGGTTTAAAAACAACGTATGTGCCATTAGTTTCTCTATGCACATGAGTGTTTTTTCAGATGACTCAGAATTTAAGTTCCAAATTGCAAAATGCAGTCCAACTATTAGAGCTTCCTCGTGAAAAAATAATTCATTGAGATGGGTGGGTCGAAAGCCACAACTTATTTGATCGGAGCCCTGAGATGATGTGAAAGAAATGATAAAAAAAGTAATAGAATGGTGGATGTAATAAAAAGTCTGAATTCGATGTTTCCTCTATATATATATTGCTCTTATAGAATACATCAGCAATCATGTAACTTTGCCAAAAGAATAGAATTTCGTTTGGAGAACAATTGAGAATAGAGCCTGTCGAATTTATTATTACATCTTCATCATCAGCCAGAATCTGATATGCCTACTTTCTGTGCAGTATTTAGATTATTTATAACGGTTAAACTTTACGGGGGGGGGTGTCTTTCCTGTTCGTTTCATGGAACTAAGAAATTCGTGGCCACAATTTAAAAATTTGAAAACATAGTGATCAACCAGATACTAGATAATACTATCTGTCGATTGCCGAAAAATTATGAATGTGGAAAAAAAACACCCAAAATTTAAAAGAGAGGAATTAACTTAAAGGCTTAAGTAAACGAAACAAAACAATCAAATTTGGGTCACAAAATTGGCTCCTCCTCTTCCTTTAATAGAGCATTTCAACTGGGTTGCTATCAAAAGTCTATCCATCTCAATTTTTCAAGAATATTCCTCCAAACATAGATTGCTATCATGAGCCATTGGTTTGAAAGTAAATTAGTTACAATCCAGTAGAACCTTTTCTACGCTGTGTATGCTATGGACTAAGATCATTTTGAAATAAAGAACTACAATTTCTGACTCATTTTAGAAACAACGTATGAGAGATTAGTCTCCCTGCAGATGGTGCTTTCACGGATAAGCCAGAGATGGTAGTTTTTTTTTTTTTTTTTTTTTTTTTTTTTTTTAAATGTATAGTCCATTAACAGATATAATTCGACGGTGTGCGTCCGCAACCACGTACCTCAGTTTGCGACGTGGCAGACTTCCTGTCATGATTTATTTTTTACATGGAAAACTACTCAACGTCAATTCGTAAAAACTGCTGTGATTTTTCTTCTCTGTGCGAGGAAAATTCTATGAAAATTTTAACCATTTATGTATTTGTTCTTCTTTAAAAAAAATGAAAAAGGAGCGGAGATTTTCAAACACCGCAAACGAGATACGTGGCTGCTGACTTACACCGTCGCATTGCTCACAGAACACTATACCTCCATGTGCAATGGAGGTGAATGGTATATTAACCACAATCTCGCTGCTCCTTCTGCATTGCGCAGTACATATAAACTGCAGCTCTCTTGCACTGAAAAAATAAACACATTAGATCTAGAGTCCAGACTCTTAAAAACATCGACGAGAAGAAGTACTCTTGATTCAATCAGAATCTAGCTTAAATCAAGAAACAAGCCTCTTAATTTAAGTGGATTTCGTCTTGATTCAAGCAAAAATCTGATTGAATCAAGAGTATTTTTTCTTCTCAATGTTTTCAAGGGTCTGGACTCTAGATCCTTTTTGTTTTTTTTCCAGTGTGGGAACTTTGTTAAAAAGAGACAGAACACAAATACTGCAATGATTTTTTTCACATTTTCCTCACTTATGTGTTTGACTAGAGCACTGCCTACCACTGGAGTACTTAGTATTTACAAATGGGAAGCTCATTTTCATTGAGGAATTTTGTCGGGACTCTTTGTTCGTATGTTTCCTGGACTCTCAAAAAATTGTCATGCACCAGTCATCATGCATCAGTGTCATCCTTGTGATCAAAATTCGTCCCGTGATCGCCGCGATGATCCAGTTTCCTCTGATTGAACATTCATCAACGACTGCCAGAAGTCCACTCTTTCCGAATAGAGATTCTCTTTCACGGTCGGTTCTCCAGCCGTTATATGCAGGTACTGCTGCGTCTTTGCCGATTTTTTTATTGGCTCCAATTTTATGCTCGGTTTCCTGGAAAGTTGGACAAAGAAATAAGGTAAGAAAATATTTAAATAAATCTCCCGAATTTACAAATTTATTAATGATTCCTACACTTGAAAAAAGACACATTGGATCTAGAGTCCAGACTCCTAAAAAAATCGACAAGAAAAAATACTCTTGATTCAATCGGATTTAAGCTTAAATCAAGAACCCAGCCTCTTAATTTGAGCGAATGCCCTTTTGATTTAAGCTTAAATCTGATTGAATCAAGAGTATTTTTTCTTTTCAATGTTTTCAAGAGTCCGGACTCTAGATCCAGTGTGTTTTTTTTTTGCCAGTGTACCCTACAATTTAATAGAAGATGTATCAAGTGGCGTCTGAGGGCTATACTGCCGTGCTAAGGAAGAACGCCGTATGAACCATCAGGCGTTGCCAAATTTCCTTTGATAAAACACGAATTTCCTGGTAAACTTATAAATATTGTCCTCCATTTTTCCGGATAATTTTGTTCGTAATTTCACCTAAAGTACAAGAAAATTTGCAGGAAAAATATTAATATCTTTCCTCTGAAATAACATTTTATGGAAGAAAATTTGGCAACTCTCAAATGTTCATATGGCGTTCTTCCTTAGCGCGGTAATATAGAGAATCCTAACAATATTTTTTTTTCTAAGTTCTCTTTTTTTAAACTAGACTGAGAAGTTTGTTCAGCTATACAGTTTAGCTTAAGCGTATTGTCCGCGTCCAATATTTTTGCAACAGATGAGTATTTGGTATTATCTTGCTTTTGAATTTCATTGTTTTTTAGTATTGGACTCTTAGGTTCAAAATGAGCTAATCTACGTGGAGTTCTTTTAGGCAGATACTCGTACCCAAGTAGCACAGATTGCAATAAGTAGATTTACACTAAAAATATTGCAATTCCACTGGAATGCATTGCATTCTGTATCTTTCTGACACATGATGGAGCTCATTTTGTTGATTGTTTAAAATCGGCATAAATTGACTAATTGATGTAAAAATATTGCAATTTAATGGTAAAAAATTACAATTTTATTGATATCAAATTGCTATTTAATTTCAATATTTCCGTTGCACTGTGCTACTTGGGTACATGTCTTCGGTGTAAATGCATCCAAATAATGGTCCGTCACCGTCCTTTTCTCTCTCTCTCTCTCTCTCCCTCTCTTATTTTTCTGAGAAATACTATTCTGTAAATATACAGTCAACTTCCTTTTTCAGGCATGTTTTAGTTTGTCGGTTATGTGATGCCTAAATCAAACAAGCTTTCAGAAATGACAATATAAAATTCACTTGGCAGATGTGTTAAATGGCGGACCAACCATGCGAAAAAAATGTCCCTGCATTCATAAAGTCAGAATTGACTGTTATCACCCTAAACTCGCTGACCGTTTTATTGTAACGATCTCCTGTAAGTTTCGCAACATCGAACCCAACACCGCCTTTCAGATCTCAAACTTTAAAAGCTTGTTCAACCGCTCGAGTGCGCACATGTTGCATCTAAAATGAACGAATTAAACTATTATTTGCAATAAAATAAAACTGTTTATGGACTCACCCATTTTTGGCAAAATCAGTTACCATATCGATAGTCATTCTTGAAACTCTTACATCAGCCTCTGTCCATGTTCTCTCCGGGAAATAGAACGTTAGCGGGAAGAGATTAAGTAAATCATCTGAGTGTGTTACGCCTGCCAAAGGAGCAATGCACATATCATATAAAATGGACATAAACTTACTACGGGAGTGTAATATACATAAAATCCTTTAAATCGAAATAAGCGAGAGTGAAAGAACACAAAAAGAAATAAAGAAACTAGAATGAAAGAAAATCATCGTCTTAGTGCCAAAAACTAGATAAAAAACGAGACAATGGTAATATAAACTGCTCAGATGAGTGTTCATGGTAATAATTCCGTCTCATTTTAATGCCAAAGGAAAACAAAATAATGATGGTTTCAGGTCTGCAGTTGAGCAAACAATTTAGCATTGAGGGAAAGTTATGTTAAGCTTTAGGAGTTTTAGACACTTGGTTCTCTTAAAATTAAACAATTGCTCCATTTTGAATGGCAGAGGGAATGAGAAAACCACACAATGGACCATTAGACGAGGTACAAAGTGAGGCATTCTAAATAATACATGTTTTTTATACAAAATTTCACGTAGAACACAATTTGCTCAGCGAAAATTACTGAAAACACCAAACAAAAATATTTTATGTTTCTTGAAGCGTGAATTCAAACCTCCCGCTCATGAAAACTCAATGGTCTGTGCGAGTCAAATCGCGCACTAAACGTTATCATGACAGTCTTTGCGATGTAAAAATCTGGCAACCTCAATATTGACGCTTTGGCTCAGCAATATACCAAGTTATACATAGTTTGAACTACATAGAGTGGAAAATGGAAAATGTTCGATTAAGAAGCCTGTCGAGACCTTTGTAGTACGCGATTCGACTCACGTAGAGTATTGAGTTTCTAGTGACCGGGCAATTCAAATTTCCCGTGACCAATGTAAAATAAAAACATTGATATCGTAGTTAGGAGTTGATTTCAGTAATTTCTGATGCAAAAATCTCGTTTTACGTGAAATTCTAGTCTATAGACGTGTATCAGCGTGCTTCGATTCGTACTTTGTCTAGAGGTCCATTCTCCCTTTTTTTTGTCAAAGTGTAACTCACCTTTGACTTTTTCAATGCCAAAAACAGAATTCATAGAGACAGCGTGTTGGTAATCGTACAGATAAAGATATGCGTCTCCCTTGTACTTTCTTGCCGCCTCAATAGCGCCGTATAGAAACCAACCGTCCGTGATCATCTGTGAAACGGATAAAAAAATGAAAAGAAAAATATAAAAATATATAAAGGTATCATGTGTGGATTCAGTGCTTAACTCGATTGCTCTGATCATTTTGTACCTATGGAGCAGAAAAAAAAGGAAAAATACTCCCGTTGGCTGATTCGATGGTATTGATGGTATTTTGGCTTAAGGCCTAAATACACGCTCTTTCCGTCAATTTCCGACCAAAATTATGACAAAAGTGGCGGTCAAATGGCAGGCCGCAAAAATTTGAGGGTAGATGGTGCGCACCAGTAACCCTTTGATCGGAAATTGATAGAAATTTGAGCGTGTACCCCGGCCATTAGGCGAAAGAACTACATGATATGCGTTTGATTTAATATGAGTTTGACACGTTTATAATAGCTTGGCATGTTTGATGTGCTTTTGTAGTTGCCTTGCTAGAGGCCTTTTTGTAATTGTAAGGTATACTGACTTTATTTAATTGATATGAGTGATGTGTAAAATGTGTTTGTCGGGTTTTCTGCGTTCTTAAGTGTTTATGCCAGTGTAATTACGGTGTGTTTATGGAGCTTTGTGTACTCGTAGATAAGTCAGATTAATCTTAAAACATAATGAAATAATCAGTCCAAGCAAACAGTGAAAGTATTGATAGTTCCAAATAATTTAGCTTACATTGATAACTGCTTCGGTGGAAGAATCCAGGTCTATGGGTTTATCTCCGAAGTAAAATCCCTGGATTTTCTTTACTACGCTTGGAAGTTTGTCCCTTGGGAATGCCGACTTTAGTATCATTACTATTGGTAGAACATACTCTGGATTTTCTTTAAGTTCGTTCACAAATCGCTGTCCAGCTGCATATACCACTGTGAAAATAATGAAGCATGTCAATGAAGTAAAACTATTTAAACTATTTGTATTTCAATTTACGAGGTTGGAACCTACCACTGTTATCAGTTCCATTGGAAAAAACGGACTAGACATTCTAAAATGCTACGATTATACCTAAGTAATGAAATTTTAAAGAGCGGTCATTTCCTAATTCATATTTATGAGCAATTTATCGCATGCAACAACAATAGTCTCAACAAGAGGTTTGTACGAGGCAATTGTCTGTTGAATATTGTAAAAAGAAGGATGATGTCAAAGGTTGTGGGAGGAGGCAAAGTTTTTCTTCGAAAAATGAGACTACCAAAAATCTCGAACAATCTTGAAAATTAAACCAAGAAAACCAGGGAAATGTGCTGAGTAAACACCATTGGATGCATATTTCGCGACTCACCTATCGCAGCCATGGAGGCTACCTTTCGAGGGTTCGTTAGAAACTGAATTGACTCATCTGCCAACAATAACATACACCTACATATATTAAGACTCAACTCACTTATGGTCCAATCTGCCACGCTAAGGAAAAACGCCGTATGAGCCATCGGGCGTTGCCAAATTTCCTTCGACAAATCACGAATGATCAGGAAAATTTGTGAATATTTCTGTTCCGATTTTTCAGAGATGATTTTGTTCGTAATATGATCTATAAAGTCTGAATATTCCAAGGAAGAATATTCATAACCTTCACAGGGCCGGATTTACTTGCTTGCCGCCCATGGGCCGCCTGTATTTTGCCGCCCCCTTCTCATTCGTTTTGAAACATCAATAAAAGCCATCAAGTAAACGTGCCGGAGGGAGAGAGGCGTATAAGACGAGTTTACTCGTGTTGGTCACATTTCTTGTGAAAGCCCTGTCAACACTACCAGCAAAAGTTCACGGAACTTGGCGCGAAAGTTAAGTTCCGTAAACCTATCTCTGTATGGACAAGGCCCTCCATTTATGAGAAATGAACCAAAAAATTATGAAAGAACAAACATAAATGTGGTTTAATAATTTTAACTTCCGCCGCCGCGCCGCGCCGCGCTGACCGCACTGTATTTGGCGCAATGCGTGAAGTATTCTTACAGTCTTACATGCGCTATGCGTTTCGGGCCGACCGCTGTTGCACGCACTGTGTTTGACGCAATGCGTGAAGTATTCATGCGGTCTTGCAGGCGCTATGCGTTTCACGGTGTATCAGTGCGTGTACAGTGCGGTCGCTGCTGACCGCAGCGACCGCACTGTCTTTGGCGCAATGCGTGAAGTATTCATGCAGTCTTGTAGGCGCTAATATGTGTTACATGCCGACCGCCGCGCCGAGGGTTTGTTCTCGTCATCATTGCTCTCTGCGCCGCGCCGCGCCGTTCCAGGCCAAGTTCCGTGTTCGGTTTCTCTCTTAGTCTTAACTCGACTAATTGAAGGTGCTGTCTATTGTATCACAGAAGGACGACAAAATTAGAGTTATACTCTCAGGAAATGAGAGATTTTGTCACCTTTTCTCGTTCGTAATTTTTTTGTCTGAATCTGATTTTGGCACAAAAATTCACAAATGGCAAATAGAATCTTAACGGACCACGACACAACGTACGGATTTAAGCATTGTGATGCATGTTTCTTCATTAGAATTTCACTTCGAATGGGTACGATTCTTGCATCGAAAATTACTGAAATCAACTCCGAACTAAGATAACAACGTTTTTATTTTACATTGGTCACGGGAACTTTAAATTGCCCGGCCACAAGAAACGTATTACTCTACGTGAGTCGCATCGCGCACCACAACGGTTTTGCAGGCTTCTCGATCAAACATTTGTGTACAGGGCCGGATTCACTTACTTGCCGCCCGCCCATGGGCCGCCCGTTTTCTGCCGCCCCTTCTCATTCGATTTGAAACATCAATAAGAACCATCAAGTGAACGTGCCGGAGGGGGAGGGGTTCATAAAACGCGTTTACTCGTGATGGACACATTTTTTGCGAGAGTCCTGTCAACACTATACTAGCAAAAGTTCACGGAACTTGGCGCGGTAGTTAAGTACCGTAAACCTATCACTGTGTGGACAATGCCTTCCATTTATATGAAATGAACGAAAAAATAATGACAAAACAAACATAAAATGTGGTTTAATAATTTTAACTTCCGCCGCCGCGCCGCGCTGACCGCTGTGTCTTTGACGCAATGCGTGAAGTATTCATGCAGTCTTGTAGGCGCTAATATGTGTTACATGCCGACCGCCGCGCCGAGGGTTTGTTCTCGTCATCATTGCTCTCTGCGCCGCGCCGCGCCGTTCCAGGCCAAGTTCCGTGTTCGGTTTCTCTCTTAGTCTTAACTCGACTAATTGAAGGTGCTGTCTATTGTATCACAGAAGGACGACAAAATTAGAGTTATACTCTCAGGAAATGAGAGATTTTGTCACCTTTTCTCGTTCGTAATTTTTTTGTCTGAATCTGATTTTTCTTAATGGCTACATTTAAAAAAATTGCAAAATTTGCCGCCCCCTAAATTTGCCGCCATGGGCCGCGGCCCATGTGGCCACCCCCTTAATCCGGCCCTGATACCTTCATCTAAAATAAATATTTTCTGAGAGAAAATTTGACAACATTCAAATGCCCATGCGGCGTTTTTACTTAGCACGGCAGAATACCTAGTGTGCTGTCACTTACCGGAAGCAAAGAGACCTCCTTCGCCAGAGGTTATTCCTGTCACAAAAGGGATTTCCGACTCCAATTTATCTAACTCTTTCGGAAGGAAAGCATTCTCTGTTTCGGACTCAATTGTTGGTGTGAAAAACAGATCGCCAACGGCCCAGTCCTGCGAAAAAGGAAAGGATGAAGGTGTCGATGAAAAAGCAAAGTGCAATAATACGCCTTCAAAATAAATAGAGACCATTCATTGGATACTATATATAAAACTTTACAGCTTCTCACAAAATATTTCACTTTTAAAAATATTATAGGATTTCAACAAACTGTTAAGTTGCCTTTTTTTCACCACGATACGACCGTTATAGGCGCAATTAGCGCAAAAGCTTAATCATGTACTCAATAATTACAAATACTTCATGTAAATTAAATTTTATTTTGAATGTAGACCTTTTGAAAAGTTCAAATATACAACCGTAATTTATAATTCTACACACGGAATAAATCTTACTCCATGAGACAAAGTCATAAGGGTGACGCTTAGCGTGGAATGCATAACGCCTGAGACTTGAAGAGTTTTGGGGGGTTGGAGCAGAACCGGTTGGGGGGCGTCCTCCCCCAGTTTTGCAATAAGAATCCATTAGCATTATAATGTTGTTATGTTTCCCATGAATTAATTGAAATTCCGTTTTTACTACATGAAAAGAGAGCGCATTCTTATTTACTTTACATTTCCTTGTGTGCAGATAGAGACTGTTAATATTTGCAGGATTTCTTAGCGAGATAAAAGAAATTATTGAGGCGAAAATAAGGCGAATTTTTTTATGAAATGTCCTTACTTGGAATCTACCCCTCATCTCTATGATTAATTCAACTGGAACCTCCTGCATGCATTTAAGAAGTTCGTGTGAGGGCTCAGGGGGACAACTGCACAAAACTGCCAGTGCTTTCGTCCTATCTTTGAGTGTCTGAGAAGGCGTGATTGCCCATGGACAATATCCAGATCCGCTCATTGCAATGCCCCTATGAATCAAACCTGGATCAAGAACACAGAAAGAAAAATTAGGGCATCATTTGACTCATGCCTTGGAAAAAATACCATGCAGGCTTCGCCTACTGCATGTGATTAGCAATCGTAGTTGTGATGGCATAAAAGAAGGCAGTAGAGCGCCTTCATTTTCTCATATATGTGACACAGCTATCCACAGAGGACGAATAGTTGCATCTACATGACGCTACCTTCAATGCCCGTCAGTGCACAGTGAATCGATCGAGTCAATTAGAGAGGTCGGACATTAAATTTTTGGCTAAAACTGCAAATTCGGATGTTTATTTCGTCACAATTTAAATTTTAAGGGGTGCATGCAGAAGAAAATTTCACTAGAAAACCAGTGGAGCTACTTTTAAAACCTTCAAATATTGTATAAACGGAGTTATGAGCTTTTGAAGTTTCCAAATTTTGTCCGACATCTCCTATTGACTCGGCTCACTGTGTGGCGTCGCAGCGTCAGCTATGGGAACAACTAAGTTTCATTTTTTACGTCTATGAATGGAACAACATTTTCGTTTTAACCTCCGCAATATCATAATCATTTCGGCTGGTTCCACTCAAAACCTAAAGTTTTAAGTATACACCCTTTTAGTGACAATATACAAGGAAGATTCTTGGAAGTCATTTTTGGAGCCCCTCATCCTTGGATTGGTGCATGAAAAATCTTATGGTGGCGGCCGCCTTACGACATTTTGCATTGTAAAATGAGGATGATTCATCGAATGCAAATTTTTTGGTCAATTAAACTTTACAAACGTTAATTTACCGTTTGCCGTAGTGTGTTAAAGGTTCTTTTCCCGTGAACAGCAACATAATTTTTTTTTTTTAAAAAAAGAAAGAACGTCAATCAGTAAGTATGACTCGTGCCCTGATTATGGAAGATACCTGACTATATAAAACTGCGTGGCACTTACCTTTGTTTAGAGGTGACAATAGATTAAGATGAACGCTTGCAGCTCCAGCACTTTCCCCAAATATGGTTACTAGATCAGGGTTTCCACCGAAGTTATCGATATTGTCGTGAACCCATTTAATCGCAAGAGCTTGGTCCTTCAACCCAAGATTGGCAGGGATAGCTTCATCACCAGTGGTCGCGAACCCTTTCGCAAGAATTTAAGAGGATTATTATTTATTTATTTATTCTGCATGGGAGTAAAGAGCTATAGAAAAAGCACATGGAACTTGAATTCTATGGCTGCACTATTTTGGAACGTGCATGCTGTAGAGAAGGCTCTTAAGTACGCCTGTATTTAAATTAATTCAGATAGTATTGTTGTTCCTCATAGTTCACACAACTCTCTTATTTATGAAGTTTTTGCATATTTCTCTCTCTCTTTATCTTACTTTTTCTCCTTCCTCTCTCTCTTACAGCGTGTGATAAAAACTCGTTCTGTTTTGTTCTTTTTTTCAGATCATTTTCACAAGCAGGTAACTTGAGTTTTAGTCTATTATTTTGAAGGTGCTTTGGCAAGCAACTCCCTATTTACACATTTTATGATTCCTGATAGAGCTATGAGCACAAAAAAAAATCTGGCTATTTGAACTTCACAAGGGTGGTTTCACGATAACTGGAATAGTTTTGTCGCCGTCACAGACAACACACTATTTGGTAATATTTTTAGTAGAAATGATAATCACTCGAATTTTTTCGCATTAATCTTCAAAGCGTTACGTATTATAACACTTCCTAATGATTTCTAATGACTTCTCAATTAATATTATGCAAATTCTGAAAATAAGCTGTCTGTTACGCGATAAAAAGTCAGCGTAACGGACAGCACAATGTCGGCCTTTTATATATTAAAATTAAAAAGTAGAGCAATAAATCTTTGAAAAGCGTTATAACACGTAACCCTGCGTAGATTTATCCAAACAAATTTGAGAGATTATCATTACTACTAAAAATATGACCGAAAATGTGTTGTCTGTTATACGGGAACAAAACTATTCCAGTTATCGTGAAACCACCCACAGTTTTAAAGCCTGCTGATTTCACAATTGGGTAACGTAGTGGTATTCTTTCATTTTGAAGGCACTTTAACGACTCGCTATCATCTCCGTTAGCCCCAGTTGTGCCGTAATGGATTTCTGTGATGAACCGTCAATACATTCGTTATCTGTATTTAGGTATTGTTATGAGTCTTTTCAAGACTTATTGTTTTAGTCATCAAAATTGAACTCTCTCTCTTTTCTTTTAGAGATGAATTAACCCGACTTTCACTGACACCTCACAATAAAATTTTTAGGCTGGATTTCTGACATTTCGCTCACAATCACTTAAATATTTTTTCTAATCACATGCTTACCTAGAGGCCCCAGTCTATAGTTGATGGTTACCAACACAACATCTTTATCCAGAAGTAAATCTGGCCCGTGGATGACGCTGGCTCCCATCATGAATCCCCCACCGTGAATAAAGACCATGACGGGGAGTTTTGCCGATTTGTCCACCTACAGAATACGAAATGGTCCACTCAAAGTATGCAAATGATACAAATCTATTAAAGAACTAGAAAAACATTATATTGTTTTAAAACGTCTGCTTTTAGTTTCAATTAAACGAAGGGTAATCAACTCCATGGCTAAAAATGTTCACAAATCATCCCTCACGCAGTGAGAAAGAGGAGTCATACTTTAAAGAATTGACTTCGAATGGATTTCATTCCTCAAAGAAAGAATAGCTACAAGTTTGCATCGTTGGAAGCTGAGATAATCGTACATCTAGATTTTTCTAGTTTCCATATGGATGTGCAAACTAATGGAACATTATTTTGAATGAAATCATGCAAAAAAAATCAGAGTAGTACGAAGGACTCCAGGAGAAGATGAAAAAAGAGAGACGAAGATCAGTGATTACATTACATTAGCGGGTTCGCATACGAACCTTCGGATTATTTCGTATATGAATTATTCACTAAAAAAATTAACAACGATTGGATCGATTTTCTTGAGATGCATTATACTCAACTTCAATGACCATTTTCCTGCTTTTTCCTCTTTGCGAAACGAAAGGAAAAAAATCTGGAGTCTCATTCTTGGGCCTAGTTTAAGTTAAACATCATATTAAATATAAAGAATTATAACTAGAGGCATCAACTAAATATACAACATAATATTAAATACATATATAAAAAAAATTTCTGAAAACAATCTACTTAGTTTTGCTCTTGCCTTGTGTATTTACCTTAGGAGAGTACACATGGAGTACGAGGCAGTCCTCCTGGCCAATAATTTTACTCCTAGTTGGGTCGGCAAAATCGACTTGCGGACAAAAGGTTGTATTCTTCGTAGCATCGAGTGGCTCTTTCCATGGTTGTGGTGGTTGTGGCTCCTGAGAGTACACGAATTATTATTTAATCATTTATTTCTTAAACTATAAAAATGACACTTAATTGCATTTCAGGTTGCGAAACTTAATGTGTAAATTACAGACTTACCAAAAAAGATATATTGATTAATTGCAATAATCTGTATTAAGTGTAAATATTGAATATACGAAATGTCCATAAAAAGAATATTCTGAGGTAAAAATTTTTGCGATTCGTGGAGTTTCCAAATACTCTACCATTAAATCTAAAATTGGAATTTAAATATTCATAGCTCTGAATTGCTAAAAAATAACTTCCTAGCAAAACAGATATCATTAATCTATTTTTTTTTTAAAAAAAGCTATTTATCCTTAGTGTGCCCATGTTACAAAAAATCCTGACATTAGTAAAATTAAAGTACATATATTTGGAGTGAAACAAACGCTACCGGACTCACATTTGGACGTATTTATGCTTATGTGCTTAGGTTTAACATGCGCCATAGTTCCTTTTAGCATAAATACGTCCATCTCAATGATATATTGATGAATTTTCTAATCTACAAAGTTATATGAGCTTTAGAGGATCGTACAGAGGGCTGAACAAAGAACCTTAATTGAAACTACTGTCAGCGCTTCAGCAGAGTGATGACTACAACACGGAAAAAAAAGAATTGCTGATTCAGCAATTCTTTTTTTTTTCGTGAAGTTTCTAATTTAACTGAAATTGAAATAAGATGCACGGGACTAACCTTGAACCTTAGAGATCCAACGGGAGGTTTAGCGAAAGGGATTCCTGTGAAGCTGTGAATCACTCTCCCATCTCTCGTCCTCAGCGTATCAAACCCAATAATTTTTCCATTTGGAGTCGAAACTTCCAAAGCTTGACAAAACAACGCACCGTACGCAAAAATCAGTACAAATTTCGCCCACGAAGATAACTCCATCGTGATAGAGTTGCGTCCACTCTCGAGCCTAGCCCAAGTGGTACTGATGATCGGCTTTTCTTTATTTAGAAAACAACACAAAATTGCATCAGAACCACTCCAGTCTACGATAAAGCGACGAGATAAAATAGTAAGTATATAACCGTCATTTGCTTATGCATTAGAGATTAGTTCAATTGTTCAACTCCAATTCAAGTAGATCATAAGTATATTTAAGCCGATATGTATATTCTTTGTAAATAAATATGGATAAGATTTCAAATGGAAGCATCAAGCAAAATGGGGGGCTTGGAGGACAAAGCGCATATGTGCAGATTTTGCTATTTCAAGAAATATTTGTTTACAATTTCAAAATTACATGGAGCCTTATGGCAGAGAGAAAGCTAAAGCTCACATTTTGATGCTTTAAAGTTGGATTTTTGTTGCGAATTTTCTGCAGAATATACTTTCAAACTAGCTTTAGTTGCATTCAAGAATATCTCAATTTTTCCGAAAACTGCACTTATGCGCCTTGTCCTCCAAGTCTCTCGAATTTACTTCATTTTGCGATTAGGAACTACGATATCATTTTAGAAGCAGCATATTGTGTGCCATTAGTTTTCTTGTGCATATGGGTGTTTTTATGTATAAGCCAGAAATTGCATTTCATTATCGCAAAATGCAGTCCAAATGTTGCTGGGATCACATGATTCGATCTCCTGTTTTTTACGAGACTAATCTAAAATTTTAGAATCTCCCTGAGGATAAAGAATATATATGGGATTAAAATCGCATGTAGGTACATGCTCGTGAATTTTCAAATGTGGTTTTTTTCCTATGCACAGCGGTGCCGGCCGTATGCAATTATATGCTAAAGAAAAGCGCCGTAGGAGAATTCGAGAGTTGCAAAATTTCCCACAGTAAAATGTTTATTTTGAAAAGCGTTATGAACATTTTCAATTGCAATTTTTAGATAATTTAGATATGACCACTAATAGCATTCTCTGAATATTTCGAAGAAAAATACTATCAGATTCCTCTGAAAATTTATATTTTATTAAAATAAATTTGGCAACGTTTGAAGGCTCTCACGGCGTTCTTTATCAGCACAGCATCGTAGATTTCACATGTACGCTTATTAAGACAAACTTGAAAATTACTGAAAAGTATATATACTTACGTGTAGAAGACTGGTGTTCAATTTCACGAACAGAAAAGAACACCGAACTATATTCCACTCGCACAAGCCACTAACTGATGGTCTGATCTCACTTCATCGTGAAAATTGGTGGTTTTTTCGAAGCGTGTCGAAAATCAGCGGTCTCAAAGCGACTGTTGTATGATGAGTTTAAAATTTTAAATCTTCCTACGATTAGCATACTCATACCCAGACCCAGTAAGCAAGGCGCCGCGCCGCCAGCCGGCCGCGGTGACCAGCGGCACAAGGTCAAAACTCATCATCTAATAATAATAAGCGCCCAGTCAGCCAATAGCCTGTGTCACACTATCAAAATACGCCAACAAAATGTCAAGGTCGAGTGCTGTGATTCGTCCAAGTAATCGAATAAGCCAATCACAACACTTGACGTTGATATTTTGATGGCTGGTTTTGATAGTGTGACACAGGCCTTTCTCAGCTACGAGAATGAGGCATCTACTGCGCATGACGTCAGAAAAAGCCGATCAAGCGGGAATTTTGAAAATGAGGCTATATCTGTCAGGTAAATCGCGTTATCTGACGTTAGCTCTTGCTGACGTCATGGACGAGGGATAGCTGCGCAGCTTGGCGGGNGGGGGGGGGGGGGGGGAGCTGAGCAAGGACTGGATGCTTCTCAGACCATGAAGGAATTATGTGGAAGGAATTACGTAAATCCCATGTACTCGTATCAAAGTCGTCAAATTTTGAGTTTTTTGTTAAAATTTTCGAAGATTTAGAAGTAGAGAATCTTTTGCTGAATATTTTCTCGCTAAAACCCCTTAAGTGCCCTGGAAAAAGTTAGGAAATGTTTGTATCTTAGAAAAGTTGTCACCCTGAATAGCTAGTTAATATTTTCCGGTGATATCTTCTGGAAGCCCTTTTCGACATTGAATGAAAATCATTTGCAGGACCGAAATATTTTATCGAAGTTCTTTTTGAAGCGAAAAGAAATTCTTCTGATTGCGAGACCGGGAATACTCCGGATGAGCTAAAATCAAGAGAATGGAGTGACTTAGAATAGAAACAATATGCGCTTTCAAAATCGAGTGTCACAAAAGACACTTTCTTCCTAGGTGAAAGTGCATTATGCATAATTGTCATGAATTACTTCATGCATCAGGCATTTAGACACGAAAAATCTCATTTTACGTATAAAACATAGCTAAAATAAAGACAAAGATCACGCAAGCTACGAATCCCGCCAATCACGATAGACGTGAGATTTTTCCGAGGTACTACATGAAATGCACGGACGAGTAAGTTGGTGAGTAGCCATCTCCAGACATGTAGCCCCTTCAAATACTAAAGCTGCAATTACGTATACGTTAATATCTTTTGGTGTGTTACAACCAGTCAATTGAAGGCTATCGAATATGAAACTATAACACCAACTTACGAACTTACGACCCTCCAGAGGATCACCGCTTCTGAGTTTATAGATTTGCCTTGATGAGGGAACCCTCGGAAAAGAGGGAAAAAGGACAAAATATCCTAGAGACTGGGAAAAATTGCATTTACCGAGGCGGCGGTGGATCACGCTATATAACCTCAAGTTTGCTTCTTTTTTTTGCGTAATTTGGATTTTGAAACCTGTTGCTGCAAGCCTTGTTCGAGCCCTTAAAATTCAATCTAGTATACAATAGATTCATTTCACACCCAATTTGATAGATATTTAATAATTTAAAAAAAAAATGAAAAATATACGTTTATTAAATCAAATATCACAAAAATAATCTATACATTTAAAAAAATGTAAACGAGGTGACATATTTCTATAAAAAATAGTGGAATGGAATCTAAAGATTTTAGGCAACAATGTTTGTCTTGTTCTCCTTCCTCCTGATGGTTAAATAATTGCTGAAGAATTAGCTCATTTTAGATCTTGAACTTTCTTTCATTAGATGTATCAATATCATCAGGTACTTAAGATGTGCCAGCAACAATTGTTGATAATTTTCCCAGTGAAGTCTGGGAAACCCCCCTTCTGAATTTCCCGCAATAACCTCAGATCTTTTTCTCTGACTGAGTATCCAGTATTAACGACTGCCAGAAATCAACTCTTTTTGAGAAAAGATTTTCTTTCACTGCTGGGCCTGCTGCCGTGATGTGCAGGTAATGGCGCGTCTTTGCTGCTTTTCCGATTGGCTCCCACTTCAAGCTGGTATCGCTTAGTTTTCTAGAGAATTCGACACAAAAAGAAAAATATAAGCCGATAATTCAGTTAAAGATAATCTGGTTATAAAATCTTGTTTTGATTTTTAGAACTTATTGATTGATAATAACTTAAAGGGTATGGTATATCTTAATGCTGTGCTTCTGCGTCAACTTACAGGAGATGTAGCTCTTTAAATGGACGTATTTCTGTCAAACGGAACTATGTGCATTATGACCCTGTCATGCATATATTCTAATGGATCTCAGGGCTCATGTCTTAATGCACATAGTTCCATTTGGCGCAAATACGTCCAAATAACCCTGCGATTGACGTCATCCACCACGGATGTGCTAACGTGCATAACGATGGCTCGGTTTCTATTAGAGTACTTATATACAAATAAGAGTGTTGTCATGTTCATGTCACTTTTTATGCTGCTCTGATCTGCACACTCGAATAGCGAAACCTTATAATCATTTTTGGAGGACACAGTCTATGCGAGATGAGAAAAACGGAAAAATCTTTGGTAAAACCTTTGAGTGATTTTTATAGTCTACTATTTAAACATTTCGAAAATTTGGAGGTTACTCCCCCTAAAGACCCCCCAATAATCTATGTCGGTTGCTGTTTATTTCAATGGATGCAGCTCGAAAGTCACTATTTTAGTATAGCTATCATCTCGGTTTCGTCAAAAAGCGCTCTTATGTCCATTAAGTGATAACAGTTTTCATAAACGTCTTTCCAACTAAATACAAGACGATGCACTTCATGAATTTTCGAATAGCAGAGGATTCTGCACGGCAATTTATGATACAATTGTTTTAACTCCGGTGTGGGCGGTAAAGTATCATTCAAAGTGAAGGCGTTTTCGACTGGTGACTATAGTATGTGACGGCTCATAACAACGCGTGTCGCGTAAAGGTATCAAATAAACCTGGATCTCTCCTGTCATTTCTTTAAAACGAGTTAGGATCCACCAAGATGCAATACATTTGAAAAAACATTTGCAATATGCTGCAAATATCCCAGGTAACTCACCCATTTTTGGCAAAGTCCGTTACGATGTCAATGGTCTTTCTTGAAACTTTAACGTCAGCCTCAGGCCATGTTCTTTTCGGGAAGTAGTATGTAAGAGGAAATAGATCCAGCAAATCATCTGAGTGACTTACTCCTGCCAAAAGAGCAATGAACATTTACATGTTTTGTAAAATATTTGCGAATTACGAGATAATGCTGTAAGCTGATCACACAGTGTGGTCTCGACTATCCATGGTTGACTAAATACGCTCTTTTGGCGTCCTTTAATGATAGAAATGTGAATAATAAAGCAGAGAAAAAACTTGTATAGGAGGTAAATTTCTCAATACGTGATTAATTATAAGACACACCTTCTTTTCATCTTGGCTCCAAAAATGAAGTTGGAAAATCTTATTAAGTATCTCTTGATTGAAATTAATTTGCTCGATAATTTAATACACACTGCTTTCTCCCTGATCGTGAATATTTGGATGGAGTTAAACAGAAAGGAACCAAGCCACATCGGGATCGAACCGAGAAAAAGAGGCTTAAAGTTTAGCTCCTGCATAAGACTCAATGTAAAAGTTAAACTTCAAGTTCAATTTCTGCAAAATTTGCTCCAACAAAAACTTTGAATTTTTGGCGATAGATAGTAAAGCAGTGGATGGGTTCAAAACCACTCATTACTCAATTTTTTCCAAAATGTGGGTTGGTTCCTTTCTGCTTAACTCAGTCCATTTGAAAACGGAAACAGAATAAGAGCTTGTGAAGTGTGCAGCAGTGGTGTGGCGTGAATTGCGATATATCGATTGTTATGCGTTATAAACCTATGGTAAAGAATCGATTATTAAGGTGTTCGCTGCGGACACCCTGTTTATCGATCCTTTTCCATAGGTTCAAATGGCATAACAATCGATACATCGCAAAGTACGCCACGCCACAGGTGTGCAGGAAGTAGGCTCATTAAACAGAGCAATATCAATTGTGCGAGGCAAATTGCCGACCAAGATGTACGAAAAATGGAAAGAGACACCAAGATTGTGGGCCTGGCCTAGCAATACTCACGAGATTTTGACGCATTTACCTTTTCTGGAAATAAACAGCTTGTTCATTTAAGACGGCAAAGAAGATGCGAAAATCACCAATTATTAATCTAATTATTCCCTCCATAACGAGAGCATCGTATCAAATTGTTACTCACCTTGGATTTTCGTGTTGCCAAATAAGCTATTGTGAGAAACCGAGTGTAGATAATCGTACACATAAAAATACGCCTCTCCCTTGTACTTCCTTGCTGTCTCAGCAGCGCCGTGCAAAAACCAACTGTCAGTGAATAACTGTGAAAATAATTGCAAATAATAACTCTATATTACAACCATCAGCGCAAATCCAGAAAAAATTGAGACAATTACTTATTTAATTATTAGAAAAATGTTACCGCAGCAGAAGACAACACATGGATCAAGACCAATATCGACGGTGAAACTACCAAACCAGGTATCTCGGTTTGCGACGTTGCAGACTTCCTGTCATACATAATTTTTTAAATGAAAAACTACTTAACGTCCAGCCTTGAAAATGTCTGTGATTTTTTCTCTTCATGCGGAGAAAATTCTGTGAAAATTTCAAGGAATGATAATGATGTGGTCTACTTCAAAAAAATAAAATGCGAGCGTAAATTTTTAAACACCACAAACGAGATACGCGGTTTGGTAGTTTCACCGTCGATATGGTTTGCTCAAGTATGGAATGTGCTCACGTTATCTTAGGAATGTAGATGAGGAGTTCAGGGCACCTATCCCAATAAAACTTTAAATTTAAAGAAGTAAAAATTAAAATTTCTTGTAGTACACTTTTACTACTACAGAAATTGATTGAATGGTAAGAAGTCTGACAAATTTTACCTCTTACGTAGAGGAGCTATTTTAATGCAATTTTGTTAGTCTATATAGTGCTATGAATGTGGAGCAGAATCTATTCTCCTCACGGAGTAACTTACGAGCCTACGAGACCGTGTGAATACTTCACGCATTGCGCCAAACACAGTGCGGTCCGCTCGGTCGGCTTGGAGCGCGTATTAGCGCCTACAAGACTGCATGAATACTTCACGCGTTGCGCGAAACACACTGTGGTCGGCGTGTGCGCCGCCGGCCGCGGAGTGCACTATTTCCGACCTGTATATACCGCGCGTGGCATACATCGCAGTGTACACACAAATAGAATAGAATGAAAAAATGAAGATGTAGTGTTAAAAATAGTGGCGTTTCTTCTTCTGCAAATGAGGAAACCTCGTCTTTATAGCCTAGCGCCAGCACAGCTTTACTCTTTGCTATTTAATTTGATGTCATTGCGTAAAAAACGAACTATCTGTTAAAACAACTATCGGATATGACGACCGAAAAAGGCCGGTTCCTTTAAGGTCTTTATTTTCGATTTTCACTGAATCTCGGTTTTTTGGCAATTTCTCCTGACGGACGAGAATATTCACCGAAAAAAAAGTGGATTGATTTAACATTCTGGATATAAACAAAAATGTGCGAGAGCATATAAAATGCTGAATTTCCCGCCACACTAGTTACTCTTAAACCTCGGCATTGCTAAAGTAAATGCTGTAGCTTGTAATTCAGCATTTTATAAGTTCTAGCACACTTTTTTTACATCCAGAATGTTAAACCAACTTCACTTTTTTTCGGTGTTATTATTAATGATGATAAAGTGTTAAAGACCATCTTATCCTGGCTATCTTCAAGAATCAATTGTTCTTCGTCTTCAACAATAAGGATAATGGAGAGTTTTTCCGCCCTCCTGAAAAATCGCGCTTTCCAAGATGCATGGACTTACACCGTCGAGTTACGCGCTTGCTTTTCGAAAGAGGGTTCCTTTTCTCTCTTCCCCTGCCTCCCATCAAATAGCATCAAATTTTAGATGAGAATAACTTAGCTTACATTGATGATTTCTTCCGTGGAGTTCGTATCTATGGACTTTTCCCCGAAGTAAAATTTCTGGATCTGCTTTGATACACTTGGAACTTTGTCCTTCGGGAACTCGGACCTCAACATGAGTATTTTCGGCAGAATGTATTGCGGGTTCTCCTTTAGTTCGTTTTCAGGTTTACCACCAGCGCTAAATATGACTGAAAACATAACCAAGCATTAGTGCCGCTCAACACCGAAAACACATAGGTCTCAACTGTCCGTTACACTTACTTGTTTCAATAAAAACTGATCAAACTAATTTCTTGAGGATCTTTTTTGATTATACCCCTTTGTATAAGCCACGGTACATTCCTTGGTAATGGGAATCGATGAAGAATTTTTAGGAGTCTGAACTTTGATATATTTCGTATTTAAGTGGAAACCACTGGGAGATATGAGGTCAAAGATACTTTTGGTTCATAATTTGAACAGTTTTTGAAGGTGGTATGGCAAAATTACCTAATCTGCTGAGATCCACGTCTTTAAATGGGAAATGTCACCTAATGACGTCTGCATTTTCTCACTATTTAATCTCTTTATACACTATTTCCCATATGAGAGAAGAATATAAATTATACCGTAAAATCAGCTCTTTAAGTACTCTCGGATGAAATTATAAGATGCGTGCACACACTCCGTTGCTTAAAACAAGTCTTTTGATGATCTCCTCGAATCAGAAACTTATGCCTCTCTGGTTTAAATTTTTGAAGGATTCGGTCATTTTACAGGAAGTGTTCTGTTTCCTGCGTGATTCCTCTAGCGCCATCGTGGGCGGAATATTTGTCAGCGAGTAAAGATACTTATTTCAGTAAATCAAGCCGTGCTTTAAACACGATTCAATAACTACTGGTTACTTACTTGAGGCAGCAAGACCTCCCTCTCCGGAGGTTACTCCTGTCATGAGAGGAACTTTTGACTCCAGATCATCCACGTCTTTCGGAAGAAAATCGCCCTTGGCTCCAGACTCAATCGTTGGTCCAAAAACAACAGCGGGTGCAAGAGCCCAGTCCTGAAAAAAAAACCGACAAAAATATCAGAAATCAAGCGCTACAGGCTTAAGCGANGGGGGGGGGGGGGGGGGGGGGGGTGTTGGGACGACACTAGTTTCTCTGGAATTTATTTTTTCAGCGGTAGGTAAGTTTTCTCAAAATTGATTGTTGAAATTTTGGTAAGCGAGTTCTTTCCTTTCAACGGTGCTCATCCTCTTAGGGGAACTTGAATTCGTGCCTACATAGAGAACAGCTGAGCGCTTCTCTAATACGAACGTATTAGGGCTTTTCCGCTCGTTCAGTTTGTAAACACCAGCATCCAGTTATAGTAATTACAGATTTGTGTTTAAATGAGGTTGAACCTTAGTAAATATTTGGATTTCGTTGCTAAAACTGTTGACGAGGATCATTGAATAATACCTACTTGAAACTTCTTCCCTGGCTTAGGCATCTGGGAATGTCACCGATGGCCTCAGAGTTTGTTCGAAATTTTTGGTTCAACAATGAAAAAATATGCTTTTCACTTTAATGTACTTACTTGGAATCTTTTGCTCATCTCCAAGAGTGATTCGGGGTGAACTTCCTGCATGCACTTAAGGAGTTCGTCCGAGGGTTCAGAGGGACAGCCGCACAACACAGCCAGAGCTTTCGTTCTATCTTTAGCCAACTGCGGGTTTATAATTGCCCAGGGACAATGTCCAGTTCCGCTCATTGCTATGCCTCTATGAATCAGACCTAGATCAAGAAAAACAACATTTTAAGATCTCAAATAACTTAATCTGAGACTACTATTTTGTTTAAAAAAAAAAAAAAGAAAAAGAAAAAAAAAACAAACCTTATGCGATATGGAATTTTTTATGAAGAGCAATCTCTGCTAGAACGGTTCAAACCAGCAAAAAAGAATTTGTAACAGCAGATCGATGGCTAAAATACAAAACCACGTATCGCCATCGCGGGGTTTCAAAATTTCCGTTCTTATTCAGTAAGTACCGCGTGCAGGAAAACCATTAAAACTTCTTAGTTTGATGTGTAGGTCAATCGTACCAGTGAACAAGTATTTCCTCTGAACAAGTATAATTTGCCTGCCGTTCAAAAGAACGGGTTTTCAGCTTACAAGTTTTCGATAAAAGCATTTGGCGGTAGTCAAAAAGTTGTGGACCACAGTTAGCAAATAATTGACTTCAATATAAAAGTAATTTCTGGTAGTCGCTAAGTTATTATAGTTAAAAAGTAAATGGCCGTAGAGGAATGGTAGTTTTCATTGGAAAAAAATATATTGTTCTTGAAATTGCCGTAATCTTTTTCTCCATTTTGTTTGTTCTCCTGAGTGTAATAAAAGGAAATAATTTGTTCTTCTTGAAAGAGGAAGATTTGCTTTTTTACCGTGACTGCATCATACTTCTGAGCTGTTCCCATTCCAGTCCCAACTAATATGATTTTTTCAAAGTACAAAAGCTCTCTAATATTTCTAAAATTTATAAGGCTCTATAGGTTATAGGACATTTTGTCAACGATTTTTTGTCCGCGCATTCGTTTTTTCCAGTAATTTACGTCCACGCGTTTTTTCGGCACGGGAGTTTTGGTCCACGTGCCAGTTGAGACCCAAAGTTACTTGGCCCACATGTAAATACAAACGACAATTGCTCACGACGTTTTTGGATGAAAATATATATTGTCTTGGAAGAATGAGGGTTTGATTGTTTTTTGGTTTTGCTGTTTGGTCCGACGGAGAATAATATATAGTTGAGAGTTTTGGTAAAAATGGGGGAGCGTCAATTCCATGAGACAAAATTCACTAAAACTCTCAACACCTCTTTGGTGTAACAGGACTTAATTATTTTTCAAGATTTTCCCACCTTGTTATACCTGAACCGGATAAACCTCTATATTTGCCTCATCTAAAGGCTCTTATTGTTAGATTTTTCCTGTGTACGATAAGTATCTTGATTTATTTTGCGAGGAAAGATCTGTACTTTTAAAGGATGCCTGTCATACGTTCAATACGTTCAATTTCGTATAATACTGTGCAATAACTCTGTCGTGAAATAGTTGCTTCAGGCGCCGCCGCACGGCGGGCGGGCGGCCAGCGCGGAACGCGCATTGGCGCCTACAAACCCAAGTGGATACTTCAAGCATTGTGCAATGCGTGAAGTATCCACTTAGGTTTGTAGGCGGCAGTGAGCCTCTCGTGCTGGTAGCACGCCGCTGCTCCGCTCTGTTAGGCTATAATATTTATACTCGCATAGTCAGCGTTTTTCAACCCATGATTTTGAAATGTTTGCACACTCCGCATTGATTATTCTCATTTAAATTGATGGGAAAAAATATGTATCAATTTATCAAAGGAGAATAATAATATGATGTGTGTTGTTTGAATATTGGTGGTTTCGTGTCAAATTTAATGATTTCCAAAGCACTTTCATTTTTTTTTTCACATTTTGTGCTGTTATTGTGCTGCAGCGAGGTGCACGCGCAACGAAACGCTCAAAATTTGACGTATTTGACTCTAAAAGATTAGTGTACAACACTGAGAAAAAACTATGGCTTATAAACCTATTAGAGGTAAATATGGAACACCACTAATAGTAGTACCTCTACATATAATAATAGCACATATACCTTAGTTATGGTCTCTGTACCTTAATTAGGTACAGAGACCTTAGTATGGTTCACAGACCGAGAATCATTAGTTTATTTACGACTATTATAGGTGTTCCATATTTACCACTAATAGGTTTATAAACCATAGCTTTTTCTCAGTGAAATGGGTTAAAGCTTAAGAACGCACAACTGCGGCTTATTGAGATTAATGTCGCTTGAAAAAGGTTTTAAAAATATTTGTTACGCTTTAAAAATATAAATGTTTTCAAAATGAAGTAATAATTTCGTAAAGAAAAAATTAAAAAAATAGAAAAAAGTACCTATACATATATAAGGTATATTGTACATCGAATATTTTAAGGATAGAAATAAAACCAAATATTCACCAATGACAATTTAAAAAGATGATTCAAAAGGAGAAAGTAGTAACATTTCATTTAGAAAATGAGCAACCATAACAACATCTCCTTCTCTCTCTATTTCTCATTTCCATAATGTCAATATAATTTTACATACCGACGAAAATATAACGCTTGGACCAAGTCACTCTTGCTTATTTTACGTGTGGGCGTAAACTACTGGACAAAAAAGGTGCCCGGACAGAAAATCGTTGACAAAATGTCCTGAAACCATTTCTATCATGCTTAGACTATTCGGTTCTACTGGGAATTTATCCCTCCCTAATCTCAATTTATGTGGATTTTGTATCCTCGATTACTCTAGATCCTGGAATTCAGTCCTGGATACAAAAGAATAACGTTACCTTAAAATGAAAAGCTCCTAATAACTTCACGTTATTATCAAGCTGCATCTTACCTACCTTTGTTGAGAGGCGACAAAAGATTCAAATGTACACTTGCACCTCCGGCACTCTCCCCAAAAACAGTGACTAGCCCAGGGTTTCCACCGAAGTTTTCGATATTATCGTGAACCCATTTAATGGCAAGAGCTTGATCCTTCAACCCGTTATTTGCAGGAATAACTCCGTCGCCGGTGCTGAGGAACCCTTACATGAAAATTTGAAACATTCTAGTTTGAAATTCGAGGAAACACACTAATTAAAACAAGCCTTACTCGTTTTATCTTACAAAACTCCAGAACATGTTCTTGAGGAGAGTTCGAAAACATCATTTATGGAATTGGGAACTTTTGAGGGGAAGAGGAGTAAATAAAAGAGGACAAACTTCCAGAAAAGGTATAATGAAATTTTCTTGGCCCTAGAGGAAGAAGGTGGATAATTTTTAAAATTCAGGCGTCTCCGGAGCTATTTCGAGTGGATATAAATAAATATTTATCGAAAACAAAATTTCAAGGACGAAAGATATATTACTCGGTAATTTTGAAAAAAAGGATTTAATATCGTATCGTCCTTAAACGAAGGTCACCAAGCAAAACAGATCGAATTTAAATTAATCGGAGATCTATGTGGAACTAATGTGGTAGGATAGTACTGCCGTGCTAAGGAAGAACGCCTTATGAACATTCGAGAGTTGCCAAATGTCCTTCGATTAAATGTTTGTTATTTAGGAAAGTTATGAATATGTTTCCTTTACATTTTCAGAATATTTAGGTGAAATTGCAAACAAAATTATCTGAAAACTTGGAGGAAAAATATTCACAGTTTTACCTGAAAATCCTTGTTTTATCAAAGGAAGTTTGGCAACGCCTGAAGGTTCATACGGCGTTTTTCCTTAGCACGGCAGAGTACGCCCCTTCGGCACCTCCATAAAAACTCTGCCGTGAGAAATAAATTCCTTAAAATATTGCAATGGAACAGGAGGTGAATCCAGCAGGTTGGTAACACTAGCTTCCCTCCATGTAAACCTGTGTTGAATGATCGATCCTTGTCGGAGCACGAGCACTGGGCCCCTCCGAGAATCGATACATTTCCATTTTTTTTAAAGGGAAATAAAACAATGTTGCCAACTTGCTGGATCCGCCAATAAATGCAACGAAGAGCAACGACTCTGTCGTGCGCACATATGGTCACGTTCCGGCCAAAGTGTCACAAGCGCCATGCAACGTTTCGAAATTTCCGCCGGCATTTGATTTTTTTACGGAGAGATTGTTGGTTGTATCAGTTTGAAAATTTTACTGAATTTTATTGGTAGCACATAGAAAATTCGGTGAGATTTTCGGACAGCTTCGTTCAACAATCTCCATGTAAAAATGGCGGCGGAAATTTTTAAACATAGCACGGCGCTTGTAATACTTAAGCAGGAGGGTGACGATATGTAAACGGGTAAACAGTCTGCTACGCGTGACAGCCATTAATAATCAACTTCTTTGCCCGACTTGAGTGCTTGAGTTTTAGCTTTCAAGAGTATGCAGCATTTGTAGTATCCAATCATTTTGAAGGCGCTTTTGCAACTCGTTGTTTTCTAGTTAACTCAGCTGCTAAGCACTGTAGCTCTCCATATTTTGTTTATGAACTAATGATCCGTCAATGAATACCTTACCTACGAGTAATGCTAGTTTTCCTCTTTCTGTCTTCTTTAACTTATTTAAAAAACACAGAATTAACTTATACTTTCTTCTAGAAAATAAACATTTGAAATAAAAATTAATAAATCACTCTAAAAATACTCAGCTCCAAACGCATATAACGTTTGTTAGAATTCCTAAATCATCCTATTTGTCACGTTATAGTACAGTGTGGTTCTCACAAAATGGAAAATGCATACCTAGTGCTCCAAGTCTGTAATTGACGGTGACCAACACAATATCTTTGTCCAGCAATAGCTCTGGGCCGTAAATGACGCTAGATCCTTGCTGATACCCACCACCGTGAATAAAGACCATGACTGGGAGTTTCGCAGCCTTGTTCACCTATAGGATCAAAGAATAAAAGTAATTTGAATCTACGATGATCGAAGGAAAAACACAAATCTCCTCATTATGACGACGACTTGTCAAATACTTTTAAAAATTAAGTGGAAAAAAATTTAATAATAAACAATTTAGAGTCTCAGTTGTTTACTTACAATTTTTGCAGTAGGTATAAAAGAGGATGCAAGAGCAAGTTTTTTTAATATATATATATATAAAACCTATAAAATACGAGGGTGCTTTGAAGAGCAGCCGGATTTTTCTTGGTTGCATGTGACTTTTGAATATTTAAGATTATAGATCTGATTTTGGTAAATTCCAAAATTAAACGCAAAGATGCATCAAATCACATGCATGAATTTCTCTTCCGCAGTATTTTTAAGATAAAAAAATAGTTGAAAAAATGTCCTTTCTCAGTTTGCCCCATAATACATAGTGTCAAATGTTTTGTAACACCTTCAGTTAGGTCGCCCGGCGAGAAAATAACATTAAAATCTCAGTATTTAAAAGTACTTAATGTAAGTGCAAAGAAAGCAAGATACTAGATCATTGGCAATCGCATTATTCGCGGTTAAGTTCAACCGCAGTGTGTGAATGTGTGAGATTATCCACGGTTTGTAGATTTTCTGCGGTTTAGATTTCATGAGATCGACTTATTCGCAGCTTATTCACGACACTAATGATTGATTTTAAACTGAAGTGGGTCTAGTAGGTAGTTGTGGAATTCCGAAATGATGTTCTCATATTTATTTTTCCACCGGTACGACCACAATAAGCAGGAATTAGAAGCTTCCTAGAAAAGTGCTTGAATTTTATGTTTGCTTGCTCGAGAACTCACGTTCGGAGAATAAACATTTAGGACGAGACAGTCCTCCTTCCCCAGGACTTGAGAGGAGCTCTTCATCTTTGGGTTGAACAAATCGATTTGCGGGCAAAAAGATGCATTCTTTGTCGCATCGAGTGGTTTCTTCCATGACTCCAATGGTTGTGGCTCCTGCAAGTGTATCGAGATAAATTTAATTTAGCTACAATTAAATGTCCCTGTTTCCAAGAGATATATCATTCATTCATACAATACCTGATCCATCGAAATGATTTATCTCTGGTCAATCATGAAATGACTAAATTCAATCTAATGATTGGTGTGCCTTCATGCGGGCACGTACATACATCAAAGTGCAGTGCTATATGACGATTAATAGCAATTAGGCATAGAGTGTTGTTATTAAAAACGGCGCGGTCAAAGTTAACAAAGATAAAGCTTTGCGTCGTGTGGCAGGAGTCAAATAAGCTATGAGATTGGAAAATTACCATTTTTAAGTTCAGAAAAAGGGTTTAAGTTTTTGAAAGTTGAACATAAAGAAGTATTACTTCGAGTAGATCAGCAATTCTAAAATTCAAAAAAGTGGAAATGCAATTCAATGTAGTGTCCATTATAATTGCATACAAAATCTGTTAAAGGTCTCTATACTTTATAACCTTACCACATACCTATCTACATTTATAATGAAGCAAAATAGCAACATTGAGCCAAAAACCATCACAATTTCATTACTTTTTAGAAAACTATTCGATTATAGAACTAGAAAAAATAGTGTTTCAGTTACAACTTGTACAGTATTCGCTCTTACTACATATCTCAAAAACGAGCTACTGATCTAATTTTACTTAACATATTAAAAGAATATCTCCAAATAAATAAATAAATAAAACAATAAATAAATAGATAAATAAATAAATAAATAAATAAATAAATAAATAAAAGTAGTTATACGAAAAAAATTCCACGAAAAAAATTATAGATTTTCTAGCATAAAAACAAAACGCGGCAGGAAGTCTGCAACGTCTCTTCAAACAGACTGACGTATTTCCCTAGTTTTACCATCAGTGGGCATGTAGCAGCCTAAAAATAGTTTAAAATTATTCTGCGGCCCCTACACCTACATCAATATTGTACTAGAGGAGTTGTATTTCACGTTTTTACCTATTTAAATTAGAAGTTTTTACGCAAGAACTAAGAAAAGGAACCACGTATACTGAAATGGAGTTAATTCGCACAAAAATTGCATGCTACACAGTTCCTCTGGTTCATTTATTTCCTTCTTTCCAGCATTAATCAAGCATGAATAGGAATACCTTCACGTCAAATTTATCATAATTTGATGGTTTTGTTGCTTGGAAGGTACAAATTTGATCGACATGAATCGATCGAAAAATAAAAACGTGAATTGACCGACATCAACTGATCGACTCCGATTCGATCGATATGAATTGATCGAAAAATAAAAACGCGAACCGATCGACGTGATTCGATCCACACCGATTCGATCGACAAACCCGTGAATCTATTGAATTTTGTCGATCGAATCTGTGTTAGTCGAATCACGCCGATCGGTTCACGTTATCAATTTTCGATCGATTCAGGTCGACCGAATCGACACCGTTTCTTAATCATTTGTCGATCGAATCGACAGTCGATCAGTGAACGTCGATCGATTCACGTTTTCATTTTGCGATTGATTCATGTCAATCGAATCTATACCCTCCTTATTGTTTTAGTGCAAGACAATTTCCGACTACAACGAGAATAAGTGCTGATGGTGAGTGTTGCAAACGAAATTAACTGAAAAAAATCTTTACTATTTTAGCCGAGATTTCATTTTATGATGATAATCATGCTTAAAACGACTACAGAATGGTAGACTTATACAAACCTTGAATCTAAGAAGCCCGATAGGTGGCTTAGCGAAAGGGATGCCAGTGAAACTGTGGATCACTCTCCCATTCCTCGTTTTCAAAGTATCGAACCCGATGATCTTCCCGTTTGGAGTCGAAACCTCGAGACCGCTGCAAGTGAACACCCCACTTGCAAAAACCAGGAATAATTTTAGGCACATTGAGATCTTCATCGTGAGAGAGGTGCTGCTACTCGTATGACTCCCAAGAGACACTGCCAATCTAACCTTTCTTATCTGGAAAACGACATGAAACACGACAAAAAATTACATTTAAAACATATCAAAGTGGTGATAATATACGTGGAGATAAAATGGTAGGTTTTGGAACAATCTCAATGCTTGTTAGTCCGAATGTTAAAGGATTTTATGTAGAGTGATGCGATTTATTCTCGGCCTGGCTCTACCGACTCTGGTCGAATTTATTTTCTTGACGATAAATAAGTCAGTTCTCCACAAATAAAACCGCGTTAAGCAGAAAGGAACCAAGCCACATCAGCTATTGTCATATTTAATATTTCTAAGAAAACGGTCGTGCGGATTTTTGTGCAAATTTTAGTGAATTTTCTGCATAGTACCAAGCACATTCCTTAAAATTCTCAAAGGAATTCGTACGAACGTTCTCATGTAAAACATTCAATTGGACTACATTTTGCAATTTGGAACTATAGATTCTAGCCCGGTTTAAAAACAACGTATGTGCCACCAGTCTCTCTATGCTCACAAGTGTTTATCTGGAAGAGCCAGAATTTATAGTTCCAAATTTAAAAATGCAGTCCAATTGCCCAACTAAATTTGGCAATAGCTGATGTGTCTTGGTTCCTTTCTGCTTAACGCGGTCCAATTGAGAGGGGGACACAGAAACAGCTGAACATGAAATTACGAAATTTTAATCGAAATTAACCATGTGCAAGATATGCGTGCTTCATAGTTCTTTTTGATTTTATTCGTCTCCGTTCTTTTCAGCATTAATACATCGATACTGCACTTTCTCGGAGAGATAATAGACGAAATGAACCCAGTCGTCTAAAAGAGTTGACGTTAACCCCTGGATACAACTATTCGTGCTTAAAGGCAGTGCGCGTGTTGCATACACGCAAAAATTGAGGCGTTCTGAATTGTTTTGCCCATTATTCACAGTAATATGAGCACGGATAAATTATAGGTGCCTCTATTTTGTCGTAAAAACTGAGTAGAGAAAAATTATCACCAGTTCTTTATCAGTTCAAATATTTACCTTATAATATTTATGTTGGTGATATCATGCAAAATCAGTACAATGATTACGGTCCGCGCGTCATTTTCATCCATTTAGCACTTCTTCAAATAAATCGTAAAATGTAGTCATCTTAAATGGTATCATTCAAGTAAGTGAAAGAGATAAACATAATGATTCTTGGCATCACTTCATTTATCTGCATTGGTTAATATTCTAAAGCAGTAAAATGATGTTTAAAATTAATTCCTGTAAATGTCAGGGCCGGATCAATGGGGTGGCCACATGGGCCGCGGCCCATGGCGGCAAAATGTAGGGGCGGCAAATTTTGCAATCTTTTTGAATGTAGGTATCAAAAAAAGAGAGAAAAAATCGGATTCAGTAAATAAATTACAAACGAGAAAAGACGACAAAATCTCTTATTTCCTCAGAGTAAAAGTATAGTAATTTCTAATTGTGTCGTCTCTCGGTGATACATAAGACAACACCTTCAATTAGTCGAGTTAAGAGAGAAACCAAACACGCAATTTGGCCTGGAACGGAGCGGCGCGGCGGTCAGCATGAAATGCATAGCGCCTACAAGACTGCATGAATACTTCACTTATTGCGTCAAACGCACTGCGGTCAGCAGCAGTCGGCTGGAAACGTATAGCGCCTGCAAGACTGCATGAATACTTCACGCATTGCGCCGAACAGTGTGGTCAGCAGCGGTCGGCGTGAAACGCATAGCGCCTACAAGACTGCATGAATATTTCACGCATCGCGCCAAATACAGTGCGGTCAGCGCGGCGCGGCAGCGGAAGTTAAAATTATTAAACCACATTCATGTTTGTTCTTTCATAATTTGTTCTTTCTTTTTTTATAAATGGAAGGCCTTGTCCAAACAGGGATGGGTTTACGAAACTGAACTTTTGTTAGTGTTAACAGGGCTTTCACAAAAAATATACCCAACACGAGTAAACGCGTCTCATACACCCCTCCCCCACCAGCACGTTCACTCGATGGTTTTTATAGATCGTAATCGACGGATCATACGGGTGATATTATAATCTACGCCCTCCCTTCCCCCCCTAGAAATGTGAGGATTTTTCCTGATTAAGTGCATCACATACCTTTGAAATTGAAATTCGATCAATTTTTGGCGAGAAAAGCTCAAAATTACTTCCGAAACAGCCCACGCGTCGTTCGCAAATCACTCAGGTATTTTCTAAAATTAATAAAGTCATTATATGCTTTGTAACTTTCCTACCCATTCGCGCCATTAATTAATCATAAATCTCACAGAGGAACACACAAAAAACACGACAAGTCAAACCCATCGATTGACTTCGACAAATATTAGGCATGCATGTATTAATTCAAGACACAGCGAGCGAGAAAATAAAAAAATTAGGTCGACCCCTGCTGCAGTCATCCTTAACATAAATCTATTCAAAATAGTAGAGAAAAAAAGACTCACGTGAAGAAAATCCTTAGCTTCGAAGCTTTAGAGAGCATTACCACAGAGTTACACTGAACTTCAGCGGCTACAGACTCATCGCACGATTAGTCAAAACCATTTGCATACTCACCAGCACGGGCGTGCGTAGCGTCCAGCGGCGCAAGGTCAAAACCGGGGCTTCGACTGGGGAGAAAAAGAACGCTCCTACTACTGGACTATAAGATTTACATAATATCAAGTGCAAGGAAATGGAAAGAGTGCAGACACCTTTCCGAAGCCGACTAAGGGACTAGCGGAGCATCAAGGTTACTTCATGAACAGTGGCGTAGCGTGCTTTGCGATATATCGATTGATCGACCATTTAAATCCATGGAATAGGATCGATAAACAGAGTGTTCGTAGCGAACACCTTAATAATCGATTCTTTATCATAGGGGTAAATGGCATTACAATCGATATATCGCAATTCACGCCACGCCACTGTTCATGAACCCATACTAACCGATGATTTATTAGTACTTAATCAGGTGTGACCAGACTCTAGCTCAATCAAATCGACGGCCAAAGTGTGGAATACCACGTATCTCCGTTTATAAAGTTGCAGACTTCCTGTCGTACTTTTTTTCCTTTGAAAAATTAGTCGACGTGATTTTTTGAAAAATTTTTTGATTTTTCCTCTCTGTAAGCAAAATACCCTACTTAAATTTCAAGATATTAAGTTGGCTTGCCACTCTTCGAAAAACTAAAATAGGAGAGGACACTTTGAAAGTCCGCAATGGAGATACGTGGTTTCGCACTTTAGCCATCGAAATGATGGTTGCGTAGCGGAGAGACTTGGATTGTGGCCATGATCTGGCGTATAATGGACGTATTTATGCTAAAAGGAACTATGTGCATAGGGTTTGCGTGTAACATAGTTCCTTTTAGTATAACTATGTCCAAATGCTCCGGAGAACGATGGACTGTCTTGATCAAATAGTCGACTGATGTCACCTTTTGGTCTCTCCTGGATAGAGGTCAATTGGACAAATCGATAAATCAAATTTGACCGGAACGGTCACTATTAAGCTCATTTTCCAATCAACATTAGGTATTGATTTAACCAAGGCGTGGATTAATATGAACGTGTTAATTGCGAATAGAAAACCGTTCATCCTTTCGGGAAGCTTGCTGCCTATCCGGTGAGATTGAAGGCGAACTGAAGATGAATGGTATTGCTAAAAAGGTTCATACGACGTATATAGTTTCAATTAAAGCATGAAGCGAGATATGTGTTTTTATTGTTTGAATAGATAACTATTTGACGACATTACTGGCTGATTGTTGAAATTGGTAAACAAAGCTATAGACAAAGAATATATAAAGAGTATGGAGCGATCCTATTGGTTGAAATGGTGGTGCTTATAGACTGAGGGAGAACATGATGGAATAACTGTAGGTTCTATCGTGTCACTGGTAAAAAAAAACCTCTTGGTTCAAGAGTGCAGTTTCTTGTCGCCGGATTTAAGAGTCTGGACTCTTGTTTCAATGCAAAATCCGCTTGAATCAATGCAAAATCCGCTTGAAACAAGAGTTCAAGACTCTAAAATTCGGCGACAAGAAACTGCATTCTAAAGGCAATGCAATGCGGCATTGGTCCAAGAGATTTTTTTACCAGTGATGGGCTGCCGTAAGTTAGTTTCTTGCCTACCTTATTTGTCCATTGCAACCACCATTTTCCACCAATTACAGCCCTCCATATAATTTTTGTCTTCTTTTTCTACCAACTTAGCAATCAAATTTAAATAATGCTCATCCGGCGATCTACACTAAAAAAGTTACAGGCTACATGGACATAGTATCCGATCCGGGCTCAGAGGCAGAAAGATCCAAGTCTTGCATGGCGCCGCAGCTCTGATCGTCTGCTCCGGGTTCAGTGGCCGGAGCAACGGGTGCTACATCTGGAACTTTCGGGGTCTGAGCATGGAACATATTGCCTGTACTTAAGTGGGTACGACTTTCACAGTCGGAGTTTTTGTTTTCAGTGTTTAAATCGACAATATCTACGCACGATCATAGGGTCACAGAACTCACAGGTCGTCTTTTGATGCAATCGAAGCGTGGAGCATGATAAAAGTATATTATCTAGTAGCTAAATCTTTGTGATTCTCGGTTGATTTTTTTGCGGATTGATTGGAAGCAAATGTCAAGCGAACTGCATGTGAGGAAATAATCTGAGGTTTGAAGTTTTGCCTGACCTCTTCCTCGTAAAATATTTTAATTAAAATTGTGTTCCTTTGAGGTTTCTGTTAAGATAAAGCCTGAGCTACATCTCTGAGCCCCAATCACAATCAGAAATATTTTTTTTTAAGTTTACAGGCAATATAATGTGCTGTACGACATGATACCATTATTCGACCTCCTAAGGTGGGAGATCGTGAATCGTGATGCCTATTCAGCTGATTGAAGGCGTTTTGATTTGCCGTCGCTGCACGCTGAATGAATCAAGCATCAAAACACGATTCTGTGACCAGCGCAATGACTCATTCCTATGATCTGTGTTGGTATCGAGTATCGAGTAGATTCTCATTCAAAACTGTATCCCCTGGTAAAAATTGGCGGTAGAATCTGTGTTCCAAAATACCATAGACCTACAGCCGGCTGTAAGATTTCCAATAGCTTATATAGCCGGCAACACAATTTCTTATGGCCTTTTATAGCCGATGGCAACCAAGCAACAGCCTGGCGATAAAGTGTATGCTAAGCGTTACTAATTACGGATGCTAGGACTTATGGAGTTTTTAGAATACTGCTCTCTTTTTGGGCCGTAGTATCTTGATTTATTTTGCGAGGAAAGCTCCATACTTTTGATGGATGCCTGCCATTACCAATGTATTAGAGCGCCTTCAGTTTCGTATGATACTGTGCAATACCTCTGGTGTGAAATAGTTGCTTCAAGCGCCGTGGTACGCTGCGGCGCGGCACGGCGTGGCGGGCGGGCAGCCAGCGAGAAACGCCCATTGGCGCCTTCAAACCTAACAGGGATACTTCACGCATTGCGCAATGCGTGAAGTATCCCTGTTAGGTTTGTAGGCGCCATTGCGCCGCCGCTCCGCTTTGTGTTGGGCTCTAATATTTAATCTCGTGGAGTCAGCGTTTTTCAACTCATGACTTTGAAATGTTTGCACACTCTGTATGGATTATTCTCATTTTAATTGATGAAAAAAAAATATGTAGTGAAGGAAAATATAATGTGCGTTTTGTAAATATTAAGGTGATTCCGTACAAACTTAAGGATTTACAAAGCACACGAATTTCTACACAATTTCTTATAGCCTTTTATATAGCCGATGGCGAAAAAGCAACAGCCAGGCGACAAAGTGTAAAGCCCGGTGATAGGAACTACAGCCCGGCTGTATAATTTTTTATAGCTTCGTGTAGCCCGGCCGTATGATTTTTTCCACTTTCTACAGCCAGCTATATGATTTTCTATCGCCTTCTTCAGTCGGCTGTAAGAACTCCTATAGTATTTTGAAACGCAACTCCTATCGCCAATTTTTACCAGGGTCTTCCTCAGTGACCTTTTCGCATATAAGATGTCTATGCGATGCCACTCCGTGCGCGTAAAACAACATCCATACATCGCCAATAATCCAAACAAATTACGCATTTCCAGGAAAACGAATGGGTTTTTTTTTTTTTTTTTTTTTTTTTTTTTTTTTTTTAACTTATTATTTTTACTTATAAAACACATGATCTGCAATTCTGCATATCTAAAGGAAAAATATTCAAATTTATTAATTACAGTCAACTGTTTCTTTAACAGCTAAACAATTACCCCAACTGCCATGCTAAAGAAAAACGTCGTATGAACATTCAAGAGTTGCCGAATTTCCGCCGATAAAATGTTCATTTTTGAAGTGAGTTATGCATATATTTCGTTAGACTTTTCAGATATTTTTGATTAAATTGCGAGCAAAATTTGAAGAAATATATTCATAATTTTCCAAGTTAACTCACTTTTTATCGAAGGAAATACGGAAAAGTATGATGGCCCATCCGGTGCTTTTCCTCATGGTGGCAGCAAAAAACTACATAGTTCATGCGGGATCAGGGAATTCGATGATATCTCCTCAAGAATTATTTGGAATATACATAATCGATTTTTTCCACAGGTCGTAACAAATCTATAAGCCATCGCAAAATGCCTTGGAAAATTGTTACCCTGTATCATAAGTTTACCATCGGACTTTACTTTAAAGACCTTAAAGGTGCTGTTTGAAAGAAAAAAATCTCGCCACGCTCACTCCTGCGGTGCGGTCGGTCAAGCTTTTAAAAATTTTAAATTTCCGCGGGCATCGAAGTTCCCGGAAGAGAACCAATAGGCTAGAGGCTCATGAATATTGGTGGCGCTCTCTGAAGTAAATAAATGAACTAAACAAGGACTAGCTTTTTTGTGGTTATGTCGTGGTTGTGTTATTACTTTTTTTGTCATCCCTCGAATTAATAATTACTTATGTATCGTTAAACTTATCCTCTTACATTCAATAAAAACGAAATCTCTGAGTCTCAGTAATTCATAAGTAGCGCTGATCATCGAAAAAGTTATAAGTCAAGTTGAATGTATTTGTTTAATTGTAGTTTGGACCCTTTTCAATTTGGAACCTGTCATGTCTGATCTTTCCTTTATTTCCTCATATTTATTTTCTTTTCACTGCCGGAACCTGAGGTGAAGTTCCATTTCAATGTCATAATTTAGAGTCTTTTCTGGCTTTCCAGAATGTTTATTTTATTACCTCCAACCGTCTTATATTTATAATCTTGTTTGGGTCGAGTCTCTTAGCTGTTCAACATGAATCTTCAAACGCTCTTCCAGGACTTCAATCCGAGGTAAGTTAATTCACACTCCCTTGCCAGAAGTCATACGTTTCAAAACGTTAACATGCATGGGTCTAATATCATTCCATCAGTTTAATTTGATTACAGGATTTCTGTTGAAACCTTTCAATTTATGAAGCTTGCAGTACAAGAATAATCTTTCAATTGAATATTTTTTAAACATTTAAGTTGAGTGGCGTTTGTCAGGAGGTATCTTCTGAAACTTTGCTTCAAGCCAAAGCAAGTTTTCTCTGAAAATCTTTTTTGTCCTTAGCATGTGACCCCACATCAAGTACTCGTTTGATCACGGAAGGGCCCCTTAAGGAGCTCCATCAATTTTTTCAATTTCTCCAACTCCCTCAATTTGCACCAGAACTTTTTCAAACCCCCTGGATGAACTTTGAACCCTTTTTAGTACATGAGGAAATCCTCAGTTCTGCACTGTTGCAAGTTGTGGCAACTGTTATAAAGGTACAATTTCAACCTCTACCTTGATTGCCTCTCACAGGCACCGGGGTTTATTCTTATTATGACCTCTATCATTTCTTACATGAGAGATGAATATACGTCTATCTAACTATTCGTTACATTTACCTTGGAGAGGCTGCACCGACAACTTACCATGTTCTGCTTTATTTCAGTAAATTCATAATTCACTCGTCTTTGATGGTCTTTACTGCATTATTTGCATTGAGGCTGGATGGCACTATACAATGGAGTTACTGGACTGTTTTCTCCCCAATTTGGTTTTGGAAATCAATGGTAATCTTAGGTGCCACCGTTGGAAGTTATGTTTGGTGGAGGTATCCACATTTCAGGTGAGAGAAATTGTTTTCCAAGCAATATCATGCCACAGAGAAAAGATTAAATTTTTGAAACAAGAAAATGCATTGTTGCAAATAAGAAACACTATGCTGTAAAGGGTCAGTCAGCCTTGGAACAAATAAGCTCTTAGTTTTTCTGGAACTCAGGCGTTTTAATTTTGATCCTTGCAAATCATAGATCCTCAACAATTATGATTTTCTGTCGGCCTTTAAATTGGAAAATCTTGCAAGAGAGGTGAGAATAAGCATGCCCTTGCAGTGAAGAAATGGGTCCTTTTTCAGCATTTATTGTTTTGTCAAAAAAAAAAAAAAAAAAAAAAAAAAAAAAAAAAAAAAATGCTCCAAAGACTGATTCTGAGTATAATATTCACATCACTAACTTGATCCTACCTGAAAATTTTAAGAGTATTAATAACTTATTGGTCAGACTTTTTCACATTAAGAAACAAGAGCTCAAATTAAAAATTGACTATATTTTACAATGAGAACGACTTTTTGTTGCTTCAATGCCCTTTTTCTTGTTTCCTTGTTATTGAATGTTTTTTCTTGATTTTTAATAAGGAACTTATATCTGCCTTATTTAAGGAAAAACATATGTGCTGTCAGTTTCCATATACTCACAGGTGCGTTCACGTATGAGCCAGAAACAGTAGCTCTTATTTGCAAAATGTAGTCTAACCTATCTGAAGCTTAAAGGAAGTACGATCTTTCATCAAAAAGAACATAAGACTATTCTGAACTTTTCTGTTTGACCTTCTTTTTAATTTAAGGACAAACCCCCCCTTTCCAAAAAAAAAAAAAAAAAAAAAAAAAAACCTTCATCAATAGAATTTTGATGCAGTGCATGTTACATAGTTCACTTAGAGTTTGCTAAGAAGCTGCAGCAAAGAAAAACAATGCAAGAATACACCATGGCAACATGAATAGCGTTCACTTTTTACAACTCATCCACCTTTTTACTTTCTCACTCTCTTAGGGTAGAGGACGTATTGTCATCCTCCAAGAAAAAAGAAGAAAAAAAGTCGCAATTTCATCATTTCTAGTTTTTACTTGCAAGTCAATAGATGCAGTTTCCATCAAAATGTTTTCGTTTTCTGTCAGTACTAAAATTATTTCCTTTAAACATGACTAAATGAGAATATTTCTTACAGGTTGGAAGGCGAAGCTTATGTCCACTACAAAGCAATGCTCATCAGTTTAGCCTTGCATCTCATTTTGTTAATGTTTGAGCTTCTTGTCTGTGATAAGCTGCAGTCCGGTAGACATCTCTGGATTCTGGTGTTTATACCTCTGATCTTCATATCCATTGTATCTATTGCTGTATGCATTTGGGCTGTCAAACACGACCGCTCATTTGAGGTAGGTACTTCGATTATTTGTATTTGTTTCTCACTAGGTTGTTTGATGATGAAAAATATTTAAAGGTAAAGAGAGACAGTACAATAGTACATTCAACTAATTTTTTTTCTCTCTTGATTCCTTAACTCTGTACTCTCAATGAAATGGAAACAAAAGAGAGAAAGAAGAAGAAAAAAAGATGCAGTCATAATGAAGCCTTTTTTTTTCTACCAGCGATGATAAAATTGAATCGACTCATTCGAAAAGGTCCGTTGTCGAATACAGGGTTTCATAATTGCAGTATGGTTTCTTATGCCTCACGACACTGATGGATAAAATCAATCTCTTTTGTAAACGTTTAATTATACTTAGGGGACTATTTATAAAATTATTAAACATTCCTAACGTCTTAAACCATCTTGTGTCTTTAAAGTACAACGAAATTGTCCACTCAATTCTGAAACTCTGTGATGGACATAGGATGTTTTCGCATCTGTGGATTCCATTAACTATGCGTCAAAAGTATTGGTACAGAAACTATTTGTTTTCAGAGTATAAATTTCTAGTCATCAGCACATTCTTGTTTTTTTCAGCTGGAACTGTTCTGTGCTGTCAATATGCTTCAGTTCATCTTCTTAGCATTGAGGCTGGATGGATTCACCCAGTGGAGCTGGGAGGTGGTCTTCGTGCCATTGTGGATTGTCATGTGCCTGTCCCTTGTGGGTGTTCTGTATACGATCATATTTGCAGGGATCCTTTTAAGAACACCAGAGGTCAATGCTACTCAGCGACGCACCTCGCTGAACACAGCCCTAGCTTATACATTTTTAGTCGTTCCAATTTTAATTTTTCAGGTAAGATCAACAAACTGCAGCTTTGAAGCTCTAATTGCTAATTTTCCTGTATTACCTATAGCATTCTTAAAGCATTTTAAAGCAAGGAAAAAGTTACTAAATGTGAGGAGAGTATTTCGTTTTAAAACTGCGGCAGGGTTGATTACAAATTTTGCATAATTGCGTTTCTAATAATATCCTATTTAATACCATCAAAATTAAAGAGCTGAGGATCAAAAGTTACAATCTTCATTCTTTAGTCCAGAAATTCATTCATTGTCGATTCATTCATCTGCTGTGGAAAGAATTCAGTCTTTTATCTTCTTGTAACTATTTTTCTCTTCCTTTTTCAGGTTTTATTAACGAATAAGTTAGATGAAGATATATCAATGAGTTTCTTCGGTGTTGTTTCACCATTGTTCATCTCTTTCACAACCCTCATATTGATGTCATTCAGCGCTAAAGGTGGCAACAAATGTAAGGATACGTAAATTTTCACTTTTGCCTCAAACTGAAGTCCTACAATCAAACACCCCAAAACTAGCAACTCATTTTTCTCTCTGTCCTATCAGAATTCAGTCTACCTAGGCTGTGTTTATGATTTTTGACCACCTCCAAATGGACCTCATCTTTCACTAAGGAACTACAATTTGTGTCGCATTTGTAAAAGCATCTATTTACGCAGGGAAACTTATGGCACATGCAAGGTTTCCAAAATGAGTCAAAAATAGTAGTTTCTTAACGTGAAATGTAGTTCAAATAGTCTTATCTTGATGTGAAAAAATTGCGACAATATCCCAGAATTATGAGATTGAAAAGTACGCTAGGATGTACAGCACTATTTGCTTCATGAATATTTATGAAGCTTGGACAAGTGCATCAACTCAATTAGAATAAACCAAGTTAAAGCCTAGTTCAGATGATCAAACTTTTTGTTCAACTTTTCTTCCGCTTTTGTTGGATGAAAAGTTGGATTGTGTGATACTGATACGAGAATACCACAACTTGAGTCTGATGTGTTCTTTAATATTCCATCCAATTAAGGGAAAAATGAACCGAAAGTTGGAATGAAATCCTCTGACCCACTTATCGGAAGGTGTATCTTTGCAACATGCAACCGAATTCCGATGTCCATAATTGAGTAAAAATTGTTTGCGTTCGACTTTCCTGTCTACTTGAGCTTCAACAGCTCTGAAAGAAGCTTTAGAATAATCAAAATAAATGTACGATTCACAAAAGCAAAATTTTCAGAAATATTTTATGCTCAGTCACTGAAAAATGCAGTCTTTTGATTAGAAAAAAAAGTCTTAAAATGGAGCAATGCATCAAAGTTCAGCAAACAATGTACAAATTTCAATACATCACTTCAATTCAATCTCCTGCTTTGATAAAGTGAAGCAAGCGCGTAGCATACTTTTTTGAAACATGATTTGATTAATCTACAAAACTTCACACGCATCCCCAAATTCTTTGTCCACCTTGTCGTTTATCAATTTATTTTCAAACTCTCATCAAGTTAATTTCTCAGCACCAACAGAAAACAAATCTGAAAGAAACTCTCTATCTATCTAATTCATCTCATGTAATTAGTGCTGATATAAGCTCAAAACTAGGAGTGCAGAAACTTCCGAATCACAAACTTTTTGTGCCAAAGGTTTTTTTTGTATTTTTTTCTGCCAGAGGGAAGCTATTGAATTTTCGTTACACTGGAATCACATGCTGAATGTGACTTGAATGTGGAAGTCATCAGTCTGATGCCTGAATTTTACGCAAGTCACGCAAAATTCAGCAAGGAGACTCAGCAACCATTGGCTAATGTCAGATGTGTCTGAACTATTATTCGAATAGATTTGATACAAATCCGGATGAAAATAACTCCAATTTGCGAAATTTCAGTGGTTGAGTGATGACTGTTGTCTTCCATTTTCAGCTGCCAAATTCAGCGTCTGATTCAGGCATTACAAAAAGGGGAAGACCAATTGAATTTGGGCAAAGGCTTGCAACTATCCACATCCTACTAGAAAGGATGTATGTTTTTTACCCGTCGCAAGCTTATGTTATCATCTCTTGTTTTTCAGGGTGGTTTGGACTCAGGAAAGATTTTTCGCAGTTCCTTCTGAGCATCTGTCCATTCCTACAAGAGTACGCAAATATTGCGTACAGTGTCGGTGGAAACGACCCTCATGGAGGAAGGAGTGGTGGTGGTGATGAAAACAATATAAGAGGCAGCCAAGTAGTGCCAATTGTGAAATCAGACAAAGGTCCCAAAAAGTGTGATTTTTCCAAACCAGTTGTGCCTGTTATCTCAATTGAAACCCCGGACTAGGTGAAATTTTTGTGGAAGCCTCTCCCTTTTCAGGGGAGTGTTAAAGATCTTTAGAAAGTGGAAGGCTTTGTAAAATTGTAAGCAGTGCTAAGTTCATGATATGTGGTTGATGGCATCTCACTAATGAATCACTCATTAGTATTCAAAAACCCTTGATGAAAGATCTCCAATCCCAAATAGGTCAGGAAGTATTATGGGAAAATTTGTATCAATTGAAAATGAATTATTTAAGTAGGATCAGAGATATTCTTTACTACCTCAATTGAATAGTGCAGAGCTAACCTACTGATGAGATTCAATCAAGGTTATCTCTCATGGGGGACTTTAAAGCTGAGTTCATTTATTTGAATACATCAAGCTATAATAAAGGCACTGTCTATAGAAAATCTTGACACAAAGCAGCGTCATATTAGAAGCCTCTAATCCCGTTTCTATTTTCATTTATTTCTTCTTTTTCACTACTATTCAATCTGTTTTTTGAAGTGGATCTCACATGAAAGAAGGAGAAAAATGACCGTATCATATCGGACGAAAATTTAAAAATTGAATAAATTTGTAATTAAATACTTGAAAATTGAAATGAAGAACAAAATAAAGCAATAAGATATTAGTCCCTCCCAAATGACAAGCAGAAATCGCAAGCGAGAGACAGGTGAATTTGTATGATTGTCTGATTATTTTAGTATAAAAAGAAATAACTGATGCCCTCATTTTCAAAGTCAAAATTTTATTAACATCATAGAGTTACACAATTTTCAATGGTGGAGCTCACTCAATCATTCTCTGTTAATTATAAAACACTGTGTGCTAATGTTAGTTAGGCCACACTGAAACCAGTCAAAGCAGAATTCCTCTCAAAATTTTAAAGTTTCATAGAGACTCATTCTTCAACAGTAGCTTCCATGACAAAAAATTCTCTCCGTATTGCAAAAAAATGCGTATCTTGCAATATTTAAAAATCTCTGAGTATGTTTTACTTTCCTTTAGGAAAACTAATCAGAATGCCATGTTTTGCATTTTGTACAATTTGTTTTAATGAAAAAAGGAATTAAAAAAAAAATTGAAACTGGTGGTTAGTCTCTCTGTAAACGACTGAAACTCAAGCAAAGGTTTACAATTTCGTAATCTAAGATACGCATTTTTCGACTTCAACCATCAACTAAATTTTGCAGTCAGAAGCAATTTTTAAAATGTTCAGTGCTGAGACAAAACATAGTATAGTAAATTATACACCCATCAATTGAATAAATTGCATACAACAGAAACACTTCAGTCTTATATTAAACTAATGACTTGTGAAATTAGTTCTTTTTATAGGTTGAAAATTGACTTTTTGGCTTCATGCATCGAAGTGCAGTTCATTGTCCTAAATTAAAGTTGCTGTGGTAATCACTCATTTGGCAGTTGATAGGAGTTTAACAGAAATACACAGGGTTGCCAGCAATCTGGAAAACTGGGGAGGTCGGGGAATGTACGGTGACCGGTAAAAGTTAGAGAGAGTCAGGGAGTTCACAGGAAGTCCGGGGGTTTTGTGAGGTGCGTTCAGCAGAAGTGAGAGTAATTTCAAGGGGGAAAAAATCAAAGTGGAAGTTGTGTTAGAATGTCAGGGAATCTGAAAATTTTGGAGTCAGGGAACGGCAAAAATAGCCAGGGAATTTAGCATTGAAAAATTATGGCAACCCTGAGAAATGCATAAAGTCGAATTCTGGGAAAATTGAGGCAAGAGAAGTCATGCATTCAACTAGGTAGTGGTTAATTTTTTCCTGTAAATTTTTAAACTTGAGAAACATTATTTTGAACATGTAAATAGTCGTTAAACTTTGTCCTCAACATTGAGTCTTATGCAGGAATAAATCTTCGAACCTCATTTTCTTGGTTCAAACTCGATGCAACTTGATGTGTTTCTGTTGAATTCAATTCAGTTAAATCCCATTCTAAATAATACTCATCATCTATTTTGTAACAAACTCCTGGTTTCATTATTTGTAGTTCAGATTCCTGGTTATTATTTTTACATATTATGGTAAGCGTAAGTTTTAAATCTAAGTATGAATTATCAAAATTTTCCCCGGAAGAATTTGAAAATCAACAACTTTTTAGAATGAAGTATATGGTCACAGTTCCGATAATTTTTTATGATTGTCTGATGACCTGAGATGAAAAAAAAAAAACTTTTACTGATTCCTTCATTTTCGAAGTCAAAATATTTTAGTGGAACACCGCATGAATACCATGAGAGAAATCAATTACAGAAATATTGTTGTGTTATTTTTTGATATTCTTCCTTTTCTGTATCAATGGTTTCAAAATTTTTTGTAAGTGAGGAGGTAAAATTAAATATCATTCTGGTATCCTTTTTGATATTTTTATAAATTTTGTAACTCCTTGTGTTGATTTGTTGGTGCACTCAATGAAGACTGAAGCTCACCCCGAGGGACTCTAAGACAATCATGCAGCTTGATAATAGCAAACAGACTTTGGCCTTTTCTTCTTTTTGTTCTTCGATGGATCAACTTAGTGAAGATTCCAACAGATCCACCTTCCCATATGATTTGCTTTTTCTTACTTTTAAAGTTGTTGCAGCTAAAATTATTTTGCTTGTTGAGTTAGTCTCTGTGATCTTTTGAATTTTACATTTTTTAATTTGGATAATCAAGACCTCTGTGAATGCAATTTCATTGGAAAATACATCGTGGATGTGTTTTGAGCACTCCTTTAAAGGAAACCCTGATGTTTTTTTTTTTTTTTTTTTTTTTTTTTTTTTTTTTTTTTTTTTTTTTTTGTAAAGTGTGGAATTATTGAGTTATATTTATCAAATTCAAAAAAAGCATGTAATATCAAAATTCTACAAAGTTGTTGGTTGCTTTCAAATCAGACTTTCAATTATCTTTGCTGATTTGGTGTAAATTCTGGTGAATAAACTGCTTTTTTTCACCATGAATCCTCATGTTTTTATTATTAAAATCCAGTTTGTACATCTATGGAAGTCCTTTATTTTTTCCAAGCTTTTAAATTTTGTATATATACCTTACAGAATCTTTCATTTTTGACAGGAAACCCTTGTAAGTCCTTAATTTTTTTTAAACTGTGTGATTTTTTACTATCGATTACATTGGTATGCTTTTGTTGAAAACCATACTTTTTCAGGCTTGTTTGATTTCCTATTTAATTTCTGGGTAGCTTTAAATGTGAGTATTAATTTAAGTGAATTTTGTGAAAGGAAAAGATTACTTATGCAACAAAGTCATTGACGTTTTTAGTTGATTCAATTTGGTGGCACAAGCACCAGACTTATTGCATGAAGTTATACTGATGGTCAGAGTGCAAAACCATGTGTTTCTATTTGTGGCGTTGTAGACTCCATGTCCTACATATATTCCTTTTCTTTGGAAAAAATGTCAATATAATTACTTAAAAACTTCCTTGTCCTTTCTTTTCTGTCACATGAATATTCTTCATAATTTCCAAGCTTTAAAGTTGACTTGTTTCACTTGCAAAAAATGAAGTAGGAGCAAAAATTTTGAAACATTGCAGTGGAGATGCATGGTTTTGCACTTTGCCCATTCATATGTATTTATCACCCAGTGCAATCCTTGTAGTGTAAATCTCCCAAGTATGACGTAACATGTTCCTAGATGTACCAGATTGTAGCAATCCATGCACGGAAGATTTCCAAGTTTTTTACTAACATTTATTTATTCTTCTTTTTTACCTTTTATCCAGTTGTATTTATATTGACTGAGATTTGTGTCTAAACTCAATAAAAATTATGATTTTTCTAATTTACTGTTTTTTTTTAGTGATCTACTTACCCCATTTGAAAATTACCTCAAGAGCAAGACTTGATTTTTTATTTACCTATTTTTTTATTCATAGACCTAAGTTTGTAGGTATCAAAATTATTACGACCTCCAAAATTGTAAAGCAATGAAAGTCATAGAAAGATTTTCTATAGGTACCCTAATAGCAATGGCTCCTAAAAAAAAATTCTACAAAAAGTTGTCCAAAAAATGTAAAAACTTGTAAATTTTAAGTGAAAAAACTCTTAAAATACTCGTTTTAGGAAACCCATCTGGGAAATTCTTTCAAATAAAAAAATAGTGTCATTTTAATTAAAAGAAAATGTAAAATTTACGTAAAAATCAACAAACTATATCCTCAATTTTTATGGGCTGCAACTTTTCCATTCATACTTTTCTGTTCACCACTTTTTTTCCTCGTTTTTCCCCGCAGGAAGTTTATTTAAAAAAAAAAAAAAAATACGTAAATTTTATTTAAAATTTACGTAAAAAATTTACTTTAAATTTATCTTCAATTTTACGTTAAAAAAAGCCCCCAAAAGGGCTTCCTGCCCAACATTTCAAGAGCTGTTTTACGTAATTTTCAAGTGGCTTTGAAGTAAATTTTAAGTTCTCTTAAAAACGAGTTTTTTACAACTTTTCTCAACAGCCACTGCTACCAGGGAGGTACCTAGTACTAGTGTTTGTTTTCAATAATACAGAATTTTTGGGTTTATAATCGCCTCCTATAAATTTCTTTCAGATCTGACATGACTTGACTCGAAAAAAAAAAACTTTTCTCAAAAAAATATGATGCAGTTCTTAAGTTTCAATGGTTACATAATACTCAGCGCTCAGCCATTGTCGGTAGAAAACGGGGCACTAAAAGTAGCCATGTAAATACTTGGCGACGGAGGTAATGGAGATCGGCTGGCTCGCTGCTAAAAAGAATTTGCCTGAAAGCTCTGGCCGATGAGGCTGTTGAGATGATCCGATGGTTGGTGCGCTGTGGGGAATTTAAGAATTCCCCTACGTGACATCCGTCATTGTTATTGTTGATTGTTTTTATAGATAAGCCAAGACGAAGTTTAGTGTCCTTTCTCGGGCTTATTATTTAATTCAAAGTGGAATATGATCTTGTTACAGTGTCATGTGTGTTTGTAAAGTGTCATGGAAGAATTGGTCGGAGATGAGGCAGTGCAATTGTTTATGAATTTCAGTAAGTTTCCCTGCTCTCAATTTAACCTAAAACTCTTGGGCTTTCCACTCAACAGGTGGCTGTCAAAATGGAAGGTGTACACTTCAGTCACCAAGTTTTGACTATTTTCGCGAGCTTTCTCGCGTTTTGTACCAGCTTCGTCTTGCTACTTAGGATTCAATACCAAGCTAGGTTTTCATATATTCCGGTTATTTGTTTGCTCCAATTCCTTTTGAACACAATGAGCGTAGAGGGCGCCATCAACAAACAAGTTTTCTCCTCAACTACGCAGCTAATTATCATACATTTTTAACTACTCATTCATCATCTACTGTACTTATGTCTATTGGTGCAATTGCTTTCTTTTACAAGACCCATGACACTTTATTTGATGTGTGTCATCATATCAATTGGTGCTATGATTGAGGTTAGTGCAGACTTTCTGCGTGCCATCACGCTATGTTTGCAAAAGTGAATAATGATATGTACTATTGGAAATACTTCAAGAAATTAGTTTCTTTGTCAGTGAGGATACAGCCTAGATCATACTACCTCCTTGAAAGTTTCATTTATGTTCATATCAAATTCAGGACTGCAGGAAATGGATGTTCCAGGGTCCGATAGTTATCTGTGACTTTTAGGTGCTGTGAAATAATGATTGCTCTAAATTGGATTACATTTTGCAATGAAGGACCACTATCTCTCGCTCTATCATAAAAGCACATTTCCGCCTAGGGAAACCAATAGCATAAATGTTGTTCCTAAAATGAGCCAGAAATAGTGGTTCCTTATTGCAAAATGTGGTCCAATTGTGAGGCTGCATTGAATTGAAACATGTTTATACGCCAAACGAGGAATTTTCTGAGGAAGGGGGAAGGAGGACAACTTGTCAAACAAGATCTAGGGGACACTATAGAATACCTCGTAAAAAGGGATTTTTGAGACTCCTCCAGCTCCCAAAGGGGGTTTGGAGCCTCGTAAAGCCTCTCCCAGAAAATTTGGAAAAATTGAGCTTTCTCAGAAGGCAATTCTGAGCTGTTCTTATTAATGAAATGTAATGCTGTTCTTATTATGTTCTAATTAATTGAATTATAATTTCAAAGGTGAAAAATATGTCACACTCTTAATTAGAAAAATCCCTACATTTCTGGGTTGGGGGAGGGGGGCAGCCCCCCGCCCTTCCAACCCGCATTAGTTCTACCCACGGACCATTGTCACTGATAATGTCGTTTTCGCTTCGGATAAGGCTGTCTTCTCAGTCAAACAAGATATCCCTCAATAGTTCAGCTTCTGTGAGGAATTTACTTACTTACTTCATTGCAAATCCCTTCTCTCTCCCCAGCGGGGGCCTCTGGTTACCATTTTAGCGAAGGCAATGCATGGAAGTCCCTTTGATAAACTCTTGTTTGTCCAATAGCCAATCTTGCGCTGAAAGCTAATGGAATATGAAGTAATTAGGTATAGTGTCATTTTGCAAAATCATGGATTGAGATTGATACATTACCTACTTATGCATCAATGGTGAAAGTCATGGGATTAACATTTTGATTTTTAAGTTTCCAAATTTCTACTGTTGATTTCTTTTTCAACGGAAAAAGATGTTTATCCTCACTGAAAAATCAATTTAGCTACTTAATTTTTAAAAACCTCCATAGTTGATTTTCCAATCAGTAAGATCCAAGAAAAAAACAGTAAAAATTCCAAAAATCTGTTCCTGGAAAGTAAATAAAAAATCTGTGAAGATAGAGCAATATGGCTGGCTCACAAATTGAAACGTGCTACGCAGGGTTAAAAAATCCACTTTTGGCAGCCATGAAATAAGGGCACGGGTATTACGAAATTCAAGTCTTTTCCTCGTAATTTTGCACCTGTAGTCAAATTATTTTTTATTATTTCTAGTGAATTCGCCATCTGGTGTTCGTGTGTCTTCTCTCCCGGTTTTTTTTCTTCTCTTTTTTATTTCTTTATTTTCAACTTAAATTTACCTGATACTATTACGGTCGCACCGTTAATGCGAAAAAGTGATGGTCGTATACAAGGTTTCTTAAACCCTCATGAACTACGCTAAAATCATGACTAATCATGAGATAAGTAATGATATTTTGGGGAAAAGTTCAAATTAAACGATTTGCTGACATCGGCCCTATTTAGCTATAAGCTGCAAAGGCACGGAGAGAGCCGCGAATTTAAGTACTATTAAGTATGTCGATGTTTGCTGGTTGAAAGTTTTCAAGTAATGCCATGCGTTAGAGAAACGTCGGATGAGAACTTCAGCGTTGCCAATTTCCTTCGAAAAAATTTTAATTTCATGAAGAGTCATGAACATTGCTCCTTGAATTTGTTAGAAATGCTAGGTTTGATTGTGAATGGAATACTCCGAGAAATTCAAGGGTGGGAAGTCATTAGTTTGGAAATTTTGCAACTCCCAAAGGTTTTTGAGTCTAAATAGTCGACTCTGCGCAAACACGCCATCGTTTGCGGTTATTCTAGGAAGCAGGGCTTTTCAATAATTTTTCTTTGAATTCCCTCAAAAACTTGCAAGTTTTTTCTCTTTGAAGCATGAAAATTTATGCGCAAGAGGAGCAGCACGCTACTACCAGTAGCGTGAACATTTTTGGCTTTTAAATTAAAATTAAACAACAGTCAACAACCACTGAAGATGGGAGACGATTGAAGCTCCCGAAACTAGTCTGGCAATTAGACGTAAGCGAATTTGAGTTTTTTAGTTTGATTTTAGCCTTAGTTGATTTTTGGCTTTTCCTGAGAGATGTAGGAAGTTAAAACCGCTCAACCAGCTGACCAATTAAACCGGTCGCGTGAAGGGGGAAAACCCCCATGGAAACGGGAAATGGGAAATCCCCGCAAGCACGGGAACTATTCTGCCGTGCTAAGGAAAAGCGCCGTATGAAAATTCGAGAGTTGCCAAATTTCCTTCGACAAAATGTTTATTTTTGAGGAAACTTATGAATATTTTTCCTTGAAATTTTTAGGAACTTTAGATCAAAATAGGTACTAACAAAAATTTTTGAAAACTGGAAAAAAATATTCATAAGTTTACCAGGAAATTCGTTTTTTTTTTCAAAGGAAATTTGGCAACGCCTGAAAGTTCGCACGGCGTTCTTCCTTAGCACGGCTGTATTGGGGAAATCTGCACTATTTGCCCTGGTAAAAATTGGCAGTAGAATCTGTGTTCCAAAATACCATAGACCTACAGCCGGCTGTAAGATTTCCAATAGCTTATATAGCCGGCAACACAATTTCTTATGGCCTTTTATAGCCGATGGCAACCAAGCAACAGCCTGGCGATAAAGTGTATGCTAAGCGTTACTAATTACGGATGCTAGGACTTATGGAGTTTTTAGAATACTGCTCTCTTTTTGGGCCGTAGTATCTTGATTTATTTTGCGAGGAAAGCTCCGTACTTTTGATGGATGCCTGCCATTACCAATATTTCAGAGCGCCTTCAGGTTCGTATGATACTGTGCAATACCTCTGGTGTGAAATAGTTGCTTCAAGCGCCGTGGCAGGCGGGCAACCAGCGCTAAACACGCATTGGTGCCTACAAACCTAGCAGGGATACTTCACGCGTTGCGCAATGCGTGAAGTATCCCTGTTAGGTTTGTAGGCGCCAGTGTGTCGCCGGTTAAAGGGAGTTTGCTCAACTCTGATAAGTCAGGGAATTTACCGCGGAACCTTCAATTTTTTTCCTCAGGCGAAAACAGGTCGTTTTTCAGGTCAAGAGACTTTACGATTTAAATTTCCGTGAGAATAATTTTTAAATGAAATTGTGCTCTAAGAAAACATTGGAAATTGACAGGAAAGTCAGTCACTTTTATGTGGAAAACCCCTGAAAATTCAGGGGATTATGAAATCAAAGAAAGCTTTTCACCCTGTTAAAGTAGATATCTCTTGCGTTATGTTAGTAACGAAAACGCGAAACTCTGTATTTCTGCCGTATTTTCTAACAGTTCGAGAAATTATTCAACATGCTGACGGAGTCTGAAAAAGCATATTATTCTTGCTATCCTCAAGAATTATTACCCTGTTAATGACAATAAGGTGGAATGAAGACAATTTTTTTTACTCTCCTGGAAATCGTGTTTTCCGAGAAACGCACTTCTGCACTTTCACCATCGATATATGCTCTCGTGGAACCTCTCATGGTGTCTCGCGGATCATCATAGAACTTCAGGGAAAATGCCACGGGCCCATATGCGACAGGGTTGCCACGGTCAGGGAATTCCGGGAAATGTCGGGGAAAATGACGAAAATGTCGGGAATAATTTGTTAAACCACCTTCATTTGCTTTCAAGATTAGGTTTGAGTTTTTGAACAACCAATTTTGCCTGAAAACTATTTTTCAATTATGTCTTCTTAACCATCCGTCACATCTTCAATTGTCAGGAAATCACCAAAATGTGTCAGGGAAATCAGGAAAATGTCAGGGAATTTCATTTTCTAAATTCTTTGGCACCCCTGATGTGACTGCAGCCCACCACTTAAAGTGGAGCATCACAGAACTATATCCAAGGGAAATGCATACAGGACCCTAGTGTCCTGCAAATACGTCACCGAACTTGAAAACGGATACAGTGCGACAAAACCTTGCGTCTTTATCTACCGCAGACGCTTTACAAGTTATGGCTTGGTTCCTTTCTACTAAACGCGGTCCATATGAAGAACAATCGGACGTGTTTCTGTCAAACGGAACTATGTGTGTCGCAGGCAAATAGTGAAATCAGGTATTTTTTCAAATGCCTAGGCAAATAGCTAAATTTTGAGTGCCAACAAAATTTTGTGAATTTATGGCGAAGAGCTCACGAGTTTTCAATATTTGTGGAAAAATATCCCATCAAACCTACAAACTCTTTTTGTCTCTTTCTCTTAAATTGCTTCTCATATTTTTTAATGTTGAAATCCTAAAAATACTGTATTCTTTGACATGCTGACAATTTCAAGATAAGTGTCTACTCAGGAGCCAAAAATCGTTTGAAATACTATTTTGTGCTGCAAATTTTTAC